TCTTGTCGGTTAGTTATTAAAGAAGAATTTGTCTCTAGTGTCAGATGAACCGCAAAAATTAAATCACATTTATCTTTACATGTTAAATTAGAAGAAGATGAAAGTTACCTATTTTTAACGTCGAACATTTTTTATTGAGGTTGTAAGTGTGAAAATTCTAGATGGTGTTTTCTGTTAATTTCATCTGTTATCCATGCTTAAAATCAAGGTTCTATTTTAGTGGGTACAAATCTGGCTTTGTCAGATGTTTAAAAAAATTTAATATTTTGAGGACTCAGTTACCCGGTCGATTTTCACTTCAGAATATGTGAAATTAGCAAGTAGCAAATGAAAAGTGATATCTAATGTTCCTTTGAATGAATATGATTTACAATAGGGAATCCCGACAGAGGGTACACGTGTAATAATATAATTGAGCGTTGAGTCTCGAATCGAGCCTGATGAATATATTTATTCGAACTTACAACTGTCCGGAAAAGCTTCGTTGCGATGAATGTGAAATTTTGCATTTTGAATAAGTAAATATTCTAGAAGCTGTAAAAAAAACCAATCGTTCAAAGATCCCTTATTGCTCTTAAATGGCTGATCTAAGCTCGTATAGTGAAATGACGTCTTCCGATTTGGCGAATCAATTGCTAAACAAAACAATTTCTTTTTTAGGCTGACGCACTTTTCCGTGCTTATCAACCATATACAAAATTCTATGATAAAACCATTGATGCAATTCATTCATTTGAAAAGAACAACTCTCGTTTCTATGCATATCTTAAGGTAAACGATATTCATTAAATCCTGATAGATACAATAATACTGCTTTCTTTTAAATTTCTATTCGAAGATTTGTGAACATAAATCAGAATTAGGCAAACAACATTTAGCTGATTTAATGATTCGACCAATTCAACGTTTACCAAGCGTTTTATTACTGCTAGAGCGTTTACTTAAATATACGCCAGCAACGCAAATAGATTATCAAATATTAACAAATTCTATTAACAAATTACGTGAAGTTGCAAGAAAATTGAATGAAGAACGAGGAAAAACAGAAAAACATCTTTCATTATTCAGTATTGTTAATAGTATTGATAATTGTCCAGTAAGAATCCGTCTGTCGTTCTTTTGGTTCCCTCCACTTATTTCAATTTTTCTTTTGGTAATTTCTAGCCCGAATTACTTGCTGCTCATCGAGATTATTTACAGAAATTCAACTTAATCGAATTATCACAGGAATTAACCGGAAAACGGACTCATTTAACACTTTTTCTCTTCTCCGATTGTATTGAAGTAAATTCAATTAAGACCGTTAAAACTAAAAGCATATATCTGCCAATTTTTATTTAGATAACGAAATTACGTGTTAACACATGGAAAACGCCAGGTGTTAAATCAACAAAATCCTACAAACATGTGGCATTAATTCAACTAAGTGATATACGCAGTTTATTCGATATAGCGTCATCATCATGTGATGGTAAAATAGAAAACAAACTTTCAAGTCTTTTTTTTTCTAAGTCTTCTGTTGTCATTTTCATTGTAGAAAATGAACAGTTCGGTATGCTTTGTTCAATTGATGGCCAAGCTCGTCAATTAATATTTCGTGTTGCTGATAATAATAATATGTCAATATCACGTTCACATTTAACCGATTCAATGACATCATTAACATCGTTATCAACTATATCGAGTTTAAATCACACAAGTAAAACCGAAGTTTTACAACATTTAGCTAAAGCTATTGCAGAAGAACGTTGTCTTCTCGATAAAGTAAATAGACAAAAACAAAATGATCGAACGAATCGTTCTATCGAACCCTTTCATTTGTTTAGACGTCACTTATTGAAAATGTTGGACCAGAAAATGGCCCTTTTACACCGCTGTCATCAATGGATTTTATGAGTGATAATGATACATTATCAACACATTCGACAATGAGTGCAGCAACAACAACTAGCGGATTAAATTCAGTGGGTAGCGCATTAAGAAGGTATGAAAATAGACGCCGGATTGATGTATCAGTTTTCATTGTGTAAACCCGACAGTTAGACGGAAAAAAGTACTTCCTTTGATGAGTAATCAGAGAATCAAGACTAATAAGAAGTGGCAGATAACTTGAAATATAATTTGAGACGTTGTACTCATAATGTGGTTAGCAGTACCAATGAGATTTTTACTGCTAATCGAACGAATGCAGATAATTAGGCAAAAAAAATCGTCAAAGAATATTAGCTATTAGACTGATCTTACATAAATGATATGCAACAGATGTCATTTTTATCTCGGCATAAGTGACATGCCTAGACTTCTGTTGCCGATACAAAAATGAGTGCCAATTTTTCAAAGGCACCATGTTGAAGTCGTTCATAGCATCCGGCTTTCTGTCAAATTTCAATTCGCTTTCACTTCTTAAAGTTGTCGAGAGTGGTTTTACATGCGCGATTTTTTCTTCTTCGTTTAATCAACTTCATTATAAAGAGCTTTTCTTTCTTTTTATTGTGGAAAGAGAAAATTAATCTTCAAATCTTGTTCTTCAAACGACATTCATGTATTGTTGAACTAATAATAGACAACAGTTTTTTTAACTTTGATTGATTAAACTTGATATTTGTTTGTCTCCTAGTAAATAAGTCGGGATAGATAAGACAAGCATCAGTGTGACATGTTCGGTCAATTGAAAGTATAGATAACTTGTAACCGTTAAATATTCTGATTGCATAAACTATTCGCTGTAACATCGGGTTTATGATCGAACTTTTTCTTTTCTCTTAAGAATTATCTTACGGTTTACAATGAAAGCTAATAGAATTTTTTTATTATTAATTCATTTTTTATTTTAGTGGCTTATACAAAGCAAAAAGTCGACTTAGTCGAACATTTTCATTTAGTCCAATATCATCAAAAAATCGCTTGAAGAAAATGTTAACATCGAATAGTTCATTATTACATATAAATGATAAAGATACTAATAATTTTAATACAATGAAACGATTAAGTGTACCATCTCGACAAGATTCATTTACGAGTGAACGTAATTTTCCTCAATCGCCGTCGAGATTTATGCATTCAATAAAAGAATGTTAGCCGAAAATTCCACTGAAAATTCTATTATTCTCTGTATATGTTTGTGTTTAGATTGATCTTCTGCTAATTGTATTATCAATTCAATTCAACTTTATTTTGTCTCGTCTAATCACGTTTTCTCTTTCTTTTTTATGTCTCCTATGTGAATTTTGCTCTTGAAGAGCATGTATAGCCTATCTATAAAGAATAAATAAAAACATCTTACGCTATTAATCAATTGAAAAAAAAAATATATATATATATATGTATATAAATAACTTAAGATGTAATCATAGAATAATAAAAACTGGATTATCCAAGATAGAATAAACCTACATAATTAACTCTCAGTCATTAAATTCTATGTTTCTCTTTTTCTATATTAATAATGAAAAAGTAAAATCTCTTATTTTGTCGAAGCGGAATCGGACACGGAATTGTTTATGTACGGAGAAGAATGTGTATTATTCTGGGTACTTCAAAACAGATCGAAGACGATGAGAAATAGTAGAGTAAAAGTGTAAAATTACATAACTGACTTTATGCCAATGAAAAATTAATTATCACAAGTAGTAGTGATCGCTAGACGACTTTAATCTTGAATAGCCATTCAATCGAATGCATTATGATACGGCGTGGGTGTAGTAATCATTTCTCCTGGGATTGGTCTCGATTTCCGGTTGAGAAAGTCTGAAGAAGGACTAAGAAAAATAACAGTACAAGCTTGATTAATTTTTATTTTGATGACAAGAACAAAGATGCTTCCTTAGATTAATGTTTAGTTTCAAGTCGAACTGCAATGTTGATATATTGGCACTGCCGTTTTCTAATGAAAAATTCATTTTTGAGATTTTGCTTTGCATTGAAACTAATGAGTAGGCAATTGTTAACTGTCATATTATGTGAAACATTAATTTAATGATTGATTATAAAACGGTTTCTATTCATACAAAAAACATCAATTGCTTGTTCGATTGCTTTCATCTGAATAACTTTGTCTCATTGTACTTGGTTTTCATGTTATAAAAACAAAGAATACATACGATCAAAGTTCTCCATAGCTGAAATATTTTTTCGCCAAGAGCAAGTCATTATAAGTGCAATCATAATAAAAAGAAATAGTCTATCGTTTATTTTCTAGCCCGTCGAAGAACATAAATTATAATACAATTGGGCTTTGACGTATGCGTTGGCGAGTACATCTAGAAAATTTAAAATATGAGATGCTAATGAAACTAAACACTGCTGGAAAATATCTGAGAGTATTTTTCTTGTATAAATTGCGGAGTTTAACACAAGCTTTAAAAAATACGCTCGTGCTGATAGAATGATCTTAAGACGCACTTGGAAATAAAAATATGTCAACTCGTGAACAAACATCACGCACAAAGCTCATATTATATATGTTTATAAATGTGATATTTTATTTGGCCTGCATGCGTTGATTTCTAGAAAGCATCCTTCTATCGGTAGTAGAAAAAAAGAGTCTGAAATCTGTAACAATTTCTATGATTACGTTTCTATTACGCAATCACATTATTCCGTCAGAACATACCGTTTGTTCTTCTTGATTAAAGAATTTTTCCTCTTAAGAACTTTCACACAGATACCATAATACGAAAATGTATTTTTACACTCAACACTTTAATAATTAATTAGTGTGAATAATAGAAAATAAAGCAAAGTATTTATTTCTATTCTTGAAAGGTTGCGAAGGTTTTATTTCCCTATATACTATATCTGGATATTGTATTTGTATTGTAGATGGAGTACATGATCTTCTCTAACGATTGGTCACTGGCGATTTAAATTGAACAAAGCATAGTTGACCATTAGAACGAAAACATAAGAAAAAGAAAAGCTATTATCAATTTTTGAATGTGCTTAATACCATTGTTCTGGAAAGTAGGATTATCTATTGTAGATTGAAGACACCATAGATAATGTCTACACTACACAAAAGATTTACTCGGAAATATCCTCATGGTTCAAAAAAAGAAAATCAACCGAATTCCTCTGAACCACAACATCAACAGCAGCGACCAATATTTCTTGATTCATCAGATCAATCTCGGGCACTGTATTTTTTGGGTTTAACATATCATTTAAAAGCTAAAGAATTGCTTGATGCAACAGGTGGCGTTCTTGACGATAATGTTCGAACATTACTCGACAAAGCCGTCGTTTATTATGAGTAAGTGGTAAAAGAGAAAAACATCAATATATCACTAGTCTTATTTTTCTTTTGTTTTCACTGAGTATGTTAATAACTAATGAATAGTTAGTTATTTATTCAAGCCTAATTTTTTCTTCCATTCTCGGAAGAAAAAGATGTGTATTTCATCTTTCTTTCTTCTCCTTTTAGTTTCTCTTATTTGCCCATTCATATAATGATAATGATAGATGGATGGATCGTCGCGTAGGCTTTTTTCTGCTTTTTCATTTATTATTATCCAGTTAGACTTCCCGCGTGCACATCACAAGCACTTTCTCTTACTTCTTTTCCTTTCTTTTGTGTTGCTCATATGTTAGACTGGCTCAGTTTCCGTTTGGTTTTTTTTCAGACGCACTTTCTCTCTCTCTCTCTTACCCCGAAACTATCTATTTAAGAGGTTAGCTACATTAAAAAAAGCCGAGAACTGATGTGAACAAAGAAGAAGAAGAAAAAAAAAGAGAGGTAATGAATAGGAAAAACAAAAGTTATTATGTTGCTATTTTGATTACATCAATTTTTGTATGAATAAGAAGACAAAGGTAAATATATTATAGATTTGAATAATGCATTTTTTTTACTGAGAGTACTATTTTTCAGCAACTCATCGTTAAGCAAGATAGAAATCAGATGATTGAAGAAGATGAAACTTAGATCTTTTTCTTCCTCGTCAAAATATTAATAGTTGAAGAATGCGCGAAGGGTAGGCAAGAATATTTACGGAGACAGGGGTCTGTAGGAATGGTTGTTATCTATCTATATATGTGTGTGATGGATTTAATTCAATTTCAAATGATGAACATGGTACGTGTTGCCTTGTATACATTCGATGCACACGTGTTTCTCTCACAATTTTCACGAGAAAAACTAATAAATGAGACAAAGAGTATTCTTCTCTCTTATTTTCTGTTTTCTTTTAAGTTACGTTGTTCTATTCGATGAGTGACGTGTGTTAAAACTAGTAACTGCATAGAATATTACCATAAATTATTGAATGCTATTTTTATTGTTGGCTTGTCTAGCAATAAGATCGATAATTGATGTAATGTTATAAATTTTCGTTGATTATATAAATGTAAAATATAGACGAATTCTTTGAGTTCTGAATTTCCGATAACGTCTTATTTAAGAAAAAACAGGTTAAATTAATAATAAATTGCCTTTTATGAATAATCGCAAGGGAACTGCCGCTCACCTACGATTGAATAGCTGTTGAGATGACAATAATGAATGAGAGAGAGAGAAAGAAAGAAAGAGAGAGAGAGAGAGAGAGAGAAATGCTTTACAGAAAGCAACAAAAAAAATTCTATATCGTTCATGTTATTCCGCATTTTTTCGGTCGGCATGCACTCAACATTGACTATTTTCTCTTTCAGGAATCTAATTAGTTTGAACAGAAGAATAACGAGAACGCGTGAAAGTTCTTTCTTTTAGTCTTTGTCCTTCATGTTGTCGTCGTCGTTTTTTTTGTTTTCTGCCTGACGAGTATACATATGGTAAGTTAGAGCTGATTTTCATCGGACGACTTAGTTTTCATATAGAATGCGATAAGTAGAGATTTTCTAATCTTAAATCTGAACACCTAAAACAAACATTAAATCCTCTTCTAATTCCAACGAAGCGCAGTAAAATTCTTCGATTGTCGGACGTTTTCTTATTTATTAATTGCTTATTGAAAAAGAAAATGTTCTTGATTGTCGCTTGTTAGATCGAGTATGACTTTTAGGCAATCAAGTGATTTCAAAAAGCAGCAACGATGCGAGCTACTGATTGCGTTTTTCTGTAAGTATCAGAGTAGAGAAACGAGGAATGACAGAGAGCATGAAGACAACAGAATAACGAGTATACTTAATAATAGTATGCCTATTTATAGAAACGAAGATGCCGTTGTGCATGTTTGCTGTACAGAGACTACGTATTGCACACGAGTGAGAACTGTTTCCTTTTGTATCACCAGCATCAACACTCCTGATTGTCTTCAATCTCGGAGTATTTGACACGCAACTAGAACATCAATAAAGAATTTAGAAAGTGTTGCACATCCATCTGAAAACAATGGCTAGGTGCATCCTTGAAAAGACATCAGTGTTCACTTTCATGCCACTTATCATAGGCTGCTTGTTCGTCATTCAGCTTAACAAGCAGACATAAAATGTCTAATGTTCATTCATTAAAGGATGGCATTATATAGGTTGTCTTTTCATCAAGCCTTTCCTGTCTTTAGATAGGGCATGTCAAACAATTGTCGTGTTCTATTCGCATAATTATATGATGGATGTTAGTAGTTGTATGTGTCTGTTTTTGACAAACATGTATCGTAATACAGAAGATAAAACATCTCATCTTTTTTTTGTACTCTCTCTGCTTATTCTACACATGCAGCGCTTGCCGGGATTCCAGCGAAAAAATTATTTGCAAAGGACGTTCCCCTAGGAATTTATCAGGACACTGTGATGTATGATTCTATATCATTTTCCATTATGAATATGTTATTTTTCTTTTTGTTTGCCTGTCACCAGCATTTTCCTATAAGTGTATCTAAATAACAAAATGCATTACTCTTAATTTGTATATTTTTGGATAGACAAAATCTTGATCTTAACAAAAAATTGAACGACAAAGTGGCGGAAGGAAGAACATTAGGTAATATTGGCAATGTCAATTATTTATTACAAGATTACTCGACATCGATTGAGTATCTTGATAAAGTAAGAAATCATTTTCTACAGAACTATGAAATCATTTTTCTGATTAGCGTTTGACCATTGCAAAAGAAAGTAATGATCGAGCAGGTCAACGCCGTGCACATGGCAATCTTGGCAATGCCTATTTATATTTAGAAGACTTCGATAAAGCTCTTCATCATTACAGGTAAAGATTTAGTTTATTTTCTCTTAGAATCATTAAAAAAGCATAAATAGCAAATCAAACATTTATTCTTTCATTCAAAAATAGAGAAGCAATGAATCTTGGTGAATTAATGAACGATGAATCATTTATGGCACGAATGAATTTTACAATCGGTCGCGTTTATACTTTAAAACAAGATTTTGATACAGCAATTTATTTCCATGAAAAACATTTACATTTAGCTCGACAATTAGAAGATTCGATAGGACAATGTCGTGCTTATTTTGTTTTAAGTCAATTAAATGAAAAAAATAATCAACCCGCTAAAGCTAGCAAATATGAAAGTCTTTATAAAGCACTTGCACGAGAAGTAAAATAAAAACTTTAATTCTCCATGCATTTTTGCATATGTACATTTATTCAATTTAGATTGATGAGCCAAAAGGTGATACAATCTCAATGTCAACACGATCTGCGCCAACAAACACTTTGCTCAAGGTTTGTTTGTTTTGGTCTTCTTTGGAAAAAGATCTTCAAGTTTCGCGTTTAGAATTTACGCACGGATTCAATTAGTATAAGTCTATCTGAGGGTATTGGTACAAGTAATCTTTCATCAACTTCATCCTCACATAGTCCATGTTCAGCACGCTCAAATGCAAGTGGCGGCAGTAGTATTACCGATGTACGTTCCTATACTGGCTCACACAATATGGCAACAAATGAACAATCGATATCAAATAAAAGTAAAAAAAGCAAAGTAAATTCGCAGAGTTTAAAAACAAATTTAATGCATCACCTCGGAAAAAAATCACCATTAGCAGTACGAAAAGAAGTAAGAACAGTTAAAGATTCAAACAATTTGAATCCGTATGATTATTTCTTTACTCTAGTCACTGCCTGCTGATCACGATGAATTAGTTGATCTTGTATGTCGTATGCAAAAAACTCGTTTTGATGATCAACGTTGTGATTTTAAATCATCTCTTGACAATAAAAATGCCATAAGTGAACAACGTAAGCATTTTCATTTTATGATTTAAATATGCGAAGAAAGAAAAAAAATGTTCTACGCTTTGACGACGCCATTTATAAAGTCAAATCCTATTTTTTTATTGACAAAAAAAAAATGAACTCGGCGGAAATGAAACTACTTGCATACTAATTTTATGCTTTTGCTCTGAAAATTCTAATCTACATCGGATATTATACTTATGTGGTCTTTTTCTATGGCCTAAGGATCTCTTACGGCGATAAATAATAAATATGAGATTCGAAAAGCTTAAAATTCTTTTTTTGCACTAGGTCCGAGTGCTCAACTTGAAGATATATTAAATACTGTTGATCGTTTACAACAGTTTCGTCTTGATGATCAACGAACTGCTCTTCCTCCTGCAGTCAATCACGATGATAATAACAATAATACAACAACAGCAAATCCAAGTTTTTCGCCAGTCAATGAACAATTCTTTGATCAACTTGCTAGATGTCAAGTTCGTATTTTTTTCAAATTAACATAAACTCCGACCATTGCATTTCTTCCTATAGGATTCACGTCTTGATGATCAACGTGCTGTACTTATACCGATACAAAATCAGAATACATCTGTTGATGATGAATCATCAACACGACCAAAGCCAGCATCATCAGTAATGTCAACAATAACAACGACAACAACAACAACAACAACAACACTAGGATCATTATCTAAAAATTCAAAAACTTTGCCAGACGATGACTTTTTTTCACTTCTCAATCGCTTACAATCACGTCGTATCAATCAACAGCGAACATGTTTACCAACAGCCAATTCCAATACTCCACTTACATCGCCGAATTCTAGTAGCACACCATCAAAACGAACCCGTGTAAAACAATAAATTTATATATGTATACATATTCAATACAAACTATAACATTTACTTTCTAAAGCTTCTTATTCACTCAATTTCTTTTTGTCTGTTTATTTGTTTGTTTGTCTATTCCTCTCTATAGCTACTATTTTTAAAAGAATTGTATCATAGAAATGCAAATACAAAGGAACAAAATAAATCATTTTACATTAATAAATGAATTTTGTGATTGAATATGCTTTTAGGAAAAGAATAAAAATCTCAAGCACATTTACATGGCGTCTAAATTTGGCGCAGACAGAAAAATAGTTTTTTATTCGTGCATCATAATTATCTCACGTATTTGTTGGCCATCATAATGGAATGCATATCCGGTTAGAAACTAACTCGACATTTTCGATTGTGAGAAAAAAAGATTACTTTTTCCATTAAGGAAAAGTCCTTGTATACAACCGAGAATGCATGTCGTCAGTTGATGATGCTTTTAACAAAATAAATCTCTCCTCACGTATGACAAAATTAAATTAGGAAATAAATCATAACAGCAAGAGATAGATATACATCGGAAAGGGAAATAAAATTTGTTTCATTTAATCACCATTATCCCGAACATTAGGACGTAAGTATAATCAGTAGCACTCTGATTTATAATTGAACGACTATTAAATAACTACGTAGGTTTCGATCTCGACTAGCACAAAACTGATGACTAATAGCATTTTCCCTCGTGTACAAAGCTAATTAATGATTTGAATAATGCATTGAATTCTCTATGCAATCTATTTTATACCGAAATAACTTCGATAGACTACTATGTTAATGTTTGGCAAAGCAACAAGTGCGCTAGTTGTTTGGTGCCAAATGACTGTTTGATAATTTGTTGCGCATGCAAAAAGAATGCTTCATTTTCATGAAGATCTTATTGAAGAGCAAACTTCAATAAGCATATGTGCCACATCTACGTTTACTCTCGATTCATATCTCACTGATGTTTCATTCGATTAAACCTGCATAACATAATAATCAATGTTACATAAACTAAAGATTTGTGGAAGCTTTCTTATTGCAACAGTTGGTGTTGTTCAATATGCTTCTGGGAGGCCACGTAAATCACAAGGGAGCATATGCTGCGTGATTTCATTGATCCAAACAAAATATAAAACAGACAGATGATTTCGAAATACCGAAGTTTTCTCGTCAAACGAAGCGATTGTGACCTATGAGCTATGTGAACGTGTGCAAGAGGACGGAAACAATCGCACTAGTCTATTATTGGATTTTATTTGATTATTGCTAATAGTATTATGAAAATGCATCTTAATTCTTTTATTGTTTGTGAATTTATCACATTCAATGAAATAGCTTTTGTATTGTTCGCAAAATACGCCACAGTCTATCTCGAACTCCATAATAATATTGTGATCTAGTTTGAGCTGTGATGTTATTGTGAAGAGGATTTTGACTTTTCTACTACCGAGCAAGCCATGAACAATAGCCTGTTGAAAACTGCTCTATAGAAATATGAACTTCAGTGTCATTCTTTGATTTCGCTTTTGAGCTCATTATAACAAATCAGTCTAGCTCTATTTATTGACGTAAATTCTATTTGAATAGGTTTTCTTTTTTGTTCCAGTGGAACAATAAGCAATTTTGTCAGTTAATAGTCACATAAGAAACGTAGACCACATGCTCCTAATCGAGAAATGAAAAATACAATGAAATTTATATTACATAGAACACCTGTGGTGTTGAAATCGGAGTTGTAGTTAAAATACACTGTTTCAAACAAAACAAAACAGATCGAATAATAAATGCTTGAACGAAAGTTAACGATTATTTTTGCAATAGCTGGCATTGCAAGTGCTCTCGGTTTTATTTGTGGCGTTGCACCAGGATTTTACACTAGCAGTTAGTTTATTACGTGTTTTTAATTATAAATCGTAGAGTTGACTTTCAAGCAGACACAATTCAACGATGTAAAACAAGGCGTTTGAATATGAAATTTATGAGCATTTTACTTTAGGTTGACAGATATAAAAAAAAATAAGGTCTTAGTGTTTTTGAACGCGACTTAATTTTATTTCCGAGGCACGAAGTGTCGATTTCTACATTTCGGAGTCGAACTTGAAAAATGTATAATATTTATTATTCATAGGTTATGGCTTATTTGGCATTGGTTTGGGTTTATTGCTGTTTCTCTCTGTTCTTCTGACTGTTGCAACCGTTATTTTTCAATATCAGGTTTGATGATTCAAGCACATAAATGATGCGCTTGTTTTTGTTTTGAATGTAGAACAAAGACCAAGTCTTGCCGATTTTTTCGACATGTTTTAATATCTTTGATAAAAGATTATCGCGAGATGAAATCATCTCGATCAATTTGACGAATGTTCTACTATTTATTGCTGGTATTTTTCTTGGTGTACTTTGCGAATTATTACTCAAAGCTCTTAGTACTCGTAAGAAACAACTCGAAATGTGTATTTCACCTAATAAGCTATTTTTCTTTTGCATTATGCAGCGGTAGCAATTCATATTGTTATAGTAGCCATACTCATCTTCGCTCTATTAATACTTTTCATCATTATCGTAATAGTAGCGTATAAAGATTTGAATAAATTAACACCACAAAATATTGAACGGAAATCAACGTTAGTTGAGCCGAATCGAATAGCAGGTGAACCAACTCCCGAGTCAAAACTATTAACTAAACCACAAGACGGACCAAAAAATACAGCTGCACGAGTAAATCGTTATCATCCACGTCTTGTCGAGGATGATTTGAAATCTACATGGTTTGCACCTTCCCGTAACGAGCCAATGATGCATTCGAATAATAATTATTTCAATAGACAAAAGCCACCTTCTACTGTACAACAAGAATATCAGAAACTGTTACATCCATCGCCGCATTTTTTTGTTAATGATAAAGTATTTGTTAACGATCAACAACTAGCACAGATAATTGGAGTTGAAGGTAAGCTGACATGGAAACGATCGACTAATGGTAAAAGCAGATTTTCATAAGTATCGACATGAGAAGGACAAACAATCTCTTCCACGTAAACACATAATTGACGTCCATTGATGCTAAAAATTTTGCTATTTCCTCTTCGACATGTTATTGTTATCTTTTCATTTAGATATGAATATTTATCGGCTTCAATATCTTGATACTGGTTTAATCGATTTGAGAAATGGTTCAGAACTTCGAAAAGCATTACCATTAGTTTTTTAACTATCGCATTAATACCGAGAGATTTTGTTTTCTTTTTTGTCTTATCTATATGTACTCGCGATTTTTTTTTGAAATAAAGAACCATGAACATAGAATTTCATCGGCATGACCATCACGAAAATACAGTGTGTCATGCGAAGAAAAATGAAAACATCGAACATGAATAACATCGAAAAATCGCAGAAGGCCACAAAAATAGGCAGAATGTCTGAACAACAAAGAAATATAAATGTACATGAAAAGAAAAGCACAATGTTTATCATTTTATGAGTGCTCCGAAACAGTTGTTTTGCTTGATCGTTTCACTTTTGGCGATGATTCACTTTCAGAAGATGAAGATGACGAATTCTCTTTGTCACTTTTTGCTTTTGTTGATTTCTTGTGGGCTGTTTTTCCAGCAGAAACAGCGGATTCCGATGAATCTTCAGCTACTTTCTTCACCGATGCTTTCTTTTTTTTTGTTGATTTAGGTTTTCCTTCATCCTAATATAATAATAGATGATCTTAAAATAGTTTAATCGAACTTTTCTTTTGAACTATCAAAAACTGATAAAGGATTTATTAGCAAATCGTTTTTTTTTCCAACCCATCAGAGGTACCAATCGGTAAAATTACGTATCAATACTAACATGATGTATATCAGGAGAAGACGATGATGACTTGTGTTGCAATTTTCCTTGGTCCTCTTGCAACATAGCCCATGACAGTAAAGCTTCATTATATTTTACTTTTTCTTCTTCATAGAGGTCTTGAAATTTCTAAAAATATTTTTTCATCTACATTAAAATTTCTATCGAAAACAACTTCAAGAGAAATTTACTTGTTTATCCTGTTCAGCCATCTGTGACCACCGGCGAGCTGCTCCGGCCATAAAATTCTATGTAAATTAGTATTTTATTTCTTTTTTATGCAAATTCAGAAAATCCATACTCCAATGTTATCCTTGCCACGATCAAGTGACCCCAAGAAATACATGTAAGCTGAATGTGGCTTTTTTTTCGGGAAAAATTTAAGATTCTAAATCATCGAATATATATATAGATACTTTAAATCAATGCATTAATTAACACAAACCTTTTTAATATCACGTTCAATTACTTTACATTTGTTATCATTATCAAGCATTTTTAAATCATTCTCTGATAAACGGCTTTTCTCTTGTTCATATTTAGCTTTTTGATCTTCAGATAATTTTACATAAACCTTAAAAAATAAAAGCTAATTCTAAAATATCTTATTTCATCAATACACACTTGTCTTTTATCCTCTGGTAAGGCTTTCCAAAGTTCAGCAATCTTTTTAGAAATTTGGACCATTCTTAAACCTAAAAAATGATTTAGCGTGACCAAACATCTTAGACCAATTGAAATTATTTTACCTGGATCTGTTTGATTCACCTGACCATACTGTTCTGCAACAAAGAATGAAAAAGCTGTACCACCACGTAATTTACGAAATTTTTCTATTTTTTTCATGCTTTCAACATCAGCCGATGGTGGTCGTGATTCTTCACTTTTTGTTGAGAAACTAGGAGGATTATATGTGAACATTGATGTAAGACTATGACTGAAAACAACAGATCATAATCTCATGTATTTATCGTTTTAAGAATCTTACTTAGCGAATAATGTTGAACCCGTTAGACGAGCAATCATATGTGTTGCACCTGTTGTCCACATTTTTTTTCTTTTATTTATAGAAGATTCTTAAAAAGAATTCGTTTTTTCTTGTCTCTAAAGTTTGAGAAAAGAACAAGTATAGGAAAGAAAATTGATAATAATTGGGCTTTTTTTGCTGCATCTTTTTTTTGTTATCGTTTACATAGACAAATAACACATCTCACAAAAAAAGAAAGTTGAATCAACACTATCGATCAATCGATGACAATAAACACACACACCTAGATATATTTGTTTTCTCAAATAAAAACAATTGAATGTTTACACAAAACAAAATCGATCAATGAATTAGCTATGATCAAGAGAGAAAAACGACACATGAAGTACACTTTTTAGTATGACAGCAATTAAAACATAGTTCTTCATTGTTCAGTTTCATTGGTTTCCGATGGAAGAGTTTCTAAAAAGCAAAGAACAAATTTTATATTAAAATTTCAAATCGAATTTCGCATGCTTCATGCATCGATATCGATAAACATGACTTTTCCTGGGCACGATAACTTACTCTTCTTCTTTTCTTTACAAATGTAGGTTAGTCCGGAGAGGAAAAGTAACACCCTAACACGTTTTTCGGAGCTTAGTGTTCCTCCGAAATATGGTTCTTTGTTATAACCCCCCCCCCCCTTTAATTAATTTTTTGCTAAGTACGAACTTTAATTAGCATTTTTCCATCAAAATATGCCTGATTCTTAGCATTTTAAGTTGGAAATATTAAGAGAATGTGTTCACAATTATAATGACACCCTTAAAGTCCTGGTGGAAATCAACCTTGGTTTTCTGGAAAATCTTTTAAATTAAATATTAAGAAAAAATGCGGTTCTTAATACAAGACCCCCTGGGAAATTTGTACACTGGAACATAATAGAAAACCTGGGGTCTTTTATAGTGGGGGGGGGGAGGGTTTAGTAGTTTTTTACCTTCGACATTATTTGATTGTTCTTGTTCAACAGGTTTTGTTTCTGTTTGTTTAATCTTGTCTGGTTCATTCGATGATTTTACTTCTGTTTTTACTGCGGAATTTTTCTTTGTTTCATCTTCTGATTTTCGTGCTTGTGATGGCTGTTTTTCTTTAATGCCGAGCACATGTGTCAAGTGATCGAGTGTCGCACGAGATTCACTTCGAACACGATAAAGTGCATCGGAATAGCGTTTATATTTCTCTTCGAGTTCTTTAAGGTCATGTTGACTTTCACGTAATCGTTTCTTCGTATCAGTTAGTTGATCACTGTAAGAACGACTACTTTTTTGTGCTGCGTGCAATTCATCAGTTAATTTATCTAAATTATATCAAAAACCATAAGAACTCCTATCCAAATAAATAATATGAGAGTATCCGACGGCGAAAACTTACGAATTTCTTTTTTCAATGTATCAATTTTCAATTCCAATCCTGTTTGAATTTTAGTCGACAATTCCAATTGTTTCATTGCTCGTTGATTATCGATTGACACTACTGGTTGACTTCCATTAGTTGTTGTTGATGAATGCAGGCCAAACACAGATACATGTTGCGGTAATAGCAGTAAATTACCTAGGTAAAGAAAATTTTTAGCCCTGAGAATGGTCAAGATAAAAATTAATTTAGATCTGCAATAGTGCTGAGGATTGTATGCACATCAAATCCAAGACAGAGTCTTGCATCGACTGAAACGCTAGATAAACTCGATTTTAAGTCTAAAGAGATCCACAGTTTGCGATCAGAGAAATCGGAAACAAAAGCAACTGATTCACCTTTTCATATTTGCTACTGTTCTCAGTTCCACAATTCTTCTATTCATAAAAAATGTCAATGATTTCAACTTCGTTTACCTTTTGGTGCAAGTGGATCAATATCCGTTTCATTTGTTTCAATAAAATTGCCGTTTTCATGATCATCAATGGGTAATGCTTTGTCGGTTAATTGATGATATTGAACTTTTTCATTATGAGCTATACGGCTAACTAATATTTTAGTCTAGAAAGCAAAAGGAAGACAGATAAGAAAACTAGGATTTCAAATTTGTTTGTTTTTTGCAAAAAATTACTTCATTTTTTGTTAATGATAAACCTGATGATAAAAGAAGTTCTTCCAGATCCTTTTCCGTTAGATAACCGCAACGATTACGATCAAAAAATGTAAATGCAAGTAATAATTCTGGTTGAATTGTACGTTGACGAGTGTGTGCAATAGTTAATGCTGATTTCTGATCATCATCAGCAGGACTTTTTTCACTGCTTTCTTCTTGTGTTGATTTTTTTCGTTGTAATAAATCCTCCTAAATCCACCAATCATTGATAGAAAAACTAATAAATTCTCGGCGAAAATTTCTATTTACTTCGCTTGTTGTTCGTTTTCGTTTTTTATCATTTTCTTCTGTATTCAAATCAAGGCCAGGAAGAACAACAACATCACCATCATTACTTGTGATCATAGATTCGATTGGTTCTTCAGTTTTCGCTTCATTTTGTTCTTGTTGATCATTTTTCTGTTCAAGATCAGCAGTTTCCGGTTCAACAGTTGTATCTTTTACTTCTAAACAACTGTATAATGATCGATAAATATGATACGAATAGTCACGCATAAGCATCTCATTAAAAGCTTCAGAGAACAGATACAACTGGAAAGAAAGAAAAAATTTCATTTCAATAACAATGATTAATTGTATTATTTTTTTTACTTCAAAACATTTTTCTTTAATCGTATCTTTATTTGCATAATTGAGTAAGTAATGAAGAGATACTATACGACAATCAAATTTGTCTCCTTTGGCAATCGTCGGATGAACGAGTATTGAACGATATAATGGAAGTTGATATTTTGCTTGAATTTCTTTACGTAATTTATCAATATCAGTTTGTGAATGTTCTTTGATTTCAGTTTTTGTTTCAATCACAGCTGTTGATGGCTGCTGTTCATCAGTATTATTAGCGGAGGCTTCCGGCTTTTCTTCATCAGTCTAAATCGAAAGTATGCCATTGATTATTTTTAGAATCTCTCGTTTTTTTTTTTATTTATTTAAAAACAAAGGGTCGAATCGAAGAGAACTGGCCGATTTAGTGTTCCTATAGCAATTGAATATTAATGCTTGAAATTCTTTTCATGTTAGTCGTACGATAGTTATGAAAGAAACCATTAATGTAATCCCTGCGAGACAATGTAAATTCTATTGCTAATCACAGAAAGATCGATTTAAGCTGCCTATTTGAAGTACTCTTTATAGCTTTACTTAATCCTTTAAGCGTGGCATAAGGAAGTAGGCCATATAACTAAAACGGCGACGCTATTGATCGTGGATTAATAATGTCAGTACGAGATCCAAGCCTACGCTTTTTTTGTTGTAGATTCTTTTAACTAAAGATAGAGTGAAGAAAATAAATGGCAACTGTCAGTGAAAACATTTTAACTTTACACAAAACTCAATAGGACATGACAAGTTCGCTTCAAATAAGAATCATGTAATCGAAACAAAGAACAATAGAATGATATTAGTAGCCTCATATCGAGTGTATCCTGCACTTTGTGAACAAGCATTCGACATGATCAAAATTCAGAGTGCCTGCATCGACTATACAACATAAATTGATCGCAGTCTGAGTCTGTCCGTTAGACACTTAGTTCCCTCATGGGAATACACTTAAGTTAATATCGATAAACTGATTTCCATTGTGAAAATCTGCATGAATATGCCAGAAGCATTCTACGTACGAGGGAGGACCACCAAGTGTTCAATCGCTTTTGCATTGAAACTACTTATAGTATGTAGCTCCCAAGGAGTTATGAATACGCTAAAAATATTTTGAGCGGACAGCTTATTCTTATGAAAATAGGCTAATTTTATTGTATTTTTTAATTATTGCTGTAGCCCTCTTCAGGAACATTCGAAAATTGATTTTCGAATTTTAACTTGAGATTTTATGTAGCAATACATCTCAGCAAGAGTAGTGTTTCTGGAATGCTTTTGATCATTTAATTTATTTGTTTCATTAAATTTGCTACTTCATTTGCAAGATGTACAATAAAAATTTCACGGTACCCGTGTCTAACGATAGGAATTGTAGAAAGGTCTAAAACGTTCACGAGAAATTGTTCTCCTTAGCGAGTCTTTCTATGAAAATTTTCAAGTCAAAATTCGAACATCAATTTTTTTAATGTCCTTAAGGAGGACCCCAGACACTCAAAAAAATTCATACCTTAGAAATGGCCTAGTTTAGTCACAATAAGCTATCCGCCCAAAATATTTTTAGCGTATTCATAACTCATCGGAAGCTACATAATGTAAAGTAGTTTCAACGCAAAAGTGATTGAACGCTTGGTGGCCCTCCCTCGTTAGTTAGACACATTCAATCTCAGCGCGACAAAGAAAATATGTCTGAAATCACAATTTTTACTTTTTCTTGTTGAATAATTTTTGTTAAACGTTTCTTCAAGTCACTTTTTAAACCAGTAACATGTTGTCCACGTGCTTTCAATTCAGCTTTAAGATCAATAACCTGAAAGCAGCAGCACATCAAAAAGGAGAATGTCAAAAAAGAAAAAACTTACACGAAACTTTTCAATATCAATAGTTGAATGATGTGATGCACTGCGTGTTTCAATTTCATGATCCTAAAATAGCACACAAAAAAAAATGCTTTATTCAAAATCAATATGACTTTGAAAATACAAAGGAAAAGGTCAGAAAGATAGATAAAGAATTTGAAGTTTTGTAATAAATTTGTTGTCTTGGACGCAAGAAAGAAAAAAAGAAGGAAAAGAAAAGAGATCAACGAATATTTATATTTATATTTATATATATGTACGGATATATTGTCTTCATTGAGTTCTTCAGCAATTTCTTCATCACATGCTTGTTTGTACTTTGATATTGTTTCTTCCCATTCGAGGCTTGATGGCATGCAGGCAGCAGCAATATCCGGCAGGAAAACGATGATATTTTCGACACGACTCTCAATCAGACGGCCCTTGTGTATTTCTTCCGGACGATGATAGCGCACCTCCAGGTAACGGCACCTAGGATGAGGTACACATTTTGATGATCATAATGAATGATAGATATTTATCAATAATGAAATATTCCACATAGAAAAAAAAAGAAATTTTAAAAGACTATTCTTGATAAATAATTATTCCTCATCGAATATAACATGGAATAATAATAGAATGAGATTCAAAAAAAGAAAAATTCATTATATGTTGAAATATAATTTAGCTATGTACGTACCATTGAATGCATTTGCTTAAATCCATGCCGGTTTGTGCTTGAACACAACGAATAGCTGTACGTCTTAGGACTTGAGGATCACTTTCAGGATTTGCTCCATCAAGCGATTTTGACCATGGACCACCTATGGGAAAATATTCATTTTGATGGCGAACACCAACAAGAAATTTTATTAATTTTGTTGGATGCTCTAAATCATCTGGATTGATCGTTGCACTTTTTCCATTTTCATTATTAATTAAACACGAACGAGATATTAATGTTTGAATGTCTGGTGTTGACATTAGCATTATCTGATCACAACAAAAAATCGTAATGAAAAAAGAAAATAGAATTTCTTCGATTTCAATGAAACATACTCGAACGTTCCATGTATAATCTGCATCAGGTGGATCGATAATTGATACATTGTCATCAAATAAACGTGGAACATTTTTATTAAATATGTGAAATGAACACGGAGTTATAAATTTTAATGGATGATCAAGTGGTATCGATTGATGCCATGCATAAGATGCATGATAGAAATCCGATGGAATGTGTAAACGTGTATAACGTGAACGTATTTGAGTAACATTCAATTCCGCACTAAACATAGGAAATAAATCAACACGTTTATCTTCGTTACTACAAGAGATAGCACTTAGTATGATAAGGAAAATTAGTCTCATCGAAGAGTTGTTTTCGATTTAAGAAAAAGACAAGACAGTAGTTTGTTCTTAGAAAAATTAATTTACCTATCAAGTGATGCTTTAGGTAATGTACAAGTATATTTTGGTGGTGGTGCACGTGAAGTACGTTTTGGTGTTACCATTTTGGTTGTACGTGAATGACTACGTCTGGCTGGACTTGGACGACGTCGATCATTTATTGAACTACTATTAATTGGTCCATGTCGATCACGATTATTATTATTATTATTATTATTATTTGTATTTGCATTATTATTGTAGGGATGATGATCATTATTATTATTGTTATTTGTTGGTATTGATCGTTTGACAGTTGGGGGTTGATTTCGATTTTGATTACGATTCATATATGAGTCGTTATTACGTGGTATTTGTTGTGGTCCTCCAGTTGGTCGTGCTAGAGTAAAAATGGAGTAAAATCAAATTTATTAGATAGTTTTTTTTTGAATTACCAGGACGTCGTGTATCGTTGGGTGCTTGAACTGATCGTACATCAAATCCATAGTATTTATATGGTGTTTGAGTACCAAAACCTTCAGCTGGTTTCATTTGACAAACTACACGATCACCAATACGTAGTAATGGACCCGTTACCGTACTAAATGTTAATTTATAGAATAAACTATTTACTGAAATGGTTGTTTTACTTTAATTTGAACGAAATTTCATTATCAATAACACCAAAATCTCGATATAGATTTGATACAGTACCAGTGTATGGTAAACTTTTTGTTGCGGATGAATAGTTAGTTGATCCCATTATTGATGAACCCTTAAAAAGCACAAATAAGCATTGAATAGAATTTTGTTCCATCTATTTTTCTTTCTTACTGTATTCATTACCGAATACATTGCGCTAGGATTTGTTTGATAATTCATTGGTGCTAAACCCATTTGATTTCCAGGCACTCCTTGTGGATTTAAAACAAATGATGAGAATGAATCGGTTGATGAATTATAGCGACGATCACCCGAAGCACCCCCACCACCACTACCATCTCCACGATGCCATGTTCCTTTGAATGCCATAGATACTTATACAATTAGAGAAAGTTTTAAACGAAATCTATAATGAAACGAAAAATTCACAATATTAGTATCATAGACACTCGCGTGGAGTAAATTATATACGTGATAAATAAACAAAATAAACAGATAGTTTTTCTCGCATAGGATTGGATAATAATAAAACATCCGATAGAGAACGTTAGCAGTCGTTATTACAATAGGCATGCCACTAATTGTATCGTCTTTCTACACAGAATAATTTTGAAAATCGATGCGAGCTAGTACCGATAGATACTTATTTACTTTATCCGGTTCAGTGTCCGAAAATCGTTCATTTATTTACATAAAATAAACTCATGGATGAAAACTTGTTGTATAATTCTTATCTATTAAAATATTAATGACGATTTTCTATCGAATTTATGGCAGCTGAGCTGATGATTATGTACATATTCATCTATTGAACTATATCTCAATTAAGTAGCTAATCAAAATTCCAAAATCGAGAACAGTTACATTTACACAAAAAGAAATTCTCCAGTTCTTTTCACCTCGACCTATAAGAAATCAAAAAGTCACAAGCTGGCTGACGAAGGTTGTATTACATTCTTTTAACCTAAAGAAGCAGCATCTATTTTTTGCTCAAAATCTATTGAATCGAACATAAATCGTATCAAAAATGAAATCCCAGCGTCTATCCATCTTTCGCCCACATAGCAATAATACACTAAATGACCGGCGAGTATACAGTACATGCAAAGAAAGTTGATCAAATATCACTGTGACCCAATACTACGTCTAGAATGACAAAAATATTGATTGAATTATCTGGTTCAGGTTTGTGCATCAGAGAGTTTTCTATCAATAAATATTTCGTGCATAAATAAATAATGATAACTTTGAATACATAATTTTCCTATTTGCATTTAAAGGAAAAAAATTACGCTACAAAAAAGAATTCTCAAATTATAGAAAACCGCGTCTTCTTGATTGCGGGCAAAGATCAAATTAATTACAAAGTCAACAGTGGGACTGAACGCTAATTTTTTTCTTCACAACTAACAAGCAGTTCTATAGACATTTTCTTTATGTAGCATATTTTCTATTATTGACATTAAACGCTACAGTTATATATGTGTATGTGATAGCTCATCATGTGATTTGTCTATTGCTTTGATCAGTTAGTTTTCTTTAGTTAAATGCAACTTTATTCGCATCGTTATCCGATCAGGCTAAGACCAAGTGAATCAACACGCAATGAAAATCACCTGTCAATCAGTATGACTCTGATCAAATCGTTCATCAATACAATATTTATCGAATTTCTAACCAAGTAGAAACGCTGTCAGAATTAATAGCGATTAAACCAATTTGTCTATAACAGTATAATAAATTAAAACACATAACGTATATTTGAATGGCCCAAATCGAGATAGAAAAGAGTCGATCAGAACATTTTTCTTTGTGCAATCAATTTCACATAAACAAGATCCATCACATAGAGGATGAGAAGAAGAAGAAGAAGACTGTAATAGTAGAAATTGTCTTCTTATTATAGAATGTCTTTAGGCTATTAAGATTCTACTACATACTCTCTTCTCAATTATTTCATATCAATGAATTTATCATCGTTAGAAAATATTTTACAAGTAAGATAAATATCTTTCACTAGTTGTCTGAATATATCAAAGCCTGTCGGATTAAGTTATAGCAATCTTGATGGTTGATGATTACCATGTTGATCAATGAATAGATCTTTAATTGTGGACGTAAAAAGAAATAGTTTAAAATTACTCTTTTCTTTGTACTCTTCTATTATTTGCAGCATGTTTTTGTTCTAGTGGGTCTGCATAGATAAACGTAGTATTTAAAGCGTTATGGATATTTGAGACTTTAAAAATAAGCATAATTGAGCGATTGTTGAATAAAAATCTTGTGACATAATGATTCATGTGTTTTTATTTTCTTATAAATTTTGGCTATCGTGCATTACGAAATTAATTATGCTGCATCTATTTCCATGACAAGAAAAGAAAATTTTAAAACATACTATATAGACCATAAGTTATGTTTTAATTTTCGTATAGAACAACTAACGCACTAGAGAGTGTTACCTTGTAGATTGATTTATCCTGATTGAGAACATTTGAATAAACGTGTTTTTTTGCCTCGAACAGTTAATTAAACTGGTAGATCGGATGGTAATTTGCTTGCATATAATATAGCCATATTAAGCAATTTTTATGCTTGTTAAGAAGCCCGCTTTTCAGTTACGATATATCTATATAATAGTACATCGCGATCGTTGCTCATTTTCTTTCACTGGTTAACCATACCTGTTCAAACTAACGACTCTCGAATAACACGACCTCAAGAATCACAGTACAGCATTCGAATAGATGGAGTACCCACCCAAAAGACATTTACGAAAGTGTCCTAGAAACACACTACAATATAAACCTATTTTTAATATGAAATTACAATTGTCAATTAATGAGAAAGTGTTCTCACAATTCTGCTACGCTTCTTTGAATTGTGGTTTCTTACGCTATCAATGACAACAGTTAGACATTCAGTTGCAAAGTTAGCTGACTTTTTGGCTATGACTCATACAAATAATTCAATGGTGGATGTAAATCGTAGTGATGAAAAAAAAAGAATGATTTTTTTATCTTAATTCCTATTTGAAGTTTTTATTTAAAAAAAAAAATCTAAGATTATGCGCAAAGACAACTTAAACGTACTTTATTTCTAATCATAACTATGTAGACATATACATATGATATCAAACTGATTAAATATTTTTTTTGTGGTTCTGTTTTTTTTTATTCATTTATTACTGATTTAATCATGCCATATTTAATTAAAAATCCATCTTTTACGATGAATCATATGACTAAAAAGTACAGGCAAACATTCTATTGGGCATAACTTCATGTGCTAAAGGCACGTTTAGTGTGAGACACGTTGTGGACATTTTTTTTTCGTTGTTTCGCTTCACTAGTTTTGTTTACATTGAACAAATAAATGAAGGATTTGATTCATTATCAAACATACGAAGACATCGATATACTTTATTTTCAGGTATTTATAAATTCCAGTTCGTTTATTGTTTTGTGTACTACAACTAAAACGAATTCCATTATGAATCAGGACTAAGGTCACACATCTATGATTGTTGCTCAAATGATAATGATAGTTTTTATTGGCTGAAAAATTATACATGCATCGACCATATCGATTTATTTTAAACTTTTCGCACAAACAAAGCCTAGTAAAAAGGTCTTTCGTTTTTTTACATTCTTGTCGACATTGTGATATAATTGTTAGAACAGATAGGAAGCATTATGAAGAAAAATAAAACAATGCAAAAAAAGTGCCAGTTATCAAGCATAAAAGAACCTAGCGTCGATCGAAAAAAGTCAGACTAGTTTTCTTTTTCTATCTTCCTTTTTGCATGTACATGTTTAAACTTGTTTTCTTTTATTTGTTACAGATAGAGCACGAGTCGTTTTTCTTTGTTCTTCTCATGAGAGATTCCGTGAATTGAAAAAAACGTGAATCATTTTTTTCTCTCTCACTCTCTCTTAATCTCGTATTGTAACCTATATTGAAATATACATTAGAAGCACCGAGTTTCTTCAGACTAATCGTCAAGCATATATTAACGAATGATTATTTATTCTTTTCAGAATAGTAGCCAATGCCTGTATCAAATCGTTCAATTAGTGTGTATCGATGCTGTGTTATATGCACTGTTGTTATGAGTATTACAAGTGCTTTTAACATAATAATTATTATAAAACAATATCTTCCATCGGAAAATAATGGCGAACTGACGATATTAAAATCGTCCGTAGATAATCAAACAGCCGGTGTATCAGATAATCAAACAAATGCTTCATCACAAAGAGAATATAATTTATTTGAAGAAACTTTTCAAATATTTTCACAAGCATTTGCTAATAATGTTTTACCGGTATTAAACGAACAAAATGAATCTTCATCGTTCTGTCCATCTATACCGCCTAATTTAAAAGGCCCGATAATCACTCGAGAACCACCAGAGAATTTTACTCTGGAAAGCATGTCGATGTATCATACAGACGTTCAACTCGGCGGTTACTATCATCCAAAAGTATGTTTAGCTCGTCATAAGGTAGCTATTATTGTACCTTATCGTGATCGTTGGAGTATTTTAAGAAAATTTCTTTATCATATGCATGAAGTTCTACAGCGACAACAATTGGATTATCGAATATACGTATGTGAACAAGCATTTGATAAAATCTTTAATAAAGGTATTGTTATGAATGGTTGTTTTAAAGAAATTTTAAATCTTGAACCAAATACACCATGTTTTATAATGCATGATGTTGATCTATTATTAATCGATGATCGAAATATGTATACATGCCCAATATATCCACGTCATTTAAGTGTTGCTATTGATAAATTTGATTTTTATTTACCTTATCCAGAACTTGTTGGTGGCGTCTTAGGTACGTGTAAATCATTATAATATGCTTTGAAACTATTATTTTATGCTTCGGTAAAAAAGAAAGAGAATTCAATAACATTTACTTAGCATGTTGGTAGGACTACGAATGAGATTGTAGATATGATGAGATTGATAGAGAACAAAATATTCTCAAAATAAAAATATTGGCTCATCATCTTATACTTTATAGACCTGAAATAGAACTTTAATCTACTTCGTATTGAATTCTTTATGGTGAAAAAATACACTTGTCATTTTTTCTCTTTTGTTTCAAAAGCTTTTCTTTCTAGAATAAGCATCCAATTAATTTTATCATTAGATTAACAGCAAGAAAAAGAAGTGCAGATTAACTTTCGTAGTAACGATAGACCGGAGATAAGATTTTGTTTTTTTTTAGCAATGCGTCGTGAACATTATTTACTTGTTAATGGTTATTCGACAAATTATTGGGGTTGGGGTGGCGAAGATGATGATATGTATCAACGTATTGTTAAAAAAAAATTAGTTGTTGACCGACCACCAGCATCTATAGCACGCTATAAAATGTTAAAGCATTCACATCAACAATTAAATCCTGCTCGTATGAAAGTTTTACGAACAGCACAAAAACGTATTGATTTAGACGGTGTTAATAATGTGAAATATAAATTACTTAATACAACTGTTTATCATCTTTATACACATTTTTTAATTGATGTTGGTGAACAACCAAAATAATAGAAAATCTCTTTTGTTTTTGATTTTGTTATAAAATGAATTGTTTCACTCTTATAAAACGTGTTTTATATATTTTATTTTTTGACGACAATGTCAGTTACGTTTAAAAGTACGGTATTATTGAAAACACTAACTTAATAAACAGAAGTTATATAAAAAATTTGTTCTTTTGTTTTTGTTAAGCATACTGCATGAATTTTTATCTGCAAGATCGTCGTGATGTTCGTAAGAATCGGATTAAAACAAAAGAAATCTTAAATTGAACGATTTTACTTGAAAACAAATTTATGGAGTTCCTGAAGTCTTTGTGAACTAAGATGGTGACGTCTTACGTACGCCGAATTCACGTCTTCATCCGAATCCGACACGAGTGGGGTAGAGCCAAAATGCAATTTCAAGCTAAAATTCCCTAAAGGAAAGAGGAAAAAGCGATAACAGGAATCTAAATATTGCATGGCGTTTTTATTCATTTGAATAGCAATGCATAAGGAAACAAACAAAAATAACGTGACGTTCTACTATAAGACTTTATTGTACCAATTTTAAAATAGCATCACTATATAATCCCTTTCCAAGTACGGCATGAAGTGATAAGAAAACTAGATTGAGAAATGAATTTTCTTAGGAATAAAAGAAGACAGTTTGATACTAGAATGCAAGTTAAATAAAGGATGAGAAATGTTACTTTGGATCTGATTGTGAGAAGAAAGAACATGTGTGAGTGTATTTGATATCCCGAATAAGAAACCAATGTTCTTAAATGTTGCGATTGGTTACGAAAAATATTGACTATATGATCTATAGTCAATCGAAAACCTCACCCACACTCACATTTTCATACAGGCAAAGGCAATTACGCTCAATGCGCTCACCACAAAAAAATATGGAGTAAATATATTTTCGTGTCGACATAAAAGCGAGCAAATTTTATTTTTCACATGATCTACATTTCTATTCACAAGCAAGACTTAGGACAGTGATTCTGGCATCCGCGTCAGCCCAGAATCACGCTGAAAAAACACAATAAATGTCAGCTGTCTTTTCGGGAGGAAAGCACCGTACCGGTTTCTTCTCCTTCCAACAAAGTTCACTCTATGAGATCATTTTGAAAAAAATGCCATATGCTCGATGGACTCCTTAAGGAAGCTTATAGTATCCGGTTTGAAATCGTTTAGAAATATGCCACATCTACCCGGAATTACAAGGAGAATCCCGAATTCGAATCCATATTTTCACTGACAACAAACAAAAACCAAAGAAATCAAGAAAACACAGCGTACGCATTCCCAAACAGGAAACCGTCGGCTCTTTCCAGCACATTCTGCACGCTTCCACACAGGAAACTCGTAGCAGAACTCTGACACTCTTCCTTAATACTTCCATTCAAGCAGAATCGTGTGTAGCCATTACCTTCAAGAAATGCTCTAATAGCCCTTTTTCCAGCCAATTCCATAGACATCCTCTACTTTCCAGCATCTCGAACCCATTTACGATTTCTTCAGATAAATCCAAAAGAATTCAAACATACACCCAATAAGAATGCTACGCAAGAAAACAATAAGAGCCTACAAAAAAGCATTACTGCAATAACAGACGCCGCGATTGCCACTAATCGTAGCAATTGAAACCACTCTTCACTCCAACCTCTTCACGGTGGCAATGCGACCAAAATAAAATGGTACTCACCACATTCAGATCTATACCCTTTGCTTCGCACTATTCAGTGCTGATTCAGCCATAGCCCATTTCCCAGAATCTGATCTTCCCAGGTCGACTGATCCGACATCGGATCCGATAGGAACCTGGAAATATCCTACAATCCGATACAATTATATTGGATTCCGGGTCGAGGAATCGATGTCGGATCCTCAGTGTCGAAATCCTATGAACTTCCGATGATATACAACGGTTTTTCCTTGGAATTCATAGGGATCCGACACTGAGGATCCGACATCGATTCCTCGACCCGGAACCCAATGATAATTCTGTAAGATCTGACAGGATCCGATAAAATCCTATTGGATTCCAGTCGGATCGGATGGGTTCCGACAGGTGCCTACTGTCGGATTGCTCGACCTGGGCCCATCTTTTTATCAGCATTATTCAGCGCTGTATAGTCCCTGAATCATTTTCACCGACGCTCCAGCGAATTGTATGTATAACGATGATAGTCTGATTTTTTTTTATTATAATTGAGATTATTTTTCAAGCTACTGAATAGGCTGGGAATCTGATTAGCTATCCGTCTTGTGGCAAACAAAATGGCAGAATAGTAAACAGTAAGCCACTAGTGTAAAACGATTGGAAAAATTGGACTTCAGACCACATTTTTGGCATGTTTATTCCGTGCATCTGAGCTTTGCCAAGAAGCCGGAGTCGATTAGATATGATCTGTACTCTGTGATCGGGACAACTTGTTGAAATACGAGTTGGGAACAGAGCTGACTCCAGATACTCTAATGATTGACTGCTGCCGAGATTCGCAATTTAGGGTGTGGGTGTGATTAAATCAAAGAATAAAACCAGCACCATTCACCACTCTTCTTCATTTTCATATTACCTAGATGTAAGAAGATTACTTTTACTTTCAATATCAACATTTGCATCATGGAAACACTACCAATGCTGTACAGAAAAATCGAATGTGTTTCTCAATTAAACACTACAGAAGATTTTCAAAATAAAACTGAAAACAATCTGTTAAATATGCAATTGTTCTAGTGATTAGCTTATAATCATGTTACAGCGAATTCAACTGGTTTCCAAGTAGAAATAAAAAACACATATTTATATTTTGCTTCAAATGGTGTTAATAATATGAAGTATAAATTACTGAATGTATTTTTATGTATACATACATTTTTTTGAATTCAGCTCGGTGAATCTCTTTTGTTTTGTTATAAAATGAATTGCTTTTCTCCGACGAAACTTGCTTTTTTATTGTTTTAATTATTTTTCAATCATAATTTCTATTATGTTTCGAAATACATTTTCATCAAAAATATTGACGAAAACTAAAATGAAAAGGTTATATTTTTCCTATCATACTGCACGAATATTCATTGATACCATCGTCATCATAATAATGTTCGTATGAATTTCATTGAAACTGTTGCAAAATACAATGCCTAAATTTTTATCTACCGAAAATCTAACAATTTAAGTACATGAGGAACCGCTGAAGAAATAAAATCCTAGACCGAGAAATTTTCCTGGAAATGAAGTGTTACACAGCTATTTCAAGAACAGCTCATTGGGTTATTTCGAATACACACAACTTCTTATCGTTATCAAAACAATTCGTCCTGATCAAAATCCGAGACCGTCAGGGTAGAACTATGAATAAATGTGCAGATTTTGAGATAAATCTACTTTCGGAATATGTTTTTAAATAGAAAGGTTCTCGATATGCTATTTCACGTAAAGCTTCTCAAAACGAAGGAGGAAAAAGTTATTACATAAATCTACGTATTAAATAGTATTTTTATTCGTGTTGCCAGTGATACATCGTATTTACAATTTTGATTCCACGGTGACATAATAGTAGAAGATTCGATGCAGAAGAAAATAAAGAAAACTAAGATGGCGCTGTGCTGTAAGATAGTGCTCTTTGAGTGCTGAAATTTTTCTAGAATATTCTGGGCCAACAATTCCTTTCCAATTATAACATGAATTGAAGGAAACCAGATTCAAGAATAGGTTTGCTGTTAAGAAAACTAAAACAAGTTGATATTAAAATTCTTGTTGACTCAAAGGAATAAAGTTAATATTGAGGAGACTACCGATGCTTCTGGCTATGTGTGAGGGTGTCTTATGTGCTGAACAGAAAGCGAATACTATCCGAAAGCAAACAACTCTAGTTACGAAAAGCATTGAATACGATCTATTGACACTCCAAACCATCACCTCCTCAAAACCCGTTTCCATGAAGCCAAATGCGATTCCCCTCACGATGATCTCTTTGAAACAGATAAGGTCAATTTATTTTCGCGCCGAGAAAAATACAATTACATTTTCTATTTCACGCACACAATTGTTTCTTTCACAAGCACAATATCTGGATGGGTTTCAGGTAACCGTTTTGCCAGATATGCCGCGCTTTTTCAAAACACAACAGCACTTTCGAGTACGTTTCCATCTCCATGTTTGTGGAACCAATGCTGTTGTAGCAAATAGCCAATACTGAACGATTAGATGGGAGAGCTCTTTTGTAGATTTCCAGTGAGCCTTAGTATAGTGGCAATGTGTTGGGGTACTCGCCCATATGGTAATACACTAATGCTAGTTGATGATTGTAATCAACTGGTTGGGTATCGTAAGATGCTTGCTCGAGAAGCATCTGATAGAGGTGTTCTGCTTTTGAGGGTTCACCGACGCGAAAAATTATAGCACCAAATTGAGACCTTCCCTCTGTCGCAGTTAGTTCTTGGCGTAAATATGATGTTAGCGTGCTCATATCATGATCACCATTTGCCCACGATTGTGAAATTTACTTCCCATAGTCGATTAGTAGTAGGTTCTTCGTGAATATGTTGAATTTGATCGATGCGAAATATTGTATGAGTGGAAAAAAATTTTCTTCTTCACCTCCTTCGTAGTAGTCAACGCTTTTGACATCGACGAAAAGGATCGATGCTCGTAACGAAGAGTATACCTACTGAATTTAGATCGTTACTCAATGCCACTGACTGCGCATAGATATAGGAAACTTGACGATCACAACTGTGGAAATAAAGTTGTTGAAAGACAATAAGTCCTCCTTTTGTTTTTTTTCATTTTTTCGAAACTCTCCATTGATAAACCTTGTCCACAGAAACCTTGAAATAATATCCCTATGATCTCGATCGATTGTTGCTGATGATGTAATGTTTCCAGTTTTCTGTGTAAACCTCGAAGAAAGAAACCCATTTTAAGTATAATATCAACATCCATTAGACGAAGATCACGGTTGAGCATGGAGTACATAAAATATGTTCCCGTATATCACAAAATAGGTGTATGGTCATGATATTCGCGTTCAACTTCACTGATTTCCTTTTCAAGAATATCATTTTGAGGACGGCAGAAGTCGGCAAATTCTTTAATAGATTGTGTATCGTCGCCTTTGATTTGCAAAATTGCGTCTTTAAATAATTGAGTTTACATAAATAATCGGTCAATACCATTACAAACTGATTGATATCATGGATCGATCACAATGTCCAAGATAAACTTTTAATGCTTCAGAAATCAGTTTGATTTGGGAGTATACACCTTTGACCTTCAATATTGTTTGAGCCCATTGCTTATGAGCAGATAAATTATCATCCAGTACATAGATGGCATGTAATTGTGGCCAAGTATGAATTTCGATGGCAGATGTTAAGTGTCGTTCAAGTTAACCACATACAATCATGAATACTTTTTCATTTTCGATATCACTCAGAAAATCTATGCATTGTTCAGCATCTTTAAATATTGTGATAGGAGTGATAATGTTTTGTAGGTATTGTATTGAGTTTTTAAAATCATCATGCGATTCATCGAGACTGGTGTCAAGCCAGACCAAACGAAAATTTTGTAGAACTCGATGAGTACGCTGTGTAGGAACATTAGCGCCGTTTGTGGTGATAGTAGCTAGTGGCCTATCAACAATCGACAACAAAAAATTTTGGTTATTCATGACGAATGAAATAATGGAAGAAAGCAGCAACATTTCATCTCATTAAATAAATCATGCCAATACTTCATTTGTTGGTACTTACTCTTTACTGGTACCTATAGAGTTTCAGCACGTTTCTCCTCGTCTTTGTTTCATGTTAAGAGTGCTCCTGAAATAGCAGCGACAAACACAGTTTCTCCACATCGAGAAAACGAGGCAGAAGAAAGAATAACCGTCACTCCATAAAACATATTTGAAAAGCCGTGGCTTTCATTTACGAATGTTGTACGCAATTTCGCTCTTCTCGTTACGGAGCGTTTTCTCCACAGACTCAATAATGCATATAGCACCAGCAAGCACACCAACAGCAACAGCGAAAAAGAGATTCCATTACACAAACATGCTTCATTTACAACATTCCTTGAAATCAGCAAGAATAAAAAGTAAATAGGTATTATTCGTCGAAAGCTTCGATGATGCTTTAGACTATCATAAAATACAGTGCCCACAACCTGTCTTCAGTAAAATCATGCTAGAAAAAAATAATATTTTCATTTTTGGAACTACAATATAGTGGATATTTTATCATAATCAACGGAAATAAATAAATTCAAGCACAAAAAGATAGTATACATGTAGATACGAATTATTATTGAAAGAATTTTAAAAAAAGGATTCCCGCATCATATGGACTGATTGAAATCAGCTAGTGCTAAGTTTTTCTTTGATCGCCAAATCTAACATGGATTATTTATCATTTTGTTCCTGTAGGTAAAATTAGCACGACATTCGAGTAATTTCATTCACAATTCGCTTTCTGAGTCATATTTAATAGAGAATTCTATCCTATATCGAAGGATACCATTTCCAATGACGTCATCGAGGAAATAATGTAGATCAGACAAACACCGAGGCTTGGGTGAATGTGCTTCATGTTATGAATGAGAAACAATTGCTCTCAAGAATTAAATATTTTCATGTCCCCTGTCGACGCACATTCACAACCATTATCAGCAGCTCTACGTATACTGTTCAAATAATGTTTCTGAAACACTTTCGATTTTAGTTCTGTTCTAAAATGAATTGCTTTTCTCTGATAAAACTTGTTTCTTTCTTTTCTATTTTATTAAAAATGCCGAAATGAGTTAAAATAAATGGGTCATTTTTTTCCAATCGTACTGCATGAATATTCATCTGTACCGTCACCGCAATGATTATGTGAATCACATTCAAGTTGTTTCGAGATACAGTTCTTATTTCCACATAGGAAAAAGCCAAGATTTTGAGGACATGTGTGAACCGCTGAAAACGAAGATCAATTAATTTATCAAAGTTAGACCGAAAATTCTACCTGGGAAGTGAAGTGCTATCGCTACTTGAAAACCACTTGATTTAGTTCCTGAACCACTGGTAAATGTGAATGTTACTTGTGAGGTTGTGGTCTAAATTGTAGGAAAAACTTGTGTTACATGAAGCATCATCTAATTATCTTACAGTAAAGCTGAATGAAGCAAGTGTACCACATTGTTGTTTAATATCTTGATTAAGTAAAGTTGAACTATCATAGATAAGTAATAAATCTTTCGGACAATCAACAGTATTCATTTTTTCTACCGTTACCACAAACCGTTGTGTTGGTTGAGCAGCACGAAATTTAATCGAACAACTGAAATTAGGCTGATATTTACTACTGCTTGTTAATTGAAACCATCCACCAGGTCTCAAGTCACCATCGAAAATGATGGATTCATTGCCACACATTTTATCCATGAAGACTATTAAGAGAAAAGACTTGAGTACTAAGTCACTATGATGCGAAAGTGAAGTCGATTAAGCTACGATTGAAAAATATGTCTAAAATTTGAACCTAGCTACTAGGGACGTCACCAGAAAAAATTGTACGGGGGAGGCGGGGGTAAGTCGTTAGTCAAAACTACCGTAAGGGTGGCTAAACTTATTTTTCTAGGGGGGCTGAGGGGGGGGGGGGGGGGGGGGGGGGGGGGGGGGGGGGGGGGGGGGGGGGGGGGGGGGGGGGGGGGGGGGGGGGGCGGGGGGGGGGGGGGGNAAAACTACCGTTAGGGTGGGTTAACTTTTTTTTTTTGGGGGGGGGCGCCCTGCCCCCCCCCCCCCCTGGTTACGCCCCTACTAGATACACAACAAATATTCAAGTTCTAAAGTTATCGAATAAATATAAAACACAAAGATGCTAAGCACAATTTTATACTTACATTTCTCGTTAATCGGTTTGGCATCACTGTAGTGAACAAGTAGAATGAAGAGAATTAAAATTAGAGATGGTTCGATTTTTTGCATTTTATTTAAAATCTTCACTATTGCCCAATGTATGTAAATTATAATCGAAAGAAAAATATATCCTGCGTTACTTTTTGTGAAAAATATGAATATGCGTCAGCCCTATGATAAAGAAGACAGGCAAAAAGCATTGTTATTTATTCTTGAAAATAAAAACATGATACAATAAACTGATAAGACTAAACTTTTGATAAGACAAAAGTGTAATATGATCTATCACTAGTGATATATTACTCATATTGGCAATTCAATTTTATATTCAATCGATGACGTTTGGTTTCTAATATTTGACTTATAAAATTAATTATAGGCTTTTATATCTCCTAGCCTCCTTGAATGGTATCACCAGTAAAACAATTTAGTTTACGTATGTTGAAATGAACAATTATATTTGAAAAACAAAACAAACAACAAAACTACTAATTCACTTTTGCAATAAATAAAAATCGCTAGTATGTGTACAATTATATAACATAAATTTTCATTTCCGTCTCTGTATATTGGTGTTGTTTATTATTTTTCACAGCTCTTGTTGAATATAATAAATATTTCAATTCAATACGTTTAATGATCGTCGATGGATGTATATGACTGCGTCTAGAACGACTCGATCGATATATCTTTTGATACGATGATCCTGGCGATCGTGGAATTAAAGTTATGGCTGAAATCGACAATTCAAATTGTGTAGAAAAATCAGGAGACTTGGATAAAGTCGATGATAGTGGTTGTGAACTGTAAGATTTATTGGAACGTTTTGGAGTCGATGTTAACGGTACATGCAATTGAAATGAATCTATACTTGGCAATACGGATGATGATCCATCCATATTGGCCATGTTATTTCTTTAATAATGCTATTATATTCAATAGAGCAGATATTTATAAAGAAGGAAGAAGAGAAAAAAGAATACAAGGCACAGATTGTGTACGTTTATTACATTAATTGGGCAAGAAAAAAAAAGAGACTCCCTTATCGAATAAACATTGACAAATAGCTGCTAAAAGGTGTGACAACAGAAAGAAGAAGGAGGAAAAATATTGAATGCTATGAAGAAATTCAGAACACTGAAATAAACGAATAAAATCCAAATAAGTTCGATACGATATAAAACTCAAATCGAAATACTTGTCTTTGAAGTTTGTGCTTTTATTTACTATCAATTAATGATTATGATTCTACGTCGATATCAAATCTTGATAAGCATCTGCAATATTATGTCTATCATAAAGAGAACATAGAGAAAGTCTATTGTTTATGTGATGTTAAGTTTGAGTGTAGGTGTGAATTGTAAAGCAAAACAATGACGCGTGCCGTATCCGATACATTCAAAAAGAGTCAAAACATTGAGCAGACAGCAATTACGTGGTATGAATCGAACCGAATAAATATTTAACACTTAATAAACTTGAACTAATTTCAAAAACAATAGGTTAATTCAACACAAATAAGAGAGAATATTTTTGTTGCTATAGACCAACATAAGAAGTACCGGAGTGTGCCATGGATTTCCTGTACTGGAGATTGTTGTTGTTCATCAATCTTTTCCTATTCATGTTTTTGAAGCCTGATAGAGTTGACACACTCTTGAGCTGAAGCAGTGATTCTAATTTTAAACATTTCTTGTTTTTTGTCAACATTAGAAAATGATTGGTGTATTTCATTTTCTATAGTGTTCAACAACAAGTTAATTGGCCCAGTTAGGTTTTGTTCTCTATAGAACATGAGTATCTTATTAAGCATATATAATAAAAGCTGAAATAGTTCATTTAAATGTTGCGGTTTGATGTTTATTTTATCAAGAGAAACTAAAAAACAAAATAACCGAACGAAAATTTAAAAAAAAACAATAAAGTTTTATATGTCCCACATTTGATGAATATTTTGATCGCGGTGATAACATTCGGGTTTTGGTCGATAGAGAAGTAAATCAAGTTTTATGTTAGATATTTGATAATGTTGACAACATTTTTCGTCGAAAACTTTTGGACGATCATTGTTGTCGTTGATCTTGTTTTTAATAAGTGTATAGAATTTATTCGGTGTTGATGAACGCGGTAACGGTGTTAAAGTTGGTTTTTTAGGTGTACTTGTTTTAAATAACATTTTATGCTGATGAGCAATTCTAAATCAAATTCGAATGAATCTTTTTTTTTTCAGATTTCTTAATCCAATGTCGTCTTACTTCATGTTTTCAGGCATATCATTGATAGAGCGAGAGAGAGCGAAAGTGATTATCTATTTCTTTTTCTTTTTCCTCCTATCAGCGCTAATAATTGAAAGAGAGAAAATAGAGAGCAGAAGAAGAAAAGAACAAAACAGAATAATACATTGTTTAAATTAATCGTCTCCTACCGTTTTCTGTTCACATTTAAGTGATGACAACGATAGTACAAGCTGCGTGCGGTTGGGAAATCTGTTCTAGTATTGAGCAGATTTTTTCTCATCCACTACTATCCTAATATTCATACGGATATTGACAAACGAATAGATTTTTCCTCGTTGTTTTTTGTCTTTTTCTCGAAAATTGATGTGATGCTGATTAGGCGTGAAACAAGGCTTTTCGCACACATTTCCATCCGGTGTATCAAATTGTGTCATAATCGAACAAATGACCAGCTGGATAATCTATCTTACATATTTTGCTATATGTAAGTATATATTATTTATCAATGCTGATAATGATGATAGAACTAAAACGTATGACAGTCAACTAATGAAAATACACAGGTACAATGATATATGCAATAAGAGCAAAATTTTACATACATACACACACATACACATAAAATGCGAAAGAAAAATAAACGAAAGAAGCAATGATTTTTTTAATGGCGTTATGACTAGAATTAAAATAAGTATAAAAAAATCATGAAGATAAAACAAGATAGATGAGTAGTATTCCTTGGTTCGTGTTGTAGATAAATAAGTGGATTTTTTTCTTCTTCTAACGAGAACCAGTTCCTAATAAATGTTTGTCAGTAAAGCCACTAGCACTACAAATACTACTAATCGGTGCAGTTTCTAATGGAGTTCGTAAAACAATTGAAAGCCGGCCTGATTTAATCCCTGGCTAAAATAAATAAAACAGAAGAAAAGCAAAATAGGAATTTATTCTAATAGGAAGCAAAAAATCATTGGTTTTATATGATAATTAATTAAGATGGAGTATATAAATCATTTGAAAAAAGCAAGCAATCAAACAAATGTACTGGTAGCAATAGATCATGTGTAAGATTAGATGCAAACATTTTTTTTTAATTCAAGCAGAATATTAGAAATATGTATTAAATATAAAAAAGGAAGGTTCAAAACATCAAACACAAATGTTCAATTATTGGCCCATGGCTTTTATATGTGAATATCAAAAGGCCTGGTACAATATAGTGCAAAAGGGAAGACGACTGAGGCAGGCAGAATAAAAAGTGCTAATAAATAAAATAAATATATAGATAAATAAGTGTATATATATATATATATATGTATATAATCGTGAACTGTTTATTACGGATATATGCGCGCACGATTTTTACATTAGTATTTTTTGGATAACTAAAAACAAAACAACAACAAACAACAAGGAAGAAGAAAAATAACGAAATATTCATAATCCCACATTAGATTTACATAATCGTAAGAACTATGTCTACTACCAACACCACCCTCACCACATCCATCCTTAGATTTTGAATGGTTGCACGTGTGTGTGTGTGTGCGTGTGTGTGCGTGTGCATGTATCTGTGTGTGTGTGTGTGTGTGTGCGTGTACATGTGTGTGCTTTTTCACACGTATTTGCCCAAAAACAAAATTAGAAAAAGAAGATGAAAAAAAGCAATATTAAATAAATATCTGTTAAGTCTTTTTTGTTGTTTTTGAAGAAGAAGAAATGAAAAACTAAGTCTTCTTTTGCTTTTTGTCGTCGGATTCATTACTTACTTTCTTCTTTCCACCTAATATTAAATCTTTATAGGCTTCGGAACGTAAAAATCGAGCATAGGTATCACGATTCATTAGATTGAAGATATGATCCTAATAAGAAAATTAATAAATTCAATAAAATATTTGAAAAAAAAAGATCATACCTGCGCTTCATCGAAAGTATATCGACTAGGGAGATGGGTCATATTATTTTTTGTTAAATTCATGACACGTTGATCAATATTAATTGAGTAATAAGCACCTATAGATCATATTGAAAGTTACTTTTTCCAATGAAAAAAACCTAATATAAACCTGGCGAAAGAAATTCATTGTAAATGTCATGTACTCTTTTGAGTACATCGTTTTGTGAAGTATGAAATCGTAATTGTATACATGCTTCGTAGAATCTTAGATTTTCACTGGAATATTCTTTATCAAGAAATTTCCAAAAAAGATCGCGACCAATCGGATCTTTGAGTAGTTCATTGATTGAAAAGCTCCATCGTTTAACACGTCGTGCCGAAATTTCTTTGACATTACCCAGTTTTTCCAAATCCCATAGATCAATAGAATCAACTATCCCTTGAAAAGAAAAACGAAACAAACTATTTTCTTATCACGAGTAGAGCACTTCTATTTTCTGATGCTGCTAATTATAAACAACATTTAATGGCTAATTTATACGAAACATAACCTTCGAATATCGAATTTCATGATATTTTAAATGTTTTCGATAAGAGAAAGTCGAGAATTTTAATTAAAAGGTTATTTCTTATCATTGAAATTGCTAGAGAGAAAACAAAAAAAAGGAAGGCATGTTTCTCTTACAAGGATTTGATGGTTCACATGTTGTTAAAAATGGATCGAATTCTGCATATTGTTCGTAATAAGAAACATAATTTTCGCAAACTTTCGAAGTTCTTAAACATCGTCGATCGATTCGATGTTTGAGAAATTCGATTTCATGACATAACTGATCAATTAATGCTGCTTCGTCGCATTCACGTAAACTTCCTGTTTGACTTTGTGATGGTGCATTTGCGGTGGCTGCTGGTCCTGTTGATAATAATCCAACAGTCATAGTTATTAAATTTTTATTAGCAGCAAACGCAAGTGCAGACGCTGGAGCCGTCGACGATGATGCTGTCGACGATTTTCTTTGACTTCCTAATAGTGGTTGAGAACTTAAAAACGATGCCTTTCGTCGCATTAACTTTTTAACATCTTGTTCACTCATATTCGCACAACCAGGTGCTGGCCGGTAAACATCCCAGAAAGCACGTTCTTGCGAATCAAGAACATTGCGTTCGACTTTGTCACGCTTTTTGTCAACCCTGTTATAGATGGATAATTAAATTAGATTCGAAATATCATTTTTGCTTTGTTTTAATAATCTTACTTTATTTGTGCTTCAGCTTGCATATAAATGAGTTCCCATTTGCGAGCAAATAATTTTTGTAGTCGTGCGAGATTTTCTGCTTCATAATCAGCAAGCTCTAGGCGAGTTTTATTTTGCATTGTTCGTTTACATAAATACACAGCTACAAAGAGAAAGAAAAGCATTGAAAAACTAATTCGCATTTAAAAAATAAAATCAAAATCAGAATTGCTGGCAAAAAAAGTTTTATGTGATAAGTTAGTCTTAGCGGTTGATTTGTCTACCTCCTGTTTGACTTTTGTATTGCTGGAGAAAATAAATAAATCATAAGTAAAAGAGAAAGAAAAAAAGAAAAAAATCTAGTCATACCATAATCAATATTATCAGGTTCGCCATGATTCGACGGCCAAAAATAGGGTGTCTAAAATGATCGACAAAGAAAAACAAGTGTTTAGTCTAGTACTCAAATAATTCGATTTACTTGAAATCTATAGAAAGTACCATCATTTTTCACTGTTAATACATGATCTTCTATGGGTAGAATCTGCAGAAAAAAAAAGCAAAAAACAAAAGTCTTTTTTAAAGTAAAGTAACATGTCTTACATAGCCACAAGATGACATAAGATTGGCTAAATGCAAAGCATCAGCTAAATAGTAAAACAAAATATTTTATTCAGACTGTTGAAAACAATAACGGATGATTTATGTTTATACTTGTATCATCGACATCGAGTGTCTTCAATATCCACTGTATTAAATCGCCACCGGTAAAAACACTTGGAATTTTTGACATAAAACTTTTCACAGATTTGATTGGTAGGCCAGTATTTTCATCTTGCATTCTTTCTAGTAATAATTCAATCTATGAAATAATCAAATTAAGTGTTTTGACAGAAATAATAAGTAGTATAGTAAATTACTTTTTTATACGTGCAAAAATTTGGAATTTCATAGTCTCGATTGATGCCTTCCATCAAGTCTGTACTAGGATGCACGAGAAAATCGTTGGTAGGCGGTCCACTACTAGCATTGGTTCCAATTGATTCATTCAAAGCTATATGCTCGTCAATATCAACAGCCATGATACTATATGTTGGTGGAGGTACAATGACGCGAACCATTTCAGCAGTTAATTGGTCACCTGTTGAGTCATTATCGGTAAGAGACGCTCGATTTCGAGCGGCCATTCAGTCATAATAAAAAGCAATCATAATGATCACATTCTCTAGAACAAAGAAAACACAAAATTGAAATCTGTCTTAGAATAACTTTAAAGACAAGAATATCATAAATATTTGAGAAAGCGAGACAAAAAGAAAAGAAGAAGCAACAACAACAACAAGAAAAAAAATCTAAAAGAAATAGGTTTAGTGAGGAGGAAAACATTGATGGGCAACAAGAGGGCTTTAAGTTCATTTGTTCATATTTTGTAACTAATTGCTGTAATTTTCTTTTTGTTGAAATCTGACTATTTCAATTGAATTGCTTGCAATATTTTTAACCAGTTGCCGGTGCTAATCGATTAATGAAAGTAATTGCAGTATAACAAATACGACTAACAATTGCTGGACAACTTGGTTGACTACATAAATATTCTGTACGCTGACGAAGTTCATAGAATAATGTACGCGTATATGGATTTCTATGCGATGTATATCGTAATGTAAGAAATCGGTAATACATGAATATAAGTAACAGATTTGAACGTGCAGCAAATATTGATAGAATCAATAATGGCATAAGAATTATTTCATTTAATGCAACAAAACGTAGTAGATGTGCATGTTTTTCAGTGATACGATCAAGATAAGATTTGATGGCTGGATAATCGGTTAATATTTGTGCTAAAAATGACGATGAATGTAGTAGAGCATAGGTTGTTATTGGTATAAGAACGATTGTCATTGGTGAGCCAGTTAGAAATAAAAATGAATACATTAAATAATGTGCACTATCTTCGCGGATTAGATTTAAGAGAAATTCACGTGACAATTGAAATGTTGATATACGCTGTCGAAGACGTAATATTGATGTAACGGCTGATGATAATAAAGCTTTTGTGTAATAAACATTGGGATCAGCACTTGAACGAAAAAATGGTAATATATAAAGTAGTGTGAATACTATTGTTGCTAAACGCGACAATAATAAGACAGTATCAGTTTTCCGTTCCATTAAAACATTCATTAATGAAGGTGATGGGTATGTGTTTCCGCGCGGAGGTGTTTCAGCTGAAGTTCTAGGTGATGATCCTGCTGCTGCTGAAGCAGAAGCAGTGCTGGCATCATTATTTTCATTTGTTGGTGAACTTGTATTTGATGAAACATCTTCAACCAGAACCATGTTTTATTCGATTGAATATAGAGTAATGTACTTGTTGAGGAGTGTGAGAACAATAAATGAGACTAAATTATATTTCTATTTGAGTCAACCATGCACGAGAACAAAAACCTTCGGTAAAAAGTATCTATATTTATTGAAGCGTTAGAATCAACGTGAATTATTTTGTTCGTTGTAATACACTTTATATTCTAAAATAAATTTATTTCATACGATTTTTTACTATTGTTTTAATTTAAAAATCGTGGAATAAAATTTTATTACTAGTAGCGCCTCTCATCATTTTCATTGGTGCATTTTTATAGCTATGCTACTTTGGATTTTCGGTACTTTTTTTATTGCTGTGCCACACGTCAATCAATCGAATGGACTCCAAGTCTCACCAATGTTCAATATGTAAAAAGTCTTTTGCTAGACCAAGTAAACTACAATATCATATTGCTTATCATCATGAGAAAAAGGTATTTAATAATTGTGCTATATCATGCACTTGTCTAACATTTTCCGTGTACCGGAGTATTTTAAAATGAATAATGAAATTTTCATAATGAACTTAGTATTTAACATGAAAGCGGCATCTCAGCAAATAAATATTTGACTTTCCGGAGATGTTTTTGCCTATTATATAAGATATCCATGGTACTAAAAATAGATGTTTTCTCTTCCAGAAGAAAAATAATCAATGATTAACGAAACATTTTCTGTAACATAACTTTTTTTCCTTCTTTTGAATTAGTTTTCATTCGAATGTAGCCAATGTGGAAAACCATATTCAAATCAAGACCATGTTAATCGGCATTACCGTATTGCACATCAACAAGAAAATACAACATCAAAAACGTAAACATTGAAAATCTGCTCATTTTCAAGTATTTTCATAAAATGATTCTTTTTTCAGGTTTAATTGTATGATGGATAACTGCAAAAAGATATTTGCCAATAAACAAAATCTAGATCGACATATTAGAATAGCTCATAAAAAAATTACATTCAAACCAGTGAAAGTAAATTGAAACATACTAATTATATTTTTTGAATATTTCCGACTTTGTTTAGTGTTTCTATTGTTTTGATTATGTTGACTCGTTGGCATCACATTTAGTTTCTCAACATCATTCTATTTCAATAGATAAATTAAAGTAGAAAATTCTTATCTTTGTAATTTTCTAATAAATATGATTCATTTAGATGTCTTGATTGTTCGAAAGAATTTTCTTCCATTAAAAGTTTAATTCATCATCGCATTATTCATACAGGTATGATTTAGTAGTTCGAGGAAAGCAATAGACAGGATTTTCTAATTGAATTTAGATCATCCATTGGCCGCCTTTGCGCGTTACATACGGTTAGTAAAAGGTTGGGTGACCACCTTCGAAGACCGTCAATGGGTGTATATGATATATATGTATATGAGCTATTTTTAAACATTACCATTGGTATTTAGACGAACGTCTTGAACTTGATGTTCAATGGGCAATGAATCGATTATTAGACGAAATCGAACGAAAACAAGGTAATTAAAATAAGTTTCTATTGAAGTACTGAGCAATTTCACATACAACTTAGGAACTCATTATTTGTTACTTTACTTGTTTGTCGAGAATCAGATTGACATTTATGCAATTACAGTATTTAGTAGAATTAAAAAATAAAGATTCTATTTTAAAACATTCATTAACGTTTATCAAAAAAGTTGTTTGCGTCAAGCTGGTTAAACGCCTTTATTGATGCTTGATTCATACAGAGTATATGGTAAAGTTTTGAAAAAGAATCCGTACAAGGAAAGTCATTTTTCAAGTTGCAAACAATACATAGGTTTATTTTATGCAATGCGATTATTAATTGCATTAATAGAAATACGGATCTTATACCATAGATGCTAATAGGTATTGTTGATATTCAATCAACGCCCATTATAATCCTTATTGAGTTCCTGGAACACTATTTAAAAAGCTTAGAAAATATTTTTTCGTAAAATAATCTACCACTTTAATTGCCAATAAAAGTTGCATCGTATTTCATATTTTAATCGTACAGAGATAAAACTACAACTTTCAATTGAAGTGTTTCATTAATCAATGATGGAATAAGTAATTTCTATATTTTAGTCTTTCAATGTGATTTATGCAATCGAGTATTCCGCTCATTGCTACAACTTGATCAACATCGTAATAGTAAAATTCATCAAGATGAATTTCAATGTCAATATCCTAATTGTGAAAAACGATTTGTTTATATGAGAAATCTTCGAAATCATGTCAAGTAAAGATTTTTAGTTTTGAGAAAGCAATGAACATAATTTCCTCTGTGTTATATTAGAATTCATCATGAAAATATGTCACGTTTATCATGTCCGATGACATCTTGTTCAAAAACATTTACTTGTCAATCATCGATTTGTCGACATTTAAGTCGATGTCACTCTCCTAATGATATTATGAAACAAATAAATATGAAACCAAAGAAATCGAATCATCAGAAAACTAATATAAAAAGTTTCTTAAGCGGTTTTAATAGTCGAAAACTTAATCAAGAAAATGAACTTTCAAAACAAATGAAACAACTATTAGAACTTTTATTAACGGACGATAATCTCATTCAAATACCACCAGATGAAAACATGGATACAGAGAATAATAATAATACTGAAGATTCATTCGATGAAAACTTACTTAAAGGCTATGAGGACATTGGCCTTGTTGAATTATAATTGTTATTTTGTTATCAGTTGTTTTTTGTTTTGTTTTAACTAGATATTTTTATTATAAACTTGTTATTACTTTTTATAGATATCTGTATAAATTTTGATAGAAAAAAACTCATCGAAGTGATAATGGCCGAAGTGAAACCGGTATGTATTTTGTTTTATGATAATATTTTTCTAAAACAAAGAATTTGTTTTGAGCTCGACATAGATGTAAATATTGAAAGTGTATCAAGTCTATGATTGGTCATGAGTGAGAATCTTTTTTCTAGTTAATATTTACTGCGATCAAGTTTCTATGTGTATGTGTGTGTTTTGTTTTGCCTTTTTCTGTACGTGAAAATCGATTTTTTTTCTTCTAATCAAGGTTAAACTCATAAGAAACACGACATGCGCATTTGGTTTTATCTCTCGTACAAAAAACAATATCTATTATTGGGTTCTATGCTACGAACGAATGAGGAATATATATTTTTTTTGAGAAAAGAAGCAATACTGTCTTGATGAATTTTTGACTGATTTTTTCCTTGTCAGACACTAACTAGTTCGAACAAAATAGAATGATGGAAACTATGCACGTAGAACTCCAATCGATCATCCCCTTTTCTTCAGATAATATTAACCGACATGGATTCAGTAACACCACAATTACCACCGGACACTCAACCGCTTGCACACCAAGTTGCCGGACATTTTTATGGTCGATCGAAAACAAAATTCGGTTTACTGCAACGTTGTTCAACAGGCGATGTTCTCAAGCCATTACTCAATCCACCGCGGGGTCCACGTGAACATCAATTTTATCTCGATATGTTTTCCGATGAAATTTCAAATGAACTTCGTGCACTTCGGCCATTTCTTCCTAAATTATTGGGTACATATCAATTTGATAGTATGACTTATTTAGTGTTAGAAAATATTGTACGATCCTATGAATATCCATGTGTTATTGATATAAAACTTGGACGAGTAACTTACGATTGTGAAGCAACACCGGAGAAAATCGAACGGCAAATTGGAAAATTTCAACCAGCAACGGAAATTGGCTTTCAATTACTCGGCTGGAAAACTTATCGAAGATTAGATAATATGTATATTTATCATGATAAACGATGTGCCCGATCATTGAATAAAGAAGAGCTTCTTTATGGTTTCGCACATTTTTTTGGTGCACCTGAAAATAATCATCGTCCATTTGTACGGGCTGTACTCGAACGGGCTGTTGCTCTCGAACGGACTATGTCACAACAATTTGAATTTGTTTTTATTGCATCATCGATTTTGATTGTCTATGATAGTGTTCACAGAGAGAATTCCGATGATGTTAAAGTTGATGTTCGCCTTGTGGATTTTGCTCATGTTTTCCCATCGCACTCTAATAGTCAGCCCGATGAGAATTTACTTTTTGGGCTTCGTAATTGTATCGACTATTTAAAAATGTTACTTGATGAAAATTTTCATTATCTACCTATTGATAAATTAGAACATAATACTAATTTGTCCGATTTAAATTGTTATAAAATTCTATCTAAATAGTCTCTTATCATTATTGTTGTTGTTGTTGTTGTTGTTGTTAATGTCCTTTCTCATGTGTATCTATTATAAATCTATTTTTGTTCGAACAGTAAACATTTTTTCAAAACAAAAAAAGAATAATATCAAAAGAAAGAAATCACCTACGAGAGAGATCAAATGATTTGACATTAAATTATTATCTTATTGTAGACACGCAAATTCGAATATACGGTTGATTATAATTTGGAAGAACAACAGAAAAAGCCGCAAGCCGCATGTGAACTACTTCGATATGATTTGAAAATGTGCCTATTGGCAAGTGATTGTTGTAAAGTAATAAAATCCAATTAGAAAAAAACCAACAAAAATTCAATATTGTTCTTTCTTTTCGATTTCTAGCTTGGACATACACCAAAAGAATGTATTTCAAATGACAAATTACGCGAATTCGTTCCTGACGAATGTCGCCGTTTAGCATATACATTCTTTGAATGTAAACGATCGACGGTAGTGTAAAAAGAAACTTCATTGAATACAAACTATCTATTTTCTCCGATTGATTTAGATCGATATGCGTGCTCGATTTCGTGGTCGCAAGGGTGAAATTTATTAATTAGAACTTTGGATTACGTTTTTTTTTGTGTTGTTCCTTCTTTTACTTTCTTGTTTTTTCTACATATCAAAGAAAAGAAGTTATTAAAAACTGATCTTCTTGATTTCTACGAACCATCATCAATCATTGATATATTTCTTCCAGATTGTTGTCTGTTATGTTGTTTGCTCAACGTTTTACTAGTATAGCAGTATCCCGTAGATATGCATCAACAGTTGCTGATCTCTATAAGGGATTAATTAATGGTGATCGAGTTTGTTTGGCAAGAAGTATTACATTAGTAGAATCGACTCATAAAGAAAAACAGCAACATGCAAAAGAATTACTTGGCCAAGTTTTACAAGGACTTAAACAACGACAACAACAACAACCGCGTAAACCGATTAGCTTCAGAATAGGTTTGTTAATGATATTAGTTTTTAATGAAGTAAATAATCTTCGAACTTTGTCTGATAGGATTATCCGGTAGCCCTGGTGCTGGTAAATGGTAAAAGTTTAATTATTTCTAGTTCTGAAACAATTTATACGATTTCGAATTTTGAAATAATTAACTAAGAATTAATTAAAGCATAATTATGATAGTCGAAGTTGTTTTGCTTTTTTAGGAAAATCAACGTTTATCGATATTTTTGGTCGGTATTTACTAAAGCAAGGACATAAATTAGCTGTATTAACAGTTGATCCATCATCATCCACTACTGGAGGTTAACATAATGAATGTTTTGAAATCCGTAAGGAAAATATTTCGCTTTGCAAATTAGGCTCAATTCTCGGTGATAAAACAAGAATGCTTGAATTATCACGTGAGCCCAATGCTTACATTCGCACATCACCAACATCTGGCACATTGGGTGGTGTAACTCGGACAACAAATGATGCCATTGTTCTTTGCGAAGCTGCCGGTTATGATGTTATTCTAGTCGAAACTGTTGGTATGCTATAGAGCAACTGAAAAATACAAATATTAGTTTTCTTTTCTTGTTTTATAGGTGTTGGTCAATCTGAGTTTGCTGTTGTAGATATGGTAGATATGTTTTGTGTGTTAATTCCACCGGGATCAGGCGATGAGTTACAAGGTTAGAGTAAAATGAAATGGTACTCTTTATTTTATGATTTTTATTTTAGGCATGAAAAAGGGCATTATGGAAGTAGTTGATTTAGTAATAATAACTAAAGCCGATGGAGACTTACTGCCTGAAGTTCGCCGTTTACAAAGTGACTGGTCGAGTGCTCTACGATTGATGCGTCGTCGATCTCGACATTGGTCACCAAAAGTAAATATCTATATAATTACATAAGTCTTGTTCCTATGTGGCCATTCGTTTTAATTATTTTATTCAGGTCTTAGCCGTTTCGTCGCGTAAAAGTACTGGTATTGATAAGGCTTACGAACAAATGTTTGCTTTTGAAAATGCAATGGTTGAGTCTGGCGAATTTATGAAGATACGTTCTAATCAACTTCAAAAATGGATGTGGAACAATGTCAAAGATCGAATACTTGATCAATTTTTAGCCGACGAAGAAATACAAAGGTTAATTCAAAGTTATGAACAACGTGTTGTTCGAGGACTTATAACACCGTTTGTAGCTGCTGATGCGATTTTGAATATTTTTGGTAAAGCGAAAGTGGACAAAAGTGCATAGAAACTTTATATAGATATATTTAAGTCATGTAGTTTTCAATTATATTTTATTAAATTAGAAAAATTCAGCATATATTACATGTCGACTGCGCTTCTCAAACGAATAGAAAAATGTATTTATTCTTGATGTCGAATTTTTATTAATAAAAAATGTGGAAACTTCGGATTTCATCCGAGAGTTATGTGTACTGCAAAAAGTTCATGGGACATATGAGTCATTCTAGAGTGTCTGAACACCAAAATTATCATGAGAAACTAGGCACTTTGATTTCTGGATGCATTTTGAGACGTTTTTCAGGCGATGTTTCGTTAGAAAGCTACGGTTTAGTTCAAAACTAATATCAGATTCGGAATCAGCGTTAAAAACTGAGTCGATTTATATATGTTGTGAATAATTCTGAGAAAAATTTGTTTTTTGAAAACAAATCCTTGTACTCCTCCTCAGGGATGGTCTGGTCAAAAATGAGAATGTTTTCGATAACTCAACCATTTCTTGAGAGATTTTTCTCATCTTCGAACTCGACCGAGATATTCATGAGACTGAACTGTGTGGAAAATTTCATCATGAACTGACTCTCCTTTCGAAAGTTATCGTGCTTACGGACGGACACACTGACCGATTCTAGAGTGTACTCGCTTTTTGAGTATACAAAAATCACATTTAAATGATCAGAGAAAACAAACTTGTCAATCACTACTAAACTTCCCTTGCAAATGAGAAATTTTGAAAATTCATGACCTTGTACTCTGAGGTTAATAGAAGTGCAATAACAAGAATATTTATTCATTTATGTAAATCAATTACAACAAGAGAATGATTGCCTCTACTTGTCGTATACAAATGTTTGTTCGATGCCACATGAGAATAATAATGATTCCTTTGAGTCGGATAGCGTCGCAATCACTCATGTTAATCAATGTTTCAGAGCATCGAAACTCTCAACTATTGACAATAATAATATTGAGAAAGCAATAATTCGATTTCATATCCAGGAGTGAAAGAATTTACGCCCATATTAATTTATATTTGTTCAGATCTATTACTTGCAACTTTGTTTTCTTGGAGATGAATAAAATTTTCATTTTGATACATCGAAATGAAAATTAGGCTCAGAAAATCAGTCACATCGATGACGAAAACTAAGAACAATATCAATCTTAATCCAAACGCAGCGACGCTCATATTCAAGCCTGACTAAAATATTTTCAATCAAATTCAATTTGATCAGATAAATACGGTGTTTCGTTGTGATATTAGAGTTAATAGAGCTGAAAGCTGTTCGATGCCTTCTTCATCCAACATACTCTTGTTGTTGTTGTTGTTGTAATATGATCGACGTTTTGTAAGTACTTAAAATAATTATGAAGATAGTATCATCATTCGAGTCGGTAGATGTAGTACCTCCACAATTTATTCTAAAACTAATTTGTCTTCCAATCATATCGAGATGAGTACAAGCATTATGTTGTTCTTATCTCGAGAAAAACAATTGTAAACAGTCTACTTGACCCATAAAATAATCGACAATCAATTAGCTGAATGACGACGGAAAAAAATAGGTGAAGAGTATGTATTGCGATCGATGTAGAGGAGATTCAAGCCAACAGTTACATTCACAACAATTATACAAGCTGTTATTGTTAATTGTGCAAAAAAATCTACGTAAAAACTACATTCGATTTATAGGGAAATTGCTTTTTTCTTAGTCCAGAATTTGTTGATACCGCAGGACCGATACAATCCATTTGTACGATAGATAATTCGTAATTTATAGTTTACGTATTGTTAGAGTATCTTGAATTGTTGTTACGATGTGTAGCTGCTGAATAAATTGGAAGATCGATCTTTGTCAACATACCATTAGCGTGTTCATTTATTTCGACTTTTGTATAATATTTGATCCAACCAAATGAGCAATATTAGATAAACGACCAAAAAAAGCCATACTAACTTAATCTCATAATTGATGTTCGCAATAATTTACTTTTCGTGATCTCAAAACAATCGATAACAGATCACATTTTATATCCCGGAATAGTGATAGTGGAAGAAAATTATACTTTGTCCCCAGGAAAAATCTCCACGCCGACTAATACTAATTGACTTTTCAATCCATATGGTCGCATTGACTTCTTTGTCTCGAATATTTTTTGTGATCGCATGAGATGGTTCGACCATGATTAGAAATAGTTCATGTGAGTATAATGCATCGAATTGGTTTAAATAGAAAAAACAAGCAAGACTTGCACCCTTCGAACTAAATAACTTTCACATCCAACTATTGTTCATACAACATTGTCCTTACGCCGACCATTATAGAAATAATTCAATTCAAAATACTCGTCAGTCAGTAATAAAATTTGAAAGTGTGCAACAAAACACTGTCCAGACACACGTGTCTTGGTAGAAGAAAATAAATAAATTCTTTTTTTGATGATGTTCGTATGATGCAGTTCATTGTTTATTGTTTCCCTATGAAACATACTTAATCACAATCAGAGTAGTCAATAGAAAAATATCGTTTTCTAACTTACACATTCTTCAATAATTTCATCATTGAAAATAGAAATAATGTAACATTCAAACAGTTTAGAAAGAAGAAAGAATCCAAAGAACAAAATACGAACATGAGAAAAGACAAACAAAAAATAAATAAATTATTCTTCACCAAGGGCAAGTGAAGCATTTTGTTTTTCTATAGAAACTTTTGTATGCACGCGCATGATAAAGAGAAGCAATAATTGCAGTAGATAATAATCAATTAAAACAGAAAGGAAACAGGTGAGTTGCATAGATCATCGGTACCTTAACTATCCATAGCTCTTTGTTTGAATTTCTTAAATAAAAATAAAAACACTTTATTTAAATAATAAATGGCGATCTTTAGTTATTATAGAAAGAGATAAAATGTCAAAATCAAGTTATTATACCAACGATCAAGAAACAGCAATAACAACGCGTATTGTTGAAAATTTTATTATCGTTTGGTTAGATCTACAGCAGAATGAATTGGATGAAAATCTAATAAATCAATTTCGACAGACGATCAATTCAATTTATTTTTTTTCGGATACGGAGCAATGCATTGAATATATTTCACGAATTCAAGATGAACAAATATTTATGGTTATTGCTAATTCATTCGATCGACAATATATGCCCGCATTCGAACAAATGTCACAACTGAATTCAATTTATTTTTTGAGTATTAAAAAAATTGATTATAAAGAATATAAAAAGGTCAAAGGTAATTTTAATAGAATTGAAAATATTTTCAAAGAACTTAAACTCGACCTTTATCTATGTCAACGTAATTTAACTCCCATTAGTATGGTTAATTCAAATTCAATAAACAATTTTAATGAACTCGATGAATCATTTCTATGTTCACAATTAATTAAAGAGATTTCAGTGAGTATGAAACGGGATGAAAATGCTAAAAAACAATATCTAGAATTTTGTCGTGTACAATATGCTGGCAATGAACAACAGTTAAAAATTATTGATCAATTCGAAAGGGAATACACATCTCTATCGCCGATCTGGTGGTATACAAGAGATTGTTTTACCTATTCGATGCTTAATAAAGCTTTAAGAAAACAAGATACTGAATTGATTATTAGAATGGGATTTTTCATACGAGATTTAAACGAACAAATCGAACAGATCTATGCAAAAATGGGAAAACCCTCTTCATTAACTGTTTATCGTGGTCAAGGTATGGCACCTGTCGAATTCGAAAAATTACTAAATAATAAAAGTGGACTTCTATCATTCAATAATTTTTTCTCGGCAAGTACAGATCGTCAAGTATCATTGAGTTTAGCTAAACAATCATCGAATAATTTGTATCCAACGTCTGTTCTATTTCAAATGAATATCAATCCATTGATTGCAACAAGTCCGTTTGCTTATTTAGATAAAATAAGTTATTATTCGAATAATAAAAAAGGTATTATTTTTCCAATGCATACAATTTTTCGTATTGACGAAATCAAACAGATTGAAAAGTATTTATGGCAAATTAATTTAACATTAACAAGTAGTAATGATGAACAACTTGTACGACTGACTGAATATACACGTGTAGGCGCCGACGGAGAAACTGGTATGCATCGAATGGCTAAGTTAATGCTTGTTATGAGTAAAATGGATAAAGCAAAAGAAATCTATTCAGCACTACTCGACACAACATCGAGTGATGATAAAAATGAACTCGCTCATCTGCATCATCAAATTGCATATGTTTATGAACAGAAAAATGATTTAGCCAATGCACTTTCTCATTATGACCAAGCACTCAATATCTATTTGACTTATTTACCATTTAATGATCCAAAACTTTGTCCAACATATTCAAATATTGGATTAATACTTAAAAAGCAAGGCAATCTAAATCATTCTTTAGAATTTCTTGAACATGCTCTTGATATTGATCTAATTGCATCGAAGCCTGATCCAATTGAAATCGCTATTCTATACATAAATATTGGTGGCGTTTATGATGCCGAAGGAAAATCTGCAGAAGCTTTAGAACACTATGAAAATGCACTTGAAATCATCCGTAAACATCTTCCACCTTATCACCCATTGATAGGAGCGACTCATAATAATATTGCATTAGTACATTTTTCATTGAAAGATTATTCAACTGCTTTAAAACATTTTCAAGAAACGCTTGAAATTGAACAAAAAAAACTTGCCTATGATCATCCATCACTGATTATGACTCATATGAATATAGCTGGTGTACTGGAAGGTCTTCAACGATATAAAGAAGCTGCTGAACATGCAGAAAAAGCTGCTAGTATTTTACGTGATAAATTCAGTGATGATAATCCTCAAGTTACAATACTACGTGAATATTTAGATCATTTAAGACAGAAACAATAAATGTATATACTTTTTCACTTTTTTTAAAATTTTATTATTTATTAAAAAGAGAGAAAAAAAAATCGAAAAGCATTCCGAAATTATGAATCGATATGAAACATTTATTAACTAGCAGACAGTTGGCTGTTTAGTGTCCTGAAAGAATCTTACAATCATTTGTAGAACGAAGTTCTGCACTTTTAAAGTGACTTTCATCAAATCGAACGATTAATTTGACCATGTGAATTACGAAATAATCCGAAAAATGAGCGAATATTTTTTTTATCGACAATTAAGAACCATCATGCTCGCCATTGGTATGAAAGTAAAGCATTGATACAACATTCTAATCACTGGCTACAAAACGTATTAAGAAAAAATCTCGCTGTCTCGCTGCATTAACAATTTATTTTTTCGTATAATACTAGTTCGATCGATTCGAATATCAATTTACTAATTCATTCTGTCGTATATCAAGCATGAATTTTTAATTAATTCTCATAAACTGAAGATTAATGGAGATTAGAACAAAAGCGTTGAATATAGATCGAATCTGACTAGTGAATTCTAAATCAATATTCTTCTCTAACGAAAATGTACAATTGTCCTGGTCATCTGTTCCGAGATTTATCAAAGCAGTATTTTCTCTTAATACACGTGATTTTAAAACAACTGTTAGGATTGAAATAGACGATTTTAAATTTAAGTTATTTTTTTATCATGCTATCCATATATATTTCCCGGTCTTTTTCGAATCAATTTCTCTCGTCGGCTGCCTATAGTTTCGAATAGTATTGTTCTACTATTTTCTTTTTTTTCTGTTCTCTTTTAATTCCAGGGATTTAGAAATATGATAATAGACAACTCTGGCTATCTAGACGACACAACAATGTACATAAGTAACGTCTACTTGCTCTCTTTTGCGTCGTTACTGTTTGTCCATCCGGAATATCAGCAACGAAATGGACGGGAGAAATCACTACGAATCTACGAGAAAACGTGTCCATCTCTTTCTCTCTCTCGCTCTCTTTCTCTGTTTCTTGTCTCACTATTTATTAAGCACTTTTTTTCGACGACGTGATTATTAGTCGATTTTTCTCTTTTCCTTTTAACTTTTAACCTATTTGTGCGTGTGCGTGTGAGTGTGTAAACTAAACAACTACAATGATCTCAAAAGAAAGTGTAAATATAATAATATATCTGTTTTGCATTGTTAAGTAATTTTCTTCTTCTTCTGAACTTAGACTTTTACAATCGGAGGAAATTATCCATTAATTGATCGTTCATTCAATACATTAAGTAATTTACTTGATGATCCTTTACCAAATAATAATGAATATGAACAACAACAACAACAACAGCGATCAATGATGATGATGAATGGAACAACAAATTTACCACAATGGTCAATGCCACAAATTAATTTTGCATCAACGCCTATTCTCAAGTAAAGATTTCTACTATAAATTTCGAATTGGTTAAACTATTGTGGGTATTTTTGTTTAGTATGTGTTCGGATGAAAAATTTCTTCAATTTTTAATGAGTAAAGATTTTACGACTCGCTATGCTGGTGATGATGATCAATATGAAGATAATCGTTATGTACAAGAACGACATCAAAATATTGTTCCAACATCTTTAATAGAACAAATGGTATGACTGTTTTTTGATAGTTTGAAATAAATAATCGTATTTCTATTTAGCAATGTATCACCATTGATAATGATGATAATCGATTGAAATTAGCTGCAGCCAATGAACGTCGTCAAGCTACTCGTAAGACGGACGGGGAAGGGGAGCATGAAAAAATTCATTTTCTAGTTAATAATGATTTTTCTAGGTCATTTTGGTAAAGTCAGTCAAAATATGTGTTGGTGTGCACCATTACCAGTTAAACCGCGGGCTTATTCGATAAATCCTCCTTCACTTTCAAATAAAATTTTTCTCGGTGGAATTCCGCATGATCTTAATGAACGTAAGAAATGAATTCTATCAAATTTTAGTTTCTTTTTAATGAAAAAAAAATATTTATTTGTGCTCATAGGTGAATTAGCTACTCGTCTTAGTCAGTTTGGCCCTGTTCGTATCGAATGGCCGGCTGAAAATAATCGTACGCGTCGTCGAACTAATCATGGTAGAGTTGTTTTTTTTTATGTGAAAGAATTTATTTTTATTCGAATTATATTTCTAGGCAAATCTGGATATGCCTATGCAATATTTGATAAAGAATCGTCTGTACATGAATTACTTTTAGCTAGTTGTCAACAACCACAACGTAATTCTGATGGTCGTTGTGAATATTATCTTAATCTTAACAGTCAACGATCGGCTTCGAAACGTAAAAGTGTAAGTTGATCTTCTCATTTTTAAAATGTATACTGGGGATTAAATGGTTGATACCCTTCAGTTACTCGGGTCTGGTGGCTATTGCCATTATCAGTTCTTTAATTAAACACTTCAGGATGAAAATATTAACTACGTTTTCCTTTTAGATTCAACTAATACCATGGTTTGTAAGTATTGCAATGATTTCTGTTCAATATCAATAGAGAACATATCATTTTGGTTATATAGACGGAAGATGCACAATGGATGTCGTCGAATCGACACGATGCAGCCATGTGTGAATTACTCAAAGATGATCCATATAAGACCACAGTCTTTGTTGGAGCTTTACATGGTAGATTATTGTTGAGATTTTGCAATCAATTAATTTTTAATGATTTTTAGGTATGATGACTGCATATGCACTTGCTCGTATATTCTCTAAATTATTTGGTGAAGTTGATTTTGCTGCTATTGATACTGATCGTAATAAATATCCAATTGGTAAGTTTAATTCTTCGATTTGATTATGAACTTGTTTTTTGTTTGTTTGTTATCATTTAGGTTCTGGCCGTGTTATTTTTACTAGTATTCACAGTTATTTCAGTGCAATGACGGTTCGTTTTTATTTGAAAAAAATATCAATATACTAATTTGTATTTCTTTTTGAATAGGCTAATTATGTATTTATTGATTGTGAACGATTTTCAAAAGTGGTTCGTATTTCAAGTTTTTTGTTTCTATTTCTTTCGAAAAGTGTATTGTCTTCAGAGAAGAATAACAAATCTTTTCTCAGTTTACACTTCTCTACTCACGGAATCGTGGAAAGAGATTCATTATGGTTGATTGCCATTTTTGTTCCTTCTGTAGAAGGTATTTTGCCTTAACGCTTCTTTTTAAGTGAGGTTTTATTATTAGTCTTATACTAAACAAGTCACTTCGATCTACTATTTGAATTATTCAACAGCTTCTCATTGCATAAAAATTAAGCATTCAAAGTGAAGAATACTACAAGTCTAACACCATCTTTCAACTGTAGAGTAAAATATTCGCATGACTATCGTGATAAAGAGAAAACTACTATAATCGAACTTGAAAGACAGTTAACATATTCATTAGTATGTATCTCGTAATATTTATTATAGATTCAATTGGATCCTTATTTGGTTGACGCTCAAACCTGTAGTGGTACAAATGGTCAATCATGCACTCAATTGGGTAAATACTTCTGTCGATCACTTGCCTGTTGGAAATATTTTTGTGACAAATGTTGGACAAGAGCACACACGGGTATTAATAGTCAGCAACCATTAACTGAAGCGCTCGCTCATAAACCACTAATGCGTAATGCAAGTGTTTCTTGATTGAGTTTGTTTTTTCTTGTTTTCTTTTTTGTTTGAAAGTAAGAGTTATGCATTTCTGTTGACTGTTTTTTTTGTCTCCTTTTTGTGTTTGAGATGCATTTCATGTTCGTCTATATCTCTGTTGAATGGTTCAATTGTTTGTGTTCGTTTTTTTCTCTTCTTGTTCCACTGTACCGGTGATTCGCTCTATTGTCAAGGTGGACTTCGTCGTGTTTTGTGATAAATTTTCTTTCTTGCGCCTTTTTTTCTCTATATGTATGGTTTTCTAGTATAACCTTTTCTTTTGTTATTTGTTATTTGATGTTTATTTTCGTGCATCTTTAAGATATTGTACTTTGAAAAAAGAGATAACGATTGAATATATATAAAAACACGCACATAGAATTCGTATGCGTTTGGAAGGTTAAACATTATTATGCCTTTTTAATACAGTCATAAGCAAATATTACAATGATATCGCTATCAAAGTAATATCTTTACATTCTAGTACAAAAGATGGTAGAAACGAAGAATAGTAATGGGCTGGTTTCTTTTACAGAACGGTGCTCGTTATGAAGGATAGAGAGAACAAGAAAAAAAAACTAGCAATAGACCAGAAGAGAAATAAGAAAAAAGAGAAAAGAAAAAAAACGTGGTCTGTATTATTGGGCGTAAAAAGATACGGCACAGACTCGTATAAACGAACGACAAACATTTAGAGGCTAAACGCAAGTATCACAACCGATTGTACTTACATAAATCAAAGTTCATTCAAACGTATTCGAAAATTTTATCATGATATTGGCCATTGCTTTATTAGTTAATAATCTAGGCTTGTTCATTTTGGAAGTCATCGGACATCATGTTTGTCATAGTGGTACGAATTGTTTTTTCGGAAAGAAATAAGTGACATAAATTTGCGTTTATTTTATGTCGTTTATTTAAAAAAGTTGTGATGCTTCTTGATGGTTATTATCATCTATGTCAAGCTATTCTATGTACAGTACGGATCGTATCACGTCGAGTGAGTTCAAAAACCAAAATAAATATCTTGAAAATAATTTTACTTTTCTTCAAACCTATCTATAGATTCAATTCACGTATACATCCCGGCATACATATGGTTTGGCTCGAGGTAATTCATCTTCAATTAATAGTTATTATACAAATTGATATGTGCATTTGCTTTTCTTTCTCGATTCCATAAGTTGGCGTTGTTGGTGAATTAGTTGCCTTTATTAGTTTTCTTTCGTTATCTGTTTCGGTGTTTCTTGAAAGTGTTAAACATCTTGTTGATGTTGTTTTTATCTTACCGCAACGAGAGAATAATAGTACAACATTGTTCACTGCTCATGGGCACGGTAAGATTTTATTGTTAAGTATTAATTAAACAATAGCGTTATCGTTTCATCTAGAACATATTCATAGTATTATTGATCATCCTAAATTTATTCTTGGTGTTGGTATTTATGCAACTGTATCTAATTGTTTATTAGGCGTTGCAATACTCTGTAGGTGAGATAGGGTATTTAATATAAAAGCGTAAAAATATTTCTTCTAGACAACGTGATAAAACGCGCAAGGAAATTGAAACAACAATTAAAACATTCAAAACAACATCTTCAACACCCATTACCGAAGAAATTGCTTTCGAAATCTTGTATGCATGAAAGTTTATTTATATTCTTTGTTCCGCAGTGGAAGTAAACAGTATTAAAATGAATTTTTTCTTTGGCCATTCGAGTATCGCCGATGACAACGTGAACGGAAGGCTTCACTAGATAAAAATTAGAGGTATGCTCAGAAGGACGGCTAAGACCTCTTTAGAGAAAGTTGAGCCTCTCCTCACTAGAGTTTTTTCTGGTTACGCTTCTAGCTAAAATAAAAGTCAAGCAAGAGAAGTGATCAGCAGATTTATATGAAAGATCTTCAGAAAACTAAGATCAGAAGAACGTGCTGTGATACCGAGCACTATTTCCTCTATCGAATATATTGATTTTAAAAGTTCTTTTAAGATGGGGACGACGAGCCAGCTGTTTTTGTTGATCTCAACTTTTTACATGAACCTGCTGGTAGCGATTCACTTGAGTTTCGCAATAAATTTAACCACAACTTACACTAGCTGTTGCCCTGATAGATCAGCAATACTTCGTTTTTTGTTTAACTTTATCAGACCGTTATAAATATCTAAATAATTAAGAAGATAAGAAATAAAAATGGCCTCATTAATTTGTTTATTCTATTGTAGTACTTATTTCGGATACACTGTCGACGAATCATTCGTTTCTTCAAGTACTCAATATGTTACTGGGTCCTCTAGCAATATTAGCTTGTGGCATATTATTGATAATGCTATCTGAAGCGTATCATGTTCGAGTCATATACACTCGTCTTGTTGATCCAATCATTGGCTGTTTTCTCTTTCTTTCGTATTTTCTGATGATTTGTGTACCAAGTAAATAGTATTCTATTATACATTCTATCAATGAAAATATTCTTCTAGTTCGAGAGGTCGTACATCTCGTTTTACAAGCTAAACCGAATGGTCTTAAATCTGATGAAATCGAAGCAACCATTATTGCATCTGTATGTTGAGTACTATAATTCGAAAAGAAGAGAATTTTGTTTGTTTTTAGATTCCAGGTGTGTCAAAAATTCATGAATTTCATGTATGGCGTTTAACACCACAAAAAACTTTAGCAACAATTCATATTGTTTTTAATACAACAAAAGATATACTTGCTAAATATCAAAATGTCTCCTTAATATTTAAAGCACATCATATTGATCATGTTACAATACAACCTGAATTTTCATTGGTGAATATCGAATTTATACTCTCATTTTACATCTTATTATTCCTGTCTTCTGTATTTTAGCTTCCAGGTGAAATTGCAAAGCTGACAAATGAGCAACAATCCTCAGTTCAAAATCATGAATGTAGTACAATTCAATGTTCGGAGAAAACAACAATTGAAGAGATCGATGGCGAAGATGAGACACCATCATCAATACCTAAAAATCATTTTCATCGTCGTAGTAGTATAAGTTTAAATTCAATTGAATCAGAAAATGAAAGCAAAACAATAGGATAATGTGCAGAATTATTATGTCGAAAATAGTACTGTATCCATGTGATCGATTTATCAGTTGTTGTTAATAGCGACAAATGAAAACTTTATTTTTTTTTGCCTTTTCTATTTTGAGATATATTAGTCTTAGTCACTGCTTGCGATGCACCATAATTTATGGTTGAAAATTGATTTGTGTAGGAAAGATGAAAGTGTACAACCCGCTTTGATGAAATTACTTGTGTGCCTTGATGGATGAATAATTTTACTCAATTTTGTTTTTAATTTTAAATATAATACTTAAACTAATTGTTGCTATTTCTCAAACATGTTTTCTAAAATGAAAAAATCGTTATATAAAGCAAGCTTGTGTGAAACTCGATAGACAGGAGATAATCATTCGGCAGCTGTATAAACTATTAGAAAAGAAACGAGAGAAAACTATCAATGTTGAAGAAAGATATAAACAAGAGTCTCGGGAATAATCCGCTTGTCGTGAAAAGCGTAGTATCATAGTTACTCACAAAGATACAGGAATCAGCTGAGAGGAAGTCTACACCAGCATTTTCATCAGCTTCTGTTAACATTTAGTCAATAAGCCGTGATATCAAAGCAAAAATACAAAAAACCATCTGAGAGAATGAAAATCAGAATTTATCTTGAGAGTGCCTGCCTATCGTTGGTATGCAAACATATCTCTTCAGTGTCAGAAGAAGGAACGAGATGTATATTTCTGAAGAGACAGTTGACCGCCTACCTTGAATCATTCTTGCCCAAAGTTGAAGTCTGTTGGTTTTCATTTGCTGATAATTAGTATATAATTATATCAAGGTGGAAAAGGCGTATTTTGTATTTTGAAAATCCAAACCGTGAATGATGGAATTTCTATCTGAATTTTTTCCATATGTAGGTTTTATGACCCTTAGGATGTTCTAAACTTTTCAGCGCAAACGGATGTTTTCTTCTCATGGTTATGAATGCGCAAGAAATGCTCATTTCACGGCACGATCAGAAAATCCAGTTTTTTTGAACATTTAATATTTTAAGGAGGAAACATTTGCTCGGGTTGAAACTTTTAGGATCTTCTATGGACCATGAAACCTAGATATGCGAAGAATGTCAGATCGAAACTACGTCATTCACAGGGAGGGAAGTGCTTTTCAATTTTGGAATTTTTCGGATTTCAAAATCCCGAAAATCCGCCGTTTTCTCCTTGATATATATATAATGTATTTTATAGAGATATTTCACTGGTTTTCGAACATAGATTTTGTGAGCTACTGTGCTGCTAATTACCAGGATTTATTTGAACTGAGAAATGTGCTATGTGTACCTGTGTCACGAGAATCTTTCAGTTGTATTTAGGTTTATCACGCATGTGAGCGAAACGACGGAGACAGTCAAAAACAAATCCATAATCACGTAGTTCTATACATTCCTAAATGAGGTATTTAATGCTGCTTCATAAAAGTAGTGTGATAAATGATAAATCAACAACGAGATTAGAAAAGTACAAATGTTACAATATGCCTAGGAAGTATTTGACCTTAAACTAAAATCGGTGCTTACTCACTTCTATAAAGCAATTACAGCTGCAATCGTTCATTGTATTGATTTAGTTATACATATCAATTCAAAGATTTTCAATAATGTATAGCGAACTAATAAAGAAGAGACAATTGACTAAAATGCCATTGTCAATCATTGTAACGGTCAAACCGATCAAATTACATCGGTTCGTACGTGATTTATTTCTAATCAATAAACTTCACAAAATTGAAACATATAAAGATTGTTTGCAGTTGTATCGAAAGATATTAATACTAGATTATTGAAGAGTTACCAGTAAGATATAACCAACTCTACTAGGTTATTACCATATCGAGTGACATCTATCAAAACTGTATATTGATAATAGAAGTATATGACTATTTGTTTGCAAACAACAGATTAGTGTAGTAAGTCAGAGCAACACTTGACAGCAAAAGAACAAGATACGTAGCGTTCGAAGGCGCATAGCAAGCGTGTATCTATTTATTTAGGATAGATTTTTCTTTGCTATCTAGTTATACATCGTATGTCCTTATCAAGAAGCATAGGTTTCTCGTACATTGAAATGTTTTAGATGAATAGCCTCAATCGTTTACGATCATCAATTAATCGTTCATTTATTTCATCGAAAACTAATGATTCAAATTCGGATTTAGTCGCACAAGAAGGATTTTCAATATTAAATCGTCATTTCACTGCACATAAACGTTTCGATCTATCCGCCAATAGTCAACAACAATTCGCAGCGTCTTTAGAAACTTTAAATCAAATAAATAATACATTATCACAATCATCGACTGGTGGGATCGAACGAAATGGAGATAATAGTGGAGTTGTATCAAATAATAAAAAACGTACACTCAATACAATACCAGGCGTTTTTTGTCCAATTGCTTTGTCAATGTTTGCTATATCGATATTTATGCGTATGAGTTTTGTTATTGCACATGCAGGTGTTTTACAAGCACTATTACAATTAGGTCTTTGTTTTTTAATACTTTTTTGTACATTATTAAGTGTTTGTGCATTAGCAACCAATGGGGCTATTGACGGTGGTGGTGTCTATCATATGATATCGCGTACATTAGGACCAGAATTCGGTGGTGCTATAGGTCTGTTATTTTTCTGCGCAAATATTATTAGTAATGGGCAAAGTGTAGCTGCCCTTGTTGAAGCATTAGTTGAAAGTTTTGGACGAGGAAGTAAGAAAATTGAAATTCATGTAGATAGACGAGAATAAAATGAATTTTAGGCGAGTCAAATATTTTTCATGGAACACATTGGTGGAGGTTTTTATATGGAACATTAATTAATATGGTTAGTCTAATAACATGTTTACTTGGTTCATCGTTATTCTCTGTGGCTGCATTTTTTATATTTATTCTTGTATGTTTTGTTTATCTTATGGTTGTTTTATCATTTTTTATTGTTGGTCCTCATCTTGTTTTGATACCAAAAGTGAATTCATATGCTTATGATAATCAACCATTTCTAAATAACAAAACAGATTTTCTCTATGGACATTACACGAGTTTTAGTTCAGCGACGATGAAAGAAAATCTTTATGGAAATTATACAATTGATTATACAACTGGCAACACAATGAATTTTGCTACTGTTTTTGGCATTCTGTTTTCTAGTATAACTGGTCTATTGGCTGGAGCGAATATGTCAGGTATGAATTGAAGAGAATTAGTTAGAAAAGGAATATCATTGTGTTCTGATTCCAAGATTGAAATTATTCTTTGTGCTCTTTCTTGGATAAGAGGAGTGAAGGAATATTGACGAATTATGCAAGCCCATTATTTCTTTAGATCGGTCACTTTTACTAAAAACAAGACAATACGGTAGTAGACTAGAAGTTTGACCAAAATACGTATAGAAGCATACTTTGAGGGTTGATTTTTCAAGATTTTTGCAAAGATCTCGAGCGAAATTTGAGGGCAAGATTTAATCATAATACATAGATTTTCATGTTCCGGAAACTGTTTATAGTTAGTCGAAAGGAAAAAGCGATTACTGGCTAGAAATATAATCACTCATGAGAATATCTCGCGAGTCTAAATTCACTATCTCGAACTCTTTTTAAGATAATCATAGATTACTAAAGTTTAAAAAGTAGTTATAATCGAAAATCGAAAAAGCTCCATCCATTGGACAACTTTTGTTTGATAATCTTGTAATTGATAACTTCAATATGTTAATACTCTTATGGTTATCTGTTCTAATCAATCATCTTGTCTATCCTAGGTGAATTAAAACAGCCAAGTCGAAGTATTCCATCTGGTTCAATATCTGCCATTGTATTCGTATTTTTCATATTTACTACAGAAACATTTCTCATAGCTGGAACAACAGATCGGTTTGTTGAATTTTCACATCTCTTATAGTAAATTATTCGTACTGACTTTCTTTTTCCAGATATACCTTATTAAATAATTATTTATTTTTACAAGATATCAATATTTGGAAACCATTTGTTATAATAGGAATAATAGCTGCCGTGTTTTCTGCATGTCTCTCTGGAATGATTGGTGCATCAAGAATATTAGAAGCATTATCTGCCGATGAAATATTTGGTATAGATGAAACTAGACTTTTTCCGTTAACAATAAAATCTTTTATTTCGAATCTAGGTTCAATGTTACATTGGGTTCGACTTGGAACCACACGTCGTGGTAATCCCATGGCAGCTGTATTGTTTACTTTTATTCTTGTTGAAGTATGTTTTATTCAAAAACGTAGATATGATTGTTTTTCCTAAACGTTAATTTTAGTTAACTTTATTGATTGGTTCAATGAATAAAATAGCTCGAATAGTAACAATATTTTTTCTTCTTGCTTATTTTGCTGTTAATCTATCCTGTCTGGCACTTGATTTGGCTTCAGCACCAAATTTCCGGCCCACATTTAAATATTTTTCTTGGCATACAGCATTAATTGGTGCTATCGGAGCAATAACAATGTGTTTTATTGTATCGGCTGTATTTGCTTCGATTGCTATTGGAATTTTAGTTGGTCTTATTGCCATGTTACATCTACGAGATTTTCCACGAGCGTCATGGGGTTCAATATCTCAAGCATTGATTTTCCATCAGGTACGAAAATATCTTCTTCTGCTTGATCCACGTAAAGAACATGTGAAATTTTGGCGTCCACAATTGTTACTGCTCGTGGCAAATCCACGTTCAGCAATGAATCTAATTGATTTTATAAATGATATGAAAAAAGGCGGACTTTTTATATTAGGCCATGTTAAAGTAAATAACCATTGCTCAAACGATACTTGCACATCAGAATATCCCTATTGGATATCTTTAATTGATCATATGAAAATAAAAGCGTTTGTTGACATGACAGCTGCACCGAATATTCGAGATGGTGCAACACAATTAATAAGATTATCGGGCTTAGGTACTTCTGTGTTGCTTTTTTTTGTACAGCATTGTATTTCAATTTTGAATTGTCTTTCCATAGGTGGCCTTCGTCCGAATACAGTTATTCTTGGTTTCTATGATGATACGATTCCAGAAGATAAATTACGCAGTCGACCTTTTTTTAAACGACATTGGCTTATACCGACTCGATTAAGAAATCCATCGCTTCTTCGACTACAACATCAAATGTCTGGATCGGATGATGTCGAAAGTACGAGCAATATCGGTAGACAAAATTCCTCGAACACTTTAGCATCTTCGAATGACAATGATTTACAATCAATACTTCAGTTTCCAGGTAGAAATATATTTTGCGTGATTGAAAAACTAATTTTTTGTGCTTTTTCTTCGTGACTAGTATTACGACAAAAGAATGAAGAAAAATTACTTGATGTTAGTTCGTATGTGCAAATTATTCAAGATGCACTTTATCTTAATAAAAGTGTTTGCCTTGCACGAAATTTCCCACTGTTGAAAAAAGATAATATTGAAGTTGATAAACGAAAAGTATTCGTTGATGTTTGGCCGGTACGTTTAATTCATAATAGGAGAAAAACAAACAAAATATTGAAGACCTTTATATAAATTGAAAATAATGTTTATTTAGGTAAATTTCATTTTTCCTGAAACATCAAAACAATTTGATGTCACATGTCTTTACATGCTTCAATTAGCAACTATAGTTTCAATGGTAAAACCGTGGAAAACTCATGCTGTATTACGTGTTTTTCTTTGTATTGATGCTCTCAATGATAATGCATTTCGTATCCAGCATTATCTCGATGAGTTGTTAAGTCAACTCCGTATTAATGCTCAAACACGAATGGTTTCTTGGGAAAATGTAACCAACGTTTTAAATAATCCATCAATAATTAATGAAAATCCCGCAACGATTCCTATTGATCAAGCACAAACAGCAAATTCAACAACAGCATCGCCTACAAACGAATTTATTGATGTCAATAATGAATATATTCGTAGTATCAATGAACTTATTCGACAACAATGTGACAATACATCATGTCTATATTTATATTTACCACGACCACCACGTGACAAATCTCTGTTTCCACGTTATATAAAAGTTCTTGAAATGATATCAAACAATTTACCCCCGGTTATGTTTGTTCACGGTGTTTCTTCGGTAACCTGTATACAATTGTAACTCTAAGACAATGTAAAAATTTCGACTTTTCTGTTATCATCATGTCAAAATATTTCAATCTAGTTTCTTCTATGCTCTTTTTTATTTCGTTTTTTATTTGCACGTGTTGTTCCTGTGTGTTTTTAGTCAAAATGTAAACGTCGCAATATGATTTATTTGCTAATCTATGATTAAATAATAGAAAAAGTGTTGATTCAATTTTACCATCAGATGGTACAAAACGTCTTAAAACGTCACAAAAAATGAGACCATTTAGTTTACTGAGATTTAGAAAATAAACTACATTCGACAATAGAATGTGGCTTTCCTGATCTAATCTTGATTTTCAATTGTAGCTTCTACTAGGCTTCAATGAGAGGTGTTCAACACTTTCGAAAATCCTTCCAATAGTTCCGCGAAAGATTCACTGAGTCAATAAATTCTTAAATCTTCAGCTGCTTTTTATGCTTGATACTTCAAAACAAAATTTTTCGAAAAAAAAAATCATTGTAGAAGAACTTTGTCGCTTGATCAACTTATTTTTGGCAAATTGATTAACAGGAAAAAAAATAGTAGCATGAAAATCCCTGCAGGATACTTTTGTTTATTAAAAGAAAATTTACCTTGAATACATAGAGTTATTTTACGCGAAGTTTCAACAAAATGACGGGCGCTCATTTTGAAGACGAACACAAGAGAGCAATCAAATAAACGCATGCTGATCAAACAGAACTTTTCTGTCCTATAAAATCTGATAACTAATAAAGGGCAAGTGGTAGAAGAAAGAAAAGCATGAAAATTCAGCCAACTGCATTGACCTGAACACTGATCGACATCATGTTAAGAAGCTTACCCGATTTGATCGAAAGAAATAGCGATAGTATATTCTACCCAATAAAATATTCATGTCATACCTTGATTTAGCACAAAAAAACTTTATGCAAAATATGGCAATAAAAGAAAGAAAAAAAATCGAATCTTCACTCAAGACAACATATAATACGTATTAAACATCTATAACGATCAATTTTTGTAGGTTAAACTGAAAAGTTTCTATTGAAAAAGTAAACTTACAAAATTATCTAGATAAGAAAAATAGAAAATTTTTAGTTAGATAATATTGATAGCGATGACCGTAGTGCAACCCATAGAGATAAATTCAAATAGCAAACGACACTATTAACCAACAAAAGATTAATCAATTGTTATGTTAACGAGCATTTCTTTTTCTTGATTCATAGCTCGATAGACTCCTCATCATGTGTTTTTCTCTTAGTTACTGATTAAGATCAGTCATCAGTGTCGTCAATGATCAAAACTAACCGTGATGAAGCGCTTTTATTCTCGAGATATAACAAGCGATTCTTTCGCGCCTTGTTATCATATGATAACAAGAGTTGACAGCTAATATCTCGGTAGTTCCATCACGTATCAAACATAGACAAATTTAATGAGCATTTTTCAAACAGAACTAAAATTTTTATTATCAATCTTTTGGTTTTCACCAAGAGAAAAGTTTTGTTGGTTAACAAAACAAATAGAGCGTTTTTTCAATTTTCGAAGAAAATCCAAAATGAGTAATTCTAACGATGAAAAACTAAGCATTCTCATATTAATAAGATTGATCGTCAATCGTCTCCGATGTACATTTGAAAAATCTGATCGATTAGGTGATTTCGTTTTGTCGTGCCAAATGTGACTTATGTCTCGATCGCGCAATCACACCCCGCGAGAGTCGCTTTTTTTGCCGATGGCACACATCGTTCATGTTTGACAAGTTCCTACAGTTCTTCTTCAATAATCAACTGCAATATGGCATCAATATGATCAGTGTCTCAAAGGAATTGAGAATACACATGCACAACACTCTCGTTTCGTCCGGCGAGTGTCGCACGCAATGATTGCGATTTAATTTCCGATCAGCACTCATGAGATGACACATTCATTGCTACTTCTTCTTCTTCGATTTATAAACCAAAAAAACTAGTCGTAATGTTAAAGAATGAAGATTCTTCTTTGATTGTTCTGAAAAGAAAACATCTTTAGTCTGATAGATTATTTTTACATGTCAAATGTTTTGCGTCAGTTCATTTAGTTGAGAGAAAAGATTGACTGGTTTGTTTGTTCAAACAATGTGTCTAATTGATCGTCATCTCCAGGTTTTTCTCGCTATTCTGTATATATATATATATATATGTGTGTGTGTGTGTGTGTATCTGTACTCATATCGAGTATCCATCGCAGCATAAAGCGTCCGATGTTTGACCTATATCTTGGTCGTCCCATCACATCGGACATCTCGACAATATCAATCAGGGAGACGTTCTGCTGTTTGGCCATCGTCCCTTTCTCATTCTTCTGGCCATCCCTATCTCTATCTATTGTTTTTGCCCTGGCAGATGATGAGTATTTACAGCAACGAAGAACAAAACGAGAGAGGGAGAGAAATAAGAAATATGAAGACATCCGTAAGTAAGCGAGAACAGATAGATAGCGACCGTCTCTCGTCTTCCTTTTCAAGAACAATTATTTGAAGATGCTATCGAAGGAGAAATAAGAGAAGAGCGACAGAGAGAAAACGTGAACAATCTGGCGGCGGGCGACCGATGCCCGAGCAACAAAAACAAAACACAAGAGAGGAAGAGAGAGAGAGAGAGAAGACGACTGTCACTGCTAATCACGCGTCGATGATGTACAACAACAACAGAACACCTTTTCCCCCATTTTCTCTCTCTCTATCTCTCGTTCACATTTGCAGTAGTTGACCATAGGTCAATCAGAGACAAAGAAATAGAACAACATACTACAATAATTATTTCTCGAGCTAAAAAAGGACAATAGAATGGTTGGTTATATGATAAAGAAAAATAAATCACCGGTAAGATAGGATAAAATTTCTTTTTTATTTTATTTATTCATTTTACTCTTTTCTCCTTTCTCTTTTCTCTTCTTTCATTCGTAGTTTAAAATAGAATAGAGACATATGACACTTGTCCCATTGGGTGACAAGATCGACTAATGAGATTTTTGTGCGACAAAATGACATATCGATCGATATTACTACATATATACGCACAAGAGAAAACGATCGGCAAGGTGATAAATCAAAATACCACCTTGTCATGCGGATGATATCGACGAAAATGGTTTGTCGACATACTACTAACGTATATAGATGAAAAGTGACATTGATCGGAAGTTTTCTTTTTTTTTTATGGAAGAACGACGAAGACGACAAACAAGAGCAGCTTTTCTTTTCTCGTCGCTAGTGCCATATAGAGAGAAGCCCATCATGGCAATTTGTCATTTTTGACGTGCTTATCAATAAATTCATTTTTACGCAGAGCAGGCACGTACATGCGCACATAAGACATCGACACAAAAAAGGGAAAAGATTGAGAGAAGGCAAAAAAAATCATGGTCCTAAAAGAAAAGAACATAGTTTAGGGTCAGAACAAGCTATTGAGCGTGCGCACAGCATACAAGTGCGAGAATGCGAAGAAGACGAGCACTCTGCTAACTGTCTGTCTCATTAGAACCCTAGTGTCATCTGTGACCACCCGATGGTCTCTCTCTCTCTCTTTCTCTCTCACTGGTAGTTCATTATTTTCTCTCGTGTTGTTGTTCTAATCGCCGACACATGTTTTCGCATGTTGATGCTATAGACATGCATACACTCACACACAGATGAGGTCGTTGTGATCAATCACCATGGACACATTCTAATTTTTACAAACGATGACATTGTTGTCTACTATGTGTGATGGGACAGACACCTGTGTAAAATATTTTTCGCTCTTGTCTGTCTGTTTTTGATTAAGAAAAGAAAATCAAAAAACGACAAAAGTTGAATGACGAATGAGGAACAAGTGGTGTGTAGCTTATCCTTCGACCGATAAGACCTGCTGTGTCTTCTTTTCTTTTCTCTTTTTGTTCTTCGTCGTCTTTTGTTATTGCCTTTTACAACAATCAGTTTGCTTGTTTTAAATGACATCATTTGCTATTTTGTCTCTTGCTAATTCGAAGTTAATGTTTTCGCTCATCAAACGAAAAATTGTATCTGTTCGATCGTATGTGTGTTGTGTGCGCATCTTTCTCAAATTTCTATCAAGAAAAAAAGAAGAAGAAGAAGAAGAAGCCCTGATGTGATGAAAAGCACAATGTGGTGTGTTTATGTCATCACCAGAAGCATCAGCAGCCGTACGAAAATTCCACTGATAAGCACGAAGTCTGTATGCGCGAAAAAGAGAAGAAGAAGAAGAAGAAGAAAAAGAGGACGAAACAAACTATCGAAGAGACCCGAGAGAAACAGGGAGAGTAGTCATAAAAGTAGAAGAAGAATACGAGAGAAAAATGTGAGTGTCGAATGTGCGCGACCAATCGAAATTGCTCAATGCTGTATTGTCATTCGTCGCCTTAATCGAAATAACACTCAAGAAGGAAGAGAGTGCGTGCGCGCGCAAGAGAGAGAGAAAAAGAAGAAGAAAAAATCTAGAAAAAAAAAGTGTCGTGCGTGCTTGTATGTTTGTGACTGTCACATTGGTTCGTCGCACACACATATATTGAAAGAATGAAGGTAGTTATAAAAAAGGCGTAAGACGAAAAGTTCGTAGAAGACGAATTCATAAATGCATTCTGTTGTTTTTCTTCTTTAGACTGCACTAAAGTGTAATATTGCTGATTGTCAATGCGAACAGTTTTTTCCTGGTAATAGTTGTAATTTATCAGTACGTTCATGCGACGAATGTAAACATAGTTTTGTCAATCACGGTAAGTTTTTTTGATTCATTTTTTTAGCAACAACTAGTGTAAATATTTCGTTTTTTCTTTCAAGTTATTAATTTAAATGAATTAGACACTGATGATATTATAAAACATTTAGCTGCCGAACACATCTATGAATTATGTACACTGTGTCTATACGGTACAACGGTAATATCGCCACGTATTAAAATTTTACTTGATCGAATATTAGATACATTAACTCAAGCTGAACAAGATAATATATTGAAATCTTTAAAATGGTCTATTGATGATTATGAAAAATCTTATATAGAACATGTATGTATTTATTTTGAAAAAGTTTTTTTTTGTTTTTAAATTTTATTGTCTTGAGTTAATCCAGACACGTTGTACCAGAATGAACACCAGTGTTTCTCTTTCTTTTTCTCTTTTTTTGTGTTTCTATATTGACCGAAAGAAATCAATCTTCTTTCCCTCTTGTGCTTGACTAATGTGAACTCAATTACGAAGAGATGAAATATGATACTTAGGTTTTTTTCTTCTTTGTCCATTGACGAACAATATCTCGATCGAGAGAATTATTTGTCAATGAACCGGATAATTTCCCTTTTCTAGACCTTCAATATGGACCATATTAATACGTGTACGTTTTCGCATAGAGACCCTTGAACTTGTGATCATTGAAAGTAGTAAAACAAAAATCTCATCAGGATGATGGTTTCAGTTTCTCTTCGCTCTCTTCTTCTTCTTCTTCTTCTTCTTCTTTTTTCTCTGGGATTTGTCATTTTTGAAAATTCACCGTCCTTTATGAGATAAACCAGAATGCGATAAGTGCAATCATGAAGGATGCCCGACATCGAATGTCATGCAATCGATTGATCTATGTATTTCACCGTATTTATTATATACTTGTCGATGAGCTGTTCTATTTGGCTACCGACACCTTCAATAGAAACAATGTAGGCTTGATCACAAATGTGTCAAGTGTCGACTATGTAACTTCTATATATGTATATTATCCTTGTTCGACTTTTTGTTTTTTGTTATTTTTTCTTTCTCTATATTGAAATTATCATACTAATGTTAATTGTTTCTTATAGAATTTCACTAATTCATCATCGAATTTCAATTTAATAATGCCATCATCCGACGAAGAAGATCAATATTTATTACCCCAATTTCTTCGTTTTGAATCAACTCGTTTACTTGCACAATACTTTCTTCAAGTAGCTCAACAACAACAACGTATCACTCCACATTGTCCATCATCAAATGGTCGTTCACCATCACCTCCAGCAACTGAATCAAAACCAACAGTTCTTCCATCAGGCAATCTGTCTTTATCAGCACCAGCACCAGCACCAGCACCACCTCCTCCATCAATAATATCACCGGCAGCGAATATGTTACTTCGTCCACCGGGACCATTTCCATTTCCATCACCGTGGCCATCAACCGACATGCAAATGATGAATTTTCTTATGGCACAACTTTCAAATCCTTTAATGATGAACTATGATTTCCGTCGTATTGGAAATAATCTTCTGCCAACAGCTGCAGCCGCAGCAACTGCTGCCGCGGCTACACGCAATATTCCATCAGTTTCAATTCCAAAAATAAAAGAAGAATCCAATGGTAAACATTATGATCTACCTGAAATAAATAACAATCAAATCGATAGAAAAAACTCCATGAAACGTAAACGTATTTGTTCACCATTAAATTTATCAACAACATCACGTTCACCAACTGAATTACCGGCATCAAATGAATCGATTGCCCGTATATCAGATAGTTCACTATCATCGAAAAGTAGTTTAACAAATAATAATCATACAAACAATTCATCGACAACAACAACACCAACAACAACAACAACAACATCAACATCACGGAAACGTCTTTCATTAAGTGAACAACGTGTTTTAATAAGTCCACACGGTAAAAAGCGTGTTCAATGTAATGTATGTATGAAGACATTTTGTGACAAAGGTGCACTTAAAATTCATTTTTCGGCTGTACATTTACGTGAAATGCATCGTTGTACAACACCCGGTTGTACCATGATGTTTTCATCACGTCGTTCAAGAAATCGTCATTCAGCAAATCCAAATCCAAAATTGCATTTACCAAGACCAAACGCAATGTCTCATCGATATCATACAACGGGTCCGATTATATCTGATGGTAAACACCAATCGCAAGTTAATTTATATATGGATGATGATGACGATGATAATATTTCATCGAACATTTCTTCATCCATGGATGATCAACACGAAGATGATCGAGCAGAAGAAGAACTTGTATCATAAAACATTAAAAACTATAAGAAAAAACTCGAACTAAATAAAACTATTCTTTCCATTAACATTTCCAAGTTCTCTCTTTTCTTTTTTTTTGCTTGTATTGTTGTCTCTATCTCTCTCTTTCTCTTTTTTTTCTCTTTACTTATAAATATATATATATAATATAACATTAAAAAAAAAACGAAAAAATTTGCAATCTGCACTCTTCGAATTTTTCCCATATCGATGAGGATGATGATAGTTGACAATAATAATCGATGGATGTGTATGCGCGTCAAGTTTTATTTGTATACATAGAAGAGAGATTAATTGAAGTATGTTTGTCAACGCTTACGGGGTAAGACAACCTGACGTTTGTATTCCCATCGCACTGACCCTTGTCCAATACTAATGACTTGTTTTTTTGTGCCATCTTTTGTGTTATCTACCGATTATTCATCAAACACAAATGAGCAAACATACACGTTGTCTATTCTAATGACAATCAGCTTGACCTTAAAGATTGATTGGTTAGTAGGTATTTCTTCTCTGTTTCGTCACTATATATATATATATATATATGAAAGTCGATCTCTGTTGATATCATTGTGCCGTGTGATTTTTAATGAATTGATTGACTCGCGCGTGTGTGCATGTGTGCGATCGAGTGACGTCGGTCGTTTTATGGCTGTGTCTATAAGTTGTACACCTCTTTTTTTCTCGCTCTCTCTCTTTCTCGTTATTAGTTATGGCAAGGATGCGAAACAACCGAATGAGGCATGTGTCGTGATTTGTTTCGAATACTTCATATGAACTATTCATGCTATTGTTTTGTTATATAACGATAAAAAGACGATGAAAACGCTCAGTATTGAATTATCTCTAATTTTTATATTTGAAAGTTCAGTATGAAATGTCATGAAGCATTGTGTATGTTACTTTAGAAGAAAAAAAATTTTTCTTATAAAATTTTTCTTTATTTCAAAAGGAAAATGACGCGACTTACATTCTTTTAATGTCACTCAAGAACGATGGGCGTAAATTTAATAAGTAAAAGTGAACCATATATCGGAGTCGTCTTTTTGTTTGATACTGTGCATGGTTTTAACAACTGCCATCTTCATAAAAAGAATGATTTCTTAATAGTGACTTTGACAAGTAGTTTTAGATCTATCATTTGGAACACAATTCGGATAATGATCGTCTTGTATCACGAAAATAAATTTGCTTATTCACCCTGAGTTAAATCACGTACAGAGAACTCGGTTGATTATTTCAGAAGTTTTTCACTCTTACAGAAAATAATAGGGAAATTTTAGATGTAGGGTCATGAAGAGTGAAATCCACCGTTCTACCAGGAAGAAGAAAAAAATCTCCTGCTCATTCGCATTTGTAGTATTTGAGAATGATTTTCTTGGAAAAATGCTGAAGTATTGAACGCAACTCATTCGTGTTCATTTAATGTTTTCCTATGTGCCAAAATATAGAATGCATTTCAAATCATTCATTTCAATTATTCTGTTTGCTGCATATCTAAATTTGTCGTTGAACCTTGAGGATTACTAACGTCAATCTCGCTCTGTAAAAAACGTTCCCGATAAGCTAAGACGAATATTTTCTTTGTTAATTTCTGTCATTTTAGTTGAAAAATATACTCGAGATGACAAGTCACATAAACTCCACCATTCGATTTCTTCGATTCTATTTAAAACAATTGCCTAGTTTATGTAATCGTATTCGACATGGGTAGTTTTTCAGGTTTTGTTTTTCTCCCCTAGCCTAATTCGACAGAGTATTCATCAGTAAAGCGTACGAAGATAAAAAAGAAGAAGACTAATAGGTTAGACATAAACCATAGCTTTTAGCCATATTTTTACTACGCTTGTAGTTTTCTGAAATTATGTTGTGTTCATCTTTAGAAAGAGTCTATCGAACGTTTTTCGATAGAATTAAAATCTAGGTTTATTTTCTGCATGCACAAAATCTTTTCGTTGAACCATTCTGTTGGTCAAAATGATTAAAAAAACAAGCCGAACAGAAAACGCTCTGGGCAATTATGAAGTGAAAAAGCAACATGTACATCAACTGTTGAGATTGAATTAAGTTTTATAAGATTATTTTACTTTCAAAACTTCAGACGTTACAACATGAAGTTTTATATTTGTCAGTTTTCCGTGGTCAAATTTGAATGATTTTCATTTTGCTAAATCAACGTCCACAGTGATCTTTATTAAGTGAAAATAAATGTGGAAATTTCGGATTTCATCCGAGAGTTTTGTGTACTGCAAAAAGTGCATGGGACATATGAGTCATTCTAGAATGTCTGAACACCAAAATTATCATGAGAAACTAGGCAATTTGATTTCTGGATGCATTTTGAGACGTTTTTCAGGCGATGTTTCGTTAGAAAGCCTCGGTTTAGTTCAAAACTAATATCAGATTCGGAATCAGCGTTAAAAACTGAGTCGATTTATATATGTTGTGAATAATTCTGAGAAAAATTTGTTTTTTGAAAACAAATCCTTGTACTCCTCCTCAGGGATGGTCTGGTCAAAAATGAGAATGTTTTCGATAACTCAACCATTTCTTGAGGGATTTTTCTCATCTTCGAACTCAACCGAGATATTCATGAGATTGAACTGTGTGGAAAATTTCATCACGGTCTGACTCTCCTTTCGAAAGTTATCGTGCCTACGGCCGGCCGGCCGGCCGGGCACACTGACCCATTCTAGAGTGTACTCACTTTTTGAGTACACAAAAGCCATCACTATACAACATAAGGTCGATTTCGCAGTTTATACTATTCAAAAAAGCTGCCACTCTTATTCTATTATCTATTTGAAAATATTTTTAAGCTACCAGAGTAAAATCCTGGAAATAGTTTACCTTGAAAGTGACTCATCGCAGGGAAAATTCAATCAGTAGAAGCGCTGAAGTAAAGCAATTATTTTTTCGGTTAATGTACAACAATAAAAGCAAGCCTCTCTGACTTTTCAAGAGTGTGATGCACAATGGACCTTTTATTTTAGAAACTTTCTTTCTCATGAAGATATACAATGAAACATAAAAGCCCTGTTGCTCTTATATGAGTGGGACTATTTATAGACAAGATTATCTGACTTCATAGCAATGACTTGAAAAAAAAGAAGTTACTTTTACAATCATGACAATTATCATTTAGAACCTTGAAACTAAAACCTGGCACTACTGTTATAATAGATAACAATTTTCTGTGAAGATTCAAGAGAACAATAGTCTAAGAGAGCGAAAACTATTAAAAGCATATTCAGTTTCTTTTCGAGAGAGATTAGTTTTTTTGTCTAATTAATGCAATGAGAACATTGATGCTAATATTAGTCGATGTGTTTGAGAAAGTAAATTTAATTAAATCGAGAACTCATTAGATACATTTTTGTTCCTCGTGTAATCAATACTGAAATAAAACAAAATCACGAAATATTGATGCGTCCTATTCAATTTCAACAACAAAAAGCAAATAAATGTGTTCATCTAAAACTGATACTCAAATATATAGTATATTCGTTATCTTACTTTAATTCTCAATTCTCTCTCAAATTCAACATCGAATATTTCAAAACGATCTACTCTATTTCCATCTAATGAATAGATGAGCCAATGCTTTTTATAGCAAATTTCATCGCTTGAAACTTGACATCGGTTATAATTTACTGGAAATTTTTTAAATTCATGCTTTTAATATCAAAATCTAATAACTATAGTATTACTCGATAAATTGAAACTAAGAAAAATAAGTCAAGCCAAGGTTGCCATCTGCTAGTTATTTGGCACTACGCTTTTGCCTTGCATTTCTTCCTTTTAACAGGATGATGATTAATTATGGTTATAACGAAAAAACTCATAGATAATTTATTTAAAAAAAACAGCTGACAATATTGAGGCATGCTTGTATATGAGAATATATATTACAACTATATAACTAAGAATATTTGTCTTTCAAATTCAAAGACAACCATGATTTTATTCGAAGTAGATGTGAATTCATTTGTATGTTTCAATCACAACAAAAAAAAACCATTCCTGTATTCAAAACTCATTGAAGCACAACCACAACTATATTAATAAATATTATTTTCAAATTTATAGTTATAAAGCAAAATTTGTTTCATCAGAAGAATATTTGCTGTTGTCATCACTGTCACGCCAGTTTTCACGTTTACTAAATCGACTTAATATTGAGTTGAGGCCATATGGATCGAAGTTATCTCGTCGTGCAATATTTGATTTAGCAAGAACTTTCAATGGATCTTTGGTAAGTGAAGACACACACAGACTTGGAAAAGCATTGCTGACTGCTGTTGCCAAAAGAGCGACCAGAATAAGAATACGTGCTGAAATCAAAACATTAAATAAAAGTGATAGAAAATTTTAATTTCATCAAACCTAGTTGCATGGAGCTAGTTTGTCACGTGAATTATAGGCGATGTGTGCACTGTATTGTATCGTAGATTAATTCTGATGATTCTGATGAAATGCGAGCTGTTATATTATAAACGTTTTTAGACAGTGCGTGGGAGAAAACAATTTTCTATAAGTAGTGTTCAACGTAGCTTGTTAAAGTAGCAAGTCATGAAAAAGAAACAGCTTGTTTAAGTAACATTAGCGTGTTGGCTATTTTATAAAAAGGAAATCTTCATTTTTTTGGCTTGGATAAATTAGTGTCATTACTTACTAATTATATTTTAAACTACTTTGTTTACTATTTCATGCTTGATCAATGAATGCTGAGTGAATCCTAGAATAGGGATTTGCTACTGAACAATATTCTTTCAAATTGGATAAATTGCATTTTTATTACAAAGTCAGTCATCACAATTATATAGAAACTCATATTAGCGAAACAATATTTGTTCTCAACAGATAAGAATCTGTATTGAAAAATTAATCTTTGTTTCAATTCTATTTATGAAGATTAAAATGCTCAGTTGTCGTTAGTTCAATGAAAATATATTAAAAAGACGACCACCGAAATTCAGAGATTAAAGAAGAAAGTCATTATCTTTGAAACAGTAATTCTTTTCATTCACGCACCTAAAGTACAAAGAATTACGTACTATTAAAAGTAATACATTTTTGAGCTTGTTCGAGTTTTTAGTATTGAAATTAATCGGGTAGTGCACTATTAGATCTAGATTTATTGGTCTCGTTTTCATGTTAAAATCATGAGCGAACAGCTTTTATTGAAACAAACCAATGTGTTGTAAAATTTGACAAATACTTCATGTACTTTTATAGCGAAGTTTAGATGATCATTCATCAGAGTTGCTCCATCGAGTCGTGTTTCTGGTATTGTGGTCCTGCGGAACTTTTTTTCTTCATGAAAATTGTAATTCACTTATTTTGTGCTTCATCATGTGAAATGTTTACAGGAACAATTCAGGATTTTCTTGTTCGAATGGTTGCTACTACTGACAAAAAAACCTGACGTAGCATCGAGATTTCTATCAAATATACCAGAATAACATCTCTCGGCAGTATCTTATTAAAATAAATGCTTTTCGTGGGTAGAGAGGAGATGTTGACATCTTCACCCATAAATCATAAGTCGATTAATAGATTTTAAATGTCGACATGAAATCCATTTTCTTCCATTGATCTACAAGCAAAGAATCGTAGCGGTATTGAAAAATTCTTTGATTTATTATGCTTCGCCGAGTTTTTTTTTGTTGCTAGCTATTTTGATTATTTTATTCTATCAATAAAATATGATTCTGCAAGTGAAATATCCAATTGTCTTGATATCTTAAAATGGAAAAGTATTTGACAACTTTTATTCTAACTAAAATTGATGCTAGTTGTCCTCTTTCTTGTAGAATTTGATATTAGAGAAGTCAAATAAACTGGTGAAAATTCAATAATGATCACTATATTATTTAACAGGCTTAGCTCATACGCTTGCCAAGCACAGACTTCAAGATGTGTCCACATCGCTTAACTTTCTATAGACAAGAACTTGGATGCTTACATGAGTTATGCAAAATTTCAAAACAACGCACGTGCTGAAGTCATGAAAATCATTCGAACAAGCATACTTGAAGTTACCAACTGGAAACAATAATAAATGCTTTTCTATACAAGAATAAATAATGCTCCTTGTCATCGAGGACATGGGAAACTAGTTTTCATGTAGACACTCTTTTCTGCAAACATACGGTATAAAAATATAATTAGAGTTAAGTTCGCATGTCCCAGCCGTCGTTCTTGCCATTGTGACATCTGGCGGCACCTATCAAAGTATTCCTATTGCCCGCGGAAGGTTAAGATGAACTTCTGTTGTTAACCTGTGCCGTTCGTAGACGATTTCATTGACGTTCATGCGTTTACTATCCTAAAGATTATTCTACCACTTTTTATGTTTTTTTCAATGCTTGTCCATCAACTTGTACAAAAATTTTCACAAGTCAATAAAGACTTTATGTGGTCACCTCCGGCTGTCCTATCACTACGCATCTTTACAGTTTTTTTCTTTTCGGAACAAACAGCCTTTGCGCATTATCTAATATAGAAAGTCAATTGTTTCTCGTAATTTCTTTCGTGCTCAATACTTCATGGCGGTCATTATAATAGAACCAGTTACAGTATTCATTTTTTTCATTGGCGACTGCTGAGACCCTCGCTATGTTCAATAGTTGACGTCTAATTATATCTACGTCAGAAGTGTAGTGAAGACTTAGCAAAAACATTCTTCAATATCCAAGCGCATACAACACTCGTGAACGAGAACTCAAGCAGTAGAACAAGAAGTTCAAGGACTTGAGGGTTCAAAAAGACATTATGTCTTGACTCAATATTTGTCTGTATCACATGACTTTCTTGTTTAAGATACTTAAATAATTCATCAAAAATCCATCACAGAACTATGTTGTCACTAAATGGAATTCGTACGGTATTGCATTTTATACCCAGCTCAAGAATATACTACATAAAAAACAAGGCAAAGATTGAAAAATCATAAAATGTTTTTAAATTCAATGTTTAGTCGTTTTAATCTGAGAACAAACATACTTTTATTTTTATGAATGCAAGAAAATCACAATTCGATTATCCTTATCGTTATAGAGTGTCAAATATCGTTCGATTAGCTCATATTGTTCATTTATTTTCTCATTCGCTATCTGATTTTGCTTCTAAGAGGTTGGCGCCTGGCGATTGACGAAAAACACCCATTACAATCACTCGACGTTATTGACCTTGCTGGCTATTTTCAATTAAAGAGAATGCGTCGGCTGAACCTTGTGCACGATAAAAAATATTAACAAAAATAAATCTTTAAAACTCTGCATTTTCGTCTAAATATTAATGTTTTTGCTGCTCATAATTATGATCGACATCATATCCTTGAAATTAATATAAAAACTAATAATTCTTTACAGCCAATTGATGATTTATCATTAAATAATGATGTTATTGAAGAATCGACAATTGATCGAGATGCAGCTTTTGAAATTCATTGGAATTTAACAATAGTTAATTTAACACAAAATCTTTGTTTAAAACAATTCAAGGAAAAGATAAATATCGTATTATTTCATTATGTCTTTTTACTGATGAAGAAACATAAAAATGAATCTATTTTCCTTTCTATATTATTGATTATGAATATCGAAATAAAAAATTACAATTTTAATATAATGAACGAGCAGGATAAGTTGCAAGATTGAGACAATTTTCCCAATTAAAAGTAAGTTTAGTTTAAAATAAAAATGAGGAAACATTGGATTCGCATCCAATTGTTACGTGTATTGCAAAAATTGTGGGTGTGAGTCTGGGCTTGAGTGAGGTCAATAAATACCGAAACCTAAACAACTACACCAAGACCAATACCAACACTCACACCCACACCCGGTTCTTATATCTTTTTCTAGACTCCCGTTACTTTTTTTGCAGGCGCATGCAATTCTTGACTTTCTTGATCAAGAAAGTCAAGAACTATGGACACATTTTGAGCTCAAGTCTTGGGAAGCGCATGAATGAAATAATTCGACTAGGGTAGGTTTACTTATTTAAAATAAAGTTACGATCTATAGAGAAACCTAACAGTGCAAACTAATGCACTATATAAAAATTACGATTGAGATATATTATTTATGATGAATGAAAACACAATGACTCGCATAATAATTCTTAACGTCACCATTTGTAATTTACAATTGTCTGTGTTCACATAGTAAGTGCCTCATCCTAGTATTCTAAAAGTGTTACTAGTGGCAGTGCCTTAATGATACTGAACTTCTCTTTATAAGATGTTTTTAAAAGTTATTACTAACGGTTCTGACGGCACCGCTAGATGTCACTGGTCTTCAATGAATAGATATACTTACGAAAGAAAAGCAGTCACAATCACAACTACCAATCAAATGTTATCAGAAGTATTCAACAATATTCAAATACAATACAACAGTATTGCAGTATCGATCAGAAATATTATCATGGCATCAAAACGACCAGAACATCAAGCTCCGCCAGACATTGTATGTTGAAGTATATATACATATTCATAATTGTTCGTATTCTTTACTATCATTTTAGTTTTACAACGAAGAAGAAGCTCGAAAATATTCTCAAAAGTATATTTTGATTATAAAAATGAAAAAAAAATATATATCCATTAACTTTTTAGTACACATATTATTGATGTACAAACAAAATTATCAGAACGTGCTATTGAATTACTCAATTTACCCGATGAAGAATCATGTTTAGTACTTGATATTGGGTAAGAAAAGCAACCTTACCATATAATTGATCGTGTTTTTATTCTCATTTAGATGTGGTTCTGGACTGAGTGGAGAAGTATTATCAGAGTTAGGCCATCAATGGATTGGACTAGATATATCCAGTGCAATGTTAGGTTTGTTTTTGAACTCATCAGAAAACATATTTAAGTATCGATAAATCATAAAGGTTGAGTCGTGTTATCATTACGAATTCGGATACTTTTCATCTTAGTCTGATCAAATTATATAATTGCTTGTATTAATGTTAATTTTTAGATGTAGCACAAGAACGAGAAGTTGAAGGTGATCTTGTATTGGGTGATATCGGTTATGGAATGCCATTTCGTGCTGGCTCATTTGATGGTGCTATAAGGTAGTAAATTATTCGTTAAATCGATCGAAAAAAAAACAAATTGAAATGTGATCTATTTTAGCATATCTGCATTACAATGGTTATGCCAAGCTGATAAAAGTTATCACAATCCAGTAAAACGACTTTATAAATTTTTTTCTACACTATACGGCTGTTTGGTAAGAAAGATTCGAAAAATAAAAACAATGGAGATTTATTGTTGATCATTTATTTAGGCTCGTGGTGCTCGAGCTGTATTTCAATTTTATCCTGAAACACCACATCAAGTAATAAATGAATTTGTAGAATTTTTTTCATTTCTATTATTGGAATTAGGTTGATATGATCACACAACAAGCAATGAAAGCTGGTTTTACCGGTGGTCTCGTTGTAGATTATCCGAATAGTACTCGAGCAAAGAAGTAGATAACTACGAAATTATTATTTTAATCTTCTAAAGTTCATGTTTTTTGTCTTAATAAAGAATGTTTTTATGCTTGTTTGCTGGTGGTCAAGTTCAGCAACTACCAACAGGTCTCACAGGTGAAGAAGGCAGTGAAAGAGTTCCAACACAAGCACGATTTGACAAAGAAAGGTAGAAAACGACCGAGAAAAACTGAACGAGACATATATATCTTTCCTTTTTTTTGCAGGAACCGCTACAAGAATCTTCGTGGTAAATCTCTAAAAAAAAGTCGAACATGGATTATGGAGAAAAAAGAACGCTCGAGAAACAAAGGAAGGTATGATATAAATAGAGAAAAGGATATTTATCTGCTTCATTGAATAAGATCATAAATTTGCCACTTCCTCAGTAAAGATCGAACAAGTAAAATAGAATAGAATGATAAAGGAAGAATTTTTATTTAACTAAATAGTCTTTTGAGTTCTACAGATTTTGTATGATTAAACGATTATATTCCAGGAGTATATCAAACACTGCTAAATTCATAAAAGCAAAACTATAATGAACCGTGCAACACTTTGATCCTTGAGAAATTTTTCATAGTGCACGTTTCTAATTTCTACAATGTAAAAATGGCACATTTATAATCTTATCCGATGTGCTAATACAAAACTTCATGATTGTTGTATTCTAGAGATGTTCGACCCGATACAAAATATACGGCACGAAAACGACCAAAACCTTTTTGAACTGTTTTTTTTTGTTTGTTTGCTGTTATCAGTATTATTGTTTTGACCGAACAAGAAGAATAATAATATGATTGATTCACACGATAGAAAATATAATCACAAACAAAATTAATTCTGATATTAGTGACCTACATAGATTTGAAATCGTTTTATTCGACGTCAATCAGTAGAACTTTGTCTAGGGATTGAAATCTGATCATAATCTCAGCTGAATTGGCAGTGTAAATTAATATGATGTCTAACTATGACGATTAACCACAGAAGAGAAAACATATACGCAACGGAATAATCAAAAAGACAAAGTGCATGAAGGATAAAGTAAAAATACCAAACCCACACAAAAAGAAGAAAACTATAAATACGTCGTGTCAATTTATCTTCTTTTTATGCCGATTGTTACGGGAATGCCACACGTCGACGTAATCACTCATTAAGATTATTCTCTTTTGATCTCTACTCGACGTCATTTTTCATATGCGTATTTTATATATCGAGAGAAAAGCGCTAACACCGACTCTGAATAAATCTGGGCGATTAATAAAATATTCCAGAATTAGTTGTATTTTGACTGCAAAAATTATCAAGTTTGTTTTATTCTTATCTAATAATACAGAGAAAGAGAAACATTTTGAAAGAGTTTTCTTAAATTTCTTCCTATTGAATTTCAACTCGTCCTATGAAAATCCTGCTGCTATGCCAAGAGAAAATTAAAACCTCATATAGAATCGCCTAATATATGCATCGTCAATCACACATGTCTAGTGTAACGGAACAAAAACTAGTCAGGATAAAATAGATTCCATTTGTTGGCAATAAGCGGAGTCTGTGTATCTCGAGTTTTTTATGATTTTGGACACGTTCAAGTATTCAAAAGTTCTCCTGTATTGGCTCCTGCGCATGGCAATGAAGAAGAGATAGACAACTGATGTAACCTTGCTATGTACCACAGTAAAAATGATAACAGCTTTTTTTTTTAATGAGTTTCGGCTCGATGAACTTTACAGTGTTATTCATGATTAATATATCAAATGATGTGACAAGTATGATGCTTGTCATCTAAACATCAGCTATCGAACGAAAATCAATAACAGCAACAACGAACGAGTAAATTCAATCGAGGCATACTTCATATTATAGCTTTCAACAATAAATCTTCAATCACAAATAAAAAATTTCTTCTAATCTTGACATCAAATAACTATCTACTATTATATTTTAATAGCACGTCTCTCGCATATGAGTAAATAACAGTCATAAAAAAAGATGTTGTCTGTTTCCAATCAGGTAAGAGTTGTGCGTAGAGCGAGATTCAAATATATTAATGAGGGCAAGTTGTCGGATCATGTTTCAAATAAAGCTCGCAAATTCAAGGCAAATTTGGATATAAATAGTTTTCATCAAATATCATTTTCAAATTGTATTACTTCAAGAGTAACACGGGACCAGATGACGAACGAAGTAGAATTCAACAGCGAAAACGTCCTTAGCGGCATCTTGGCGACAATAACTGCCAAGAGTTCCGATTCTCGTCATGGATAATATAACAAATTAGATTTCGGCTCATAGAAAATCTAACAAAAAAAGATATTATTAGATCTGTGCTTTATGCTATTCCATAGAAGCAAAAACAAAAAAAATGTGAAATTATACTTCGTGCGTACTCGATTGACTGTTTGTGTAGCTCGATGGAATGAAGACTCGATTATGCACATTTTTTTTGAAAGTCTCATATCGCTTGAATGATCTTTATATGATTCTAGTTTCAAGTACGTAGTTTTTTGTTTTTAATTCTTATTGCTTATAAACAAAATAAGCGTATATGTAAATATCCATCTACTGATGTAGGTTTTGTCAGTTGACATCTGTAAGTAGCTTATTTAGTCATTTTTTTGCAATCATCGAAAGTATGATGAAGTAATTCGAGAGAAAACTTATGAAATAAGCGATAAAAAAGCATCTTCTCGATTTGTCTATTTCTTAACATTAAAATCAGTTTAACACACGTATAAATTATAGAAAAGATAATTATTATTTTCTACATAATCTTGAAATTAATTAATTAGATGGATTCGAAGAAATGTTTAGTTCTGCGAATTACAGAACGTTGATTGAAATTTAATTAGAAATATTTAAAGTATTAAGCTTATGTCAGCTTGTAGTCTTGAATGTTGCCAATCAAATATAACTACTTAAAAGAGCTACGTATAAATAAACAGTTCATTTCTTTTGCGCTGACAATCGTTTTTTTCTCTCTACTATTTCACTTGTTGCAAGATATAAACAAGAAGCACTCGAGAGTATCTAATGTTCAGTATAAGTTTTCAATAGGTTTAGGTCTTTAACTTGATTTCTCTAGAAATGTTTTAAGGACACATAGATTAATAAGAATTTCCCTATGAATACATGAGATAAACCAATAAATTATTTGTCTGTAAGTTAAAAAAGAATAAATCAAATTTGTATCATATAAGATGATTATTATATTTGAATACGCTTGTCTGCTTTTTTCTTTATTCAATATATCTATAAACAATGTGACAGTTTCTAAAGAGAGTATTCTGCTCATATCTATTATTTTCATATCAAAACCTTGAAAATTTTTCTTTACTCTCTACAAACGAAAAATTCTCCAGTATAATTAGATGTATCTTTTTCTAGCGATGACAAAATGTAAAAAATTAACTCAGATACTTAACTCGTATATAGTCAAAGGATTACGTGAGATAGATCATTTAGTTTATCAGAATGTTCTTAATCTGGTATTGAGGAGAGTAGCACGCGTGTTTCTCGATATTAGTAGACATGCGCATAGAAATGACTTGATCATGGCGTCTTCTTCGTTTTTTCTTGTATAAGTAAGAGACATTATCTACGTGTCATTCTGTTAATTTCATCGTTGGCTGATAGAATAGAGAGAGAAAAAATTATTTTTTGAACCCACATATGGTTTTAGATCGTTGATACCTATATATATATATATATCCTGAAAAAATACAAACGGATAAAAAGGTAAAAATCAAATTTATCAATAAAAATTAAAGTAACTACTTTTATTTTTAGCAGACATTCCATAATAATTCATCATGACTAAACAGCTTCGTCATCATTGGGCTTTAATTCTTCTTGTTGTTCTTCAAAGTTTATACTGTTACGCATCACCTACTGCATACTTTGGTTTCGGTCATCATCATCGGCCATCATTTTCATTAGTCAAAACCAATGAAGAGTCAGGAATAGTCGAACCGTTGGCTTCAAAAACAAGTAATTATTTATTATCGAAAACAAAGAAAAGAAAATCTATCGTCAATTAAATTCTATAATTTAGATTTCTTATGTGCACTTTATGGCATTTGCAACGACGAAGATTATCCAGAGTTCATTCGCGACGATGACTCAAAGCAGAAACGTCTATCACCTAATTTATTTCACGGTATTCCAAAATTTGGCAAACGTATATTTACATCAGCATTTTCTGGCATACCCAAATTTGGTTAAATCCGATGGCTTGTTTGGGCGGCATATCAGTGAAGAAGAAAAGAAAAAAACCCTATTGCGTCTACACGTAGAGTACCATTGTCGCTATATAAGTTTGCTTTTTGGACAAGAAAACGTTTGTCAACACATTAGATATGTCACGTCCTTTTTTCAACAATACTAAATGAATTTCTATAATCCCATTTATCTTAACGGTTCATAGAAGATTTTGTTCTTGAAAATTACTAATTTATATAATTAACACATATTTATTGCTAAACAAGAATATCGATATGTATTTGACTTTGTTGCCTTCTAGCCCTCGTATCTTTTTTTTCACGTATAAATCTTTCTCGACGGAAAAACTAAATCCAGAAGACTTTTTAATATTAATTTATCATAAAACAAAAGTTGCTTAATCATTGACAGACATTTTTCTCAAGTACTTAGAAAAAAATTAATTTCTCAATTCAGATTTAAAGATTATCTTTTACGGTTAAAATTTCAACCGAGCTTTTTCACTTATAGAAAAAATCCGCTCACCGTCTAGAATATATTTTTTTTGTTATGAGTGACAACCTCAAATATTTTCTTTTTTAATGAACAGCCAAAATCTGAATAGGTTTGACGGCTGGTCCAAAATTAGTATTGATCCTATCTCGAGATAATCTCATTACTTGCGATCAATATGCCAAAAAAAAGCAGCTGTTAGTATAACCCTTGTGGAATTGAAAATATTAAAACACGATAGAATTATGATTTACTTCTTCAAACAAACCATTGCCGAGCGATTTCTCACCATGTGTAAGTGTCGTAAAACAGATTGGATTCAAAAATTTTCTGTACATACTTCGATAATGTTATACGAATACAGCCTTTTTGACTTCGGATCCCTACTTCAATGCTTTTTTATGGATCAAATTTCACAAAATTCTCTGTGAAATTTTACCATATAGAGATAGGAACATAATACGCAATATTTAATAAACATAGGTTATTGAGTTCTGATATTCATCATCACAATATTTATTAATGGAATATTTTTAATTAAAATAATTAACGATTATTGACCAAAGAAGAAGAAGAAGAAGAAAAAAACAAAAATGAAGAAAGTTTCTATATCAAATAACAACAAGTTCTATTGAGTTTCTTCTTGTTTTATGATTAATTTATGCTTCTATTTACTTATTAACTTCACATTTTCGATAATCATTAAACAATTCTTTTTCATGTATTTTGCTGTTATACAAAATAGAGAAGTAGTAGAAGAAGAAGAAGAAAAAGACGAAAAAAAGCCAAGACAAAGAACAAAAAAGAAAACAAGCAAAACTGTACACAAGAAGAAAAGAAAAAAAAACGAAAGCACATATCTGACATATGAGAGTCGTAAACAAAAAGAAGAAAAAGATCTGTATATATATATTTTCATACACCAAAATTCGTTTGTCCAATCCATGAATTATCATTGGCAGCAAATAATGGTTGACTTTCATGTTTCACTTTAGTAAAAAGCGCTGAATGACCTTGATAATAATGTGACGGTGGTTGTTGTTGTTGATGTTGTTGTTGCTGCTGTTGTTGTTGTTGTTGTTGTTGTTGTTGTTGATGATGATGATGATGATGATAATCAAATTGTGAAGTTAATTGTTTAATAGGTGGTGATGGTGCATAGTAATTGTTATAAAAGTGATGGTGAGGATTTGATGTTTCATAGGAAAATAAGAGATTATCCGACGTGCAACCATTTGAATAGTTGGTTGATGGTACTGATATTGTTTGTGGTAATGGTGGTGGCGATGATAAATCAAGATTTGATTGTTGATGATGTTCAGAAGAGCAAGCGGCTGCTTCGGACATGGTCGGTGAAGTTCGTCCTAGAAAAGTAAATTTCCATGAGTACGAAGAAAATAGAAAAAGCCAATCGCATACGGTTGTTCTTATTGAGAAGCGAAATATCGATTGTTTTTGGTGATTTATCTTTTTTTGATTTACGCTTACGAGTTTGAATACCATCTTTTTTTAATGTCAATGGCCGACTAACCTATGAAAAAGAATGAGAAATTTAAAGAAAAGAAAGAAAGAAACACTGAAGTTCTTACTCCATGTAATTTATAATAAAGACCACAAGCATTACAAACACTTTCTCCGCTTGCATTACGTCTCCATAATGTCGTATCTGTTGTACAACAGTTCGCACATTGATTTCCTGAACGATGTAGTGTACCCTAGGAAGAAGAATTTTCGTAGATAAAAATTATTCAGGAAAACCAAAAGGTATCTACACTCTTTCGAATCGATCGATCATTTGCATTATTTCCTGTTGTATACATTACTGAATTCGTTGGCATTTTATGTGTACGAGACGAATAGATACCACATTTATTACATAAATTAAAGCCACTACCATCTTTACTCCAACGTGTATTTTGAGGCGATGCTGCAGCACCACAATTGACACATTCTCGTGGCTCATCAAACGGATAACAATAAGCTGTGCGAAAGAAAAATCAATAGGATACAGTAAAATAGAAAACGTCTTTCTTAACTTACGATTGTAAGAATTAGCTGGATCATTTAATTTATTTGTTGCTGCTTGTGCCAGTAAAAGAGAATTCATTTTAGTTGAATAACAATTCATATAGAGATCATCAGCATAACGTGATACAGCCATAGCTGCAACTGAATATGGTTCTGGAGAAAATAAATCCGTATTAGCCAATGGATGAGAACCATTCCCTGCACTAACTGGTATGGCTATGGACGATGATGATGTTGATGGTATTGGCCAGACAGGTGATGAATGATTGCTTTCAATAGTTGATCCATCTTGTACACTATTATTATTGTTAGTTGTAGTATTATTATGATTTGTTGCATTTAATGAAAATGTTGAAGATGAACCATCTTCAGTATGATTTCCATAAATTTGCGGATGCATATTTAAATCTAGAATAAAAAATATTGTTGTGTTTTTTGTTGCTGTCAGATGCAAATGTGTGCGTGTGTGTGTGTGTGTGTGTGCGTATTCATTCCACTTTCGACATAGTACTATTGTATCGAATGAATAGCCTTGAGGGTTCAAAATATGATTGCAGCAGACTGGTATTACTACTGGTGACTGATAAGAAGGGAGGTCATTCAATATGAATTGGCACATGGCTGAATGTCAGTATTCAACTGATAAGACCAATACAAAAAAAAATGGTTAACGACGAACATCGATTAGGCCGTCAAAACATGGACAGAAGACAGGAAAAAAGCGTTCTCATATGACCTTAGACATCCATTGACATTTATATTTGATTCAAAAATCAAAAGAAAACAAAAAAAAAGAGAAACAACACCGATTACCTTGATGGATAGTAATATTGAAATTGTAGTAGATATTCGATTGATGTATCCTTTCTGTTCTTTTCTTTCTTATGTATTTATTATTTTTTATCAAACAAAAAATACAGAAAGAAAAATGTATATTCGCTGATTTGTGTTATCACAATCGGACCAATATTGCCAATATTAGTAGATAAAGATCTGCCTCGATCTCTCAGCAGTATGCCGAGCCGTTATCTGCGGATGATTGTGCTAGTTGTATATGGTAAGAAAAAGAGAAAACTGTACAAGTGTAGTATGCAGTGAGAGAAAAAAATCAAGCAAGAGAGAGAAAATTAATCGAGATTTATTAGCCAATAGGACATTTATTTTTTTGTCTTGCTTTTCTATTGGTCAGAAAAAGATGAAGATGAAGAAGAAGAAGAAGAAGAAGAAATAACAACGTTGAGATCCATCATTATGTTCGTCTATACATGTTCTCTCAAGAAAAGATCAAATAGAAACGATGCGCATTTGTGCATGTGAGAAAAAAAACGCGGCAATAGTTAAGGTGCTAGTGGAAAACGAACAAAACTAGAATAAAGAAAATAGATAAGGACAAGTGAAAAAAAATCTCGTTTCTTTCATATGCATATGCATACAATCAGTGTATGTGTGTTTTGAGACAAAATGACGATGTGCCTCTCGGGCGCCATGCACGAGCGAAAAACGGACTAAAGACGTACGCTGATAGGTAGGAGTGAATATATATTATTTATGCATCTAAAATTCATCAGGGATGCAATCAAAAAACTTGTTTCTATTTTTTCAAGGATCATAGAACATATAGATAAAAATTATTTTAACACGATGATCTTAATAAAAAATGATAATTTGTTCGATAGGCGGAAAGAGCAAAAGCTCTTGTACTACCAGCTATCGATTATCATATACAATTTTGTCACCATCAAGTCTTCAAAGAATCGAATCAGTCATTTTGTTATATTTCAGTGCAATGATTATTCATAATGGGAAAGCTTCTTTTTTCGCTTGGGTGTTTCCAAGAATCACATTTCACACAGATAGAAGTGTTGATGGTCGGTCGCAGCATGAGTTCTCTACATTAATATCATACCTGTGATGATCACTTTTTGTTTTGTATCTTGCTTCTATGGTGATGAGACAGAGCAAGAGTGACGATCAAAAGATGAACACAGTGACACGGGTAATTATATGTATACACATACGGTTAAGATACGATACGAAAAGTCTTTTATTGTTCAAATAGATTTTATGCGGCACGTGTTTTGTTTTCTTCTCAAACATAAAATTGACTTAAACCAAGTCTAATAAACTTAGTTTTCATATTTCAATCATCGATACATCACCAATCCAGATGTTAAGTCGTTTAAAAGAAAATAAATATGTGATGATTTCTCTTCGATGCTCTCTCGGCGTTTTTAATATATTTCGTTATACATAATGCGATAAGCATGACTATAAGCAAGTGTCGAGAGAATGAGAATAATGAACGACAACGATTGATTTCTTTCTGATGCATACGGGAATAGATATATATATATATATATACATGCAGAATACAAAACCTACGCACACTTGTTGTGTTTTCTTTCGATTTACGTGCCTTCATTTTCTTTAGCCATCATCATTTGCTACTTAATTGACAGCATAATGACTTTTCAACAGCATGCGGAGGAGGCTGAATAAGAGAAACATATTTATATAGAATTCATCAAGTTTATCTTTCGAATACAATACATAGTGCGAGAAGAGCCTTTTTCTAGTTCTAGTTCATAAAAAATAAATAATTAATTAAAATATGTTTGTTATTATTAGAAAGTGTATAGCACTGATTTTTATCTCTAATTCAATGTTGTTTTGTTTATTTAAAATAGATATTAAAGTCAACATATTTGTAATTATTTTAAATGAAAAAGAATAAGAATTTAAATCAGTTTTCTTATCATACAAATTATTTACTTGGCAAACAATATATTGAGCAATCAAAGTTATTGTTAGTTTTGCCGTTCTCATCTCTTTCTCTACATACATGCATACATACATATATATATATATGGAGTGTCTAAAGATCACACGCATTGCTCTCTTCTAATAAAGCGCTTATACACTTGCCTTTTAGAATGCGCACATAGACAAACGACGGGAAAAATAGAAAAAGAAGGATATAGATAAGATAACAGAGAGACGCGCCTAGATGGGATGCAGACTGATATGAAATGAATAAAAGCAGGGGAAATAATTGCACATGTTAGGTTTTATATACATATACGAAGTATCGATGAAATACGTGAAATAGAATTTGTTTTCTATCGTTTGCATTCGTAAAGCAGCTTGAGGGCTTTTGTTTCTTAAAAAAAAAAAAGAAACATTTGATATTGTAATCAACTCGTCAATAATAATGTTAATGATGATTCCTTAAATGGATATATTATGCACATAGGACGATGATAAATTGAAATTCGTTCCTTATCACCCATCAAACTTATTCAATATGGACATCATGGTACTTTACCCCTATATGCATACATATACGTATTGCAATCGAATACCCCCTACTGTCCATCATCATGATGAACAGCAACTTCGATTATTCATCATGCCATCTTAATATTAGGTCATTTAGGACGACGGCTCTGTTCCAGTTCAACTACCACGATATTGAAACAGTAGTATTCATGTCAGAGGACACACGACTCAACTTTCGACTTGTCTTATATTTTCAAAAGTTAATATCAATAATAAAATGGATAGATTTCTTGTCGTCCGAAAACTGAATTTGATTGATTATGACAATCCATACGAATGATTTACTGACAAAGGCAAAAGATAATTATTGAACAAAAGGTGTGAAAATAACGAGACCACCATGATGTTTTAAAAGAGAAGAATATTTTCTATGATTTTCATTTCGTCATTTAGAGTAACTGTTGTAAATACGAAATAGAAAATTTTCCTTTTGAAATTAAAATTTTTTTCTTGTTCGCTCCAGATGGTGTTATCATTTTCGAATACATTAGCATTCGTGCTGTCAGAGAATAATTCATTAATATTGCTCATTATTGAACCTGCTAGTCAAATTAAATTTAAATGTCTAAAGAAAATCACTGCATGGACGAGAATAATATTGGGAATCTTCCTATGCTGATTACAATTCTTTTAAATTAACACATAAAGAATCACTACTATCAAAGAACTAATCTTGAAAAAAACGCTGACATCGGGTCAGAAATATTTTTGTTCGAATGCGCCCTCAGACGCGGTTGCTATCAAAAAAATGTGATAGGAAAATAGACAAACAAGCGGGTGAGATGGTTTTCTGTATACTCAAAAATATCATCATGCATGCTCTCTATGAAATGGTAAACACTTGGTACTGTAATTTTTCGAAGATCGTTTGCATGAATGTAAAAATTCGACAGTTGAGTTTATCAATAATGGCTATGAATATAACTTTTAATTAATGTTTTGAAGTTATTTGAGTGAGAGAGAAAAACATGAACATATCAGCACTGGTCTGTAATTTTTTTTTGATAATAAAACAACTAAGTCAATAATATGTGAAATGATAACATTTGCTTTTATCAATATATCTAATCAATGTGTTCGCTTTCTGTATTTTAATTTGATATTTAGAAATTTCTTTATTTGTGATTGATTTAGAAAATAAAAATAAAATTATTCTTGGCATTATGTAGTGCTGTCAATAGATAAAATAGTAAAGCTGAATTTTCATGTATATCGATTATCCGAATTCCATAAAAGTGATGTCGCTAGATTTATACATTAATATTAATCTCGAGAGATTCATAAAAATAGTTTTGTTATCAATATAGGAGATCCTTCGAAGTCAATAAATGCATTCAGTTGAATCATAAATAGAAATCGTGTCTTCAAAAGTAATCTTAAGGATTTGTATTGATTTTAATGTCTAGTGCTCGGTGCTGCTTCTGAACAATATTCGAATAAGTAAGCCAATCAAGCTGCCTTTGAACTCGGATTTTAAACATTTTCTTTGTGAAGTCACTTGTATATCCGATTTAACGGTGAAAATCGATTGAGTAACGTTTGCTTTTAAATCCGATGGAACACAACATAGAGACATGACTGATTCTGCTCACTTTCTATTTGGAATGAACCTATTTTGAATCACAGGATGAGAATGATTTCACTTTTATTTATTTCAGTTTAGAGATCTATTTAAAATATTGTGAAGTTTGCCAAATGAAACAACTTGGGGATTTTTCAACTGGCATTTCGCCCATAAAAAAATGTTTCGAGCGTCATAAAAATTCTCCTATAGGTTTATATTTATGAGCGTTCTCTGTTATATTTATGAAACTATTCGATAGTTAGTTTTATACTTCATATTCACGAAAAACATTTTCCCCCAATAAATAGATTCAAAAAAAAAAACGTCATATTCTCGGATTATCTTAGATTCCAAATCGCACACAAATGCCCTTGCAAACAACTGTTCCACTCCCATGTGTGTCGTGCAGGTTGACTACAAGCGCGCTATTACTCACTGATATGAATAGGGCATCATAAGATAGAGTTGATCACTTAATATTGCACATGTTCGTGTAACAATTACCTCAATGCACCCTGTATCAGTGAGTCACGGTTAGTATTTATTCTAACGCAACGGATTATTGATAGTTATTCCGCAAAAATTGCAATTCTTAACTAATAAAATATTGTCAAATTTTCGATTCGAAACATTATTGAAAAAAAATTCAAAATATGCATCTTGCCCATTTCATAACTAGTTATATACAAGTACTTAATATCTAAACATTAAGTCTTAACGACACAGATTGTTTAACGAACAAGTATAAATTATTTTTTTTTCTGAACAAAACAAAAAGAAAGAACAAAAGAAAAAAAAACAGAATCATCAACGCATCACAAAGAGCTCACTTTTAACCTGCCCTAGTATTGGTTTTGGTTTTTACGTACAAGAGAAAGAAACGAAGGACACATTCACGCATACATTGAACAAAAGAAAAACGAAGCAACAAATGACAACTATCTGATCTTATCACGGTTGGGAGTCAGTAGTAGCAGCCGTAGTTGCAATTGTTGGCAGTACAGTGGAATGATGTTCTTCACCATTAGCTACATTATTTGTTATCGATGAACCTGTAGACGAAAGAGGGGATGATACAATTTCTCTCGCACAAAGTTCAGCATCAAAAACAACAGACGACATATCGGATTGTTGCTGCTGCTGTTGATATTGAACAACATTCGATTGTTGAGATGAAAAACGATGATGTTGCTGTTCAAGTGCTGTAGCATATGGATTATGTCGATGATGACCAAGATGAGAATGAGGATGTTGTGAAAATAAATCATTTCGTACTGAATTGTAATCATGATGATATGTTCCTGGTCGTCCGAGATCTAATCGAAAATAAAATATTATTCTTTAGCGTGACACTTTCATTTTCGATTTAGTTTTACGTGTTGTTGCTAAACCATAATCAAGAGTGGCCTCCGATGCACAAGGTGCTGGATCTTTCATTGACGATGTTGTATTAATATGTTTATTATTATTATTATTATGTTTAGATTTCGAATTTGGATTAGCACCGGAACTACTTCCATTAGTACTTTTCGGTTTTCGACGACGAGTTTGAATACCAGGCTTAACCATATTCAATGGACGTGCAATCTAATATGAACTATTGACTCGTTAAAACAGTAGGATTAATGAAAATCCTACCTGATGAAGTTTATAGTATAATCCACATGCATTACAAACGGGTTCACCATCACTATTTCGTCGCCATAATGTTGTATTTTGTGTTTGACAATTCGCACATTGTAAACCGGAACGACGCGCACCTGATAGAGCCTAATCAGACACAACAACACATAAGAAGTTATTTCGAATAAATTAAAGGAATGTGTACTTGTTTATGAGCTGAATTAGTCGATGCATTATTAACTGACGAAACAATATCATCCTTGAAAAAGAAAAAGAAAATTTTGTTTCGTAAAAAAAAGTGACGTTCGAAATAATGAGATGTTTACTGATTGTGTTCGATGAAATGGTGGTAGTTGATTTTGAGAAATATTTGTATCATTACCATTATTTGAATTTATTTTCATAGTCGGATAAGGTGAATAATGTGAATCAGAAGTGCCCAGTGCAAGTGAAGATAATGCTTTCGATGGATTATTTCGACGTGACAAAGGTGCTGTTGTTGTTGATGATGATGATGATGTTGTTGTTGATGGATGATATAGTTGATTTGGATGAATAGAATGATGATGAGGATAATGATTCGTTAACGATGCTACATTTGGTAAACAAACGGGATCAGCTATTGGAAGGCCAGTTTCCATAGTTGAAGCTCGAGGATGATCGTCATCTTCCTATAAACAAAAGCAGTTAGATGAAAATACTTGATATTTTTCATTTACCGAACGTCGTATTAATCGCGTTAGTGGTCGATTGGAACCATTAATTTTATGAAATAAACCGCAAGCATTGCACAAATAATGACCTGTACCATCACGGCGCCATAATGGTGTTGATATAGCTCCACAATTTACACATTCGCGACCGTCAGTTGTATCGTAATAGCCATCTAAAAAGATTACGATGAAAAATTTATATAAATAATGCCAGAAAACTTACCTATACATTGAATATATGAATTAACACCAGTATTGTCATTCCAAAATGGTATTTGATCAGTATTATTAGACAATTGTGTTGGCTGAAGAAATGTTAAATCATTTAAATTCGATGCTGATGTTGGAACATAACCATTTGGTAATCCATAATATGGTTGAGGTTCATTGGATGTCCATCCTTGATTAACACCATTTTCATACACAGGATTATTTGGCGAGGTCGATGAACGACGTGTTGTACTGGTACCTGCTACATATCGATTTCCTTCATCATACGGTGAATGACGATAGTCCGATTGTGAAGTATGATGTAAAGTAAAACGAGGTGAGGAAAGCGATTGTTGATGATGATTATTGGGTGTTGGAGGCGAATAAAGTGCTATGAAAAAAAGAAAAAAGAAAATTATTTTTCAATTAAATTTTAACTTTTTTCCTATTACGTTGTTGTAGATGTGGATAGTTTTGTGAATGATGATGTGCTTGAAGATGATCAACCCCATTGACTAATTCGTCTCCATAATATGCTACTGTTTCAGCATACGACAATTGACCTGGCTGTTGAAATTGATTTGAAAATGAAGGTGATTCTTGAAAAGAATTCAAATACAAAACAAAAATTCTTTTTTTTTAATTCAAATTTTACCATTCGCCGATGGATACTGTTCTTGTTGTAAATCATTTGAAGAAACAGTATTTATATTTGTTACTGTTGTTGTTGTTGATGATGATGGTTGTTCGGAATAAATAGTGACTTGTTGCTGCTGCTGCTGCTGCTGTTGCTGTTGTTGTTGTTGTTCGTTATGTTGAGTAGAATTTCTCAATGATATTTGACTATTTGTTGAAGATGACGTTGAACCACTTGCATTTGAAAGACTACTATTATCTTCATCTTCAACATTTTCATTTTTAATAATCCTTGTCGACAAAGATTTTTCATCAATTGGTGTCCAAGAAGATGACATGTTGATAAAAAGACGATGTCACTAAAGATAACAAATAAGAATGAGAACGATTATCCTTAAATAATGTCTTAGTCGCTTTTTTTGTTTTTCTCTTCGTTCTGAATATTTTTCTTTTTCTTCGCCTTAAAATGTCATTGGCTATGATGACATATTTTTTCTAATTGGTCCAAAGAAGCTTACCGTGGGACGAAAGGAATGAAAGTGAGATCATCGGTGAGTTTTTCTAAAAACTTAGCTGTTCGACTAGATGTACACATCGAATAAACTGTTTTTTTTATTATTCTGATGATGACGATGATGATGATGATCGTGCTTGTGTAGATGATAAGCTCTCTTTTGATAAGACCCATGCTTCTCTCCCGTTCTTTCAACGATTTTTCTTTATTTCACTCTTCCTGCGTCTGCTGCTCCCATTCCAAGCGGGGGCTACAAAACTTTGATAAAAATTATCGCTTGTCTGTGGTTGTAAAACGACACTCATCACAATGAGGGAGAGAAAAAAGATAGAGCTGCATTTCACTCACATTCATTTTCAAAAAGAGCAGCATCAGTCAAGACGTACGGCAATAATGATAGAGGTGAGAACATGCAACAAATAGATTTAACTCTTTACGATTTTTGATTTCGACTTTTGTTCTCAGCTATGCTTATTTGTTACGGATATACTAGTTATTATGTATGTTACCTTTTCAGAAATGATGATAGTCGTTAGCTCGACGCGTATTGGCCAAAAAAAAGTTTTTTTTCTTAAGTGCCTATGTGTGTGTAGTAGTGTTGTGTGCGTTCAAGTTAAATAAAAACTCGGAGTGGGGCGGCAAAGTATGATTTTTCTCTCCGTGCCTCTCCTTTCTTCTCTCTTCTTCTTCTTCTTCTTCTTCTTCTTCTTCTTCGTATTCTCCACTGCTGCTTGCTGCTGCCGTCATTGTCGACATCGCTCTTCTCTTCTTTTTTTTTTCGCTCTCTACTCACAAGCACAAGCGCTCCTTTCAAACAAGGCAGCGCCCATATAGCCACCACTTATAATTGTTTGGAAGTGAAATATGCGCACATGCACGGCGTGCTATATATATTTGTGCGCTCTCTTGCTTTCTCCTGTCTCTATGAAAGTCTTCTTTCTTTTTTCCTTTTTGCTTTGTTAAAATTAGATTTTCAAGGAGGTTGACTCTCGAAAACAGATCGACAGGTGCATTTGTCTACATACGCGTGTAAATGTAACTAAATCCGTGATGGATGATCATGATTTTATGGTTTAATGACATTGGAAATTGCCTTTTTTGTTTCGCCTTCTCTCTTGTTCTCTCTCTCTCTCTCTCTGCATCGCTCGCTTGCTCGTATTGTCTCTTCTTACGAGATGATGAGGTGCGAAGGATCAGATTTAAAAAATCAACACACTTGCCGAAAATAAGAAAAAAAGAAAGATCCATATAAAAATATTGATTGTTCTTCTTAGGGCCTTCAATTACTCTCTTTATTTATAAATCGATTCAAGTTGAAATTTATGGCCAATTTCTTTTCGTTTTTTTTTTCTAACTACAGCAGCTAGGTCAATATGTTATCTATGCTGACCTCGTTTGTCTCCATTATTTGAAATATTGAGGAAGAAAAAAACATATAAGAAATGTACATTTACGTATAAAACCTTATTTGCTGCATTCGAATAAATACTTTCTAACAACCAATGATTATTACTTTTTTTTTCCTGTTACATCAGAGAAAAAGAAAAATGTATATAGAAAAAAAACACTGTCTACACTGCGCTTTTTTGCTGTTATCAGTAAAAGCAAATAGAAACGACACATACCTCTTCGTTTTTCTCTCTCTCTCTCTGTTTCACTCATGCTCTGCGCTGTTTGGATGCGTACTTTAGCTTGCATTCTTTTTTTTATGAAGTCACAGCGAAGAGCAAATATTGAAAAGAGAGCACAACCAGTCAAGAGCAGAGTAAATAAAGCAAGAGAGATAACGAAGACAAGCTTAAACATATACACAAATCAACACACCGGTTCTTATTCGTTTCTCTCTCTCTCTCCCTCTCTCTCCCTCTTGTTGTTGTTCTTCTTCTTCAACTCTCTTAACTATTTATGAACGACGATCAATAATCTTTTTGACTAGAGCATTGCTATAAATTTGTCTATGATGATCGATTGATTTTCATGTAGAAAAGAATGTATAAACAACACATCCGAAAAAAAATGTTATAATCAAAAAAAAGAACTACAGCATCAATGAAGAATGAAATGGTCCATTACACGAATTACTCACCGATAATAATAGTAGACAGTCCACTGACATCGTCTTTGTGTCTGATCATAGCTCATCGCCTTTTTTCCCTCTCTCGTCGAGGTATTTTGCCCATGAATATCATACACATGTATCAATGTATGTGCCTGGACTGAAATAGAATGAAATTGGATATCTATCATCAGTTATTTTTCTTCATATTTTTTTTTACGAAGCCAGATGATCGAACTAATATATAAAGATCAAGGTCAGAACAGTTCAATGCTAGTTGATGCATAGTGAAATGAACCTGGATGATGGTACTGTTGCCTGCCCGGACTAGTTGGACATAAGTTTCTTTTTTTGCTTTATTTTAGTATCTGAATACGTACCGAATAGGAGTGTGCAACCGAATGACTGACTGGCACGGTGGCCGTACTCTTATTATCTAAATTGTGTTATTTGGATAAGATAACTCGATTGTACGAGAGAAGGTTGCGCATTTTTTGTTTCTTTCACTCCTTGTATTCTTTTGCTTGTTCCTATATATATTTATTATAGTGTAGGATAGACTTGCAATGAGGCGTAACGTACAAAAGTAGAATATAGCAGTACGTGCCCTGTTTTCTCAATAATTTATCTTCCTGTTGAATATTCAAAAGTAAGAAATTATCACACACAACTAAACATGTTAAATAACAACTATTCATTAGACAGAAGCAAAAAGAATATTTTCTTATTCAAAACAAAGTCTCATATTATATTCAACTTTTAGTTGATGGACACGTACAGATGCCAATGATAAATTAACAACCTTCCTACAATAAATGAGTTACTCGCATCAAAATACGTTTCAGTCTCATTTGTCTCAAATACATCAAAGCTAAAAAATGGCTCATATTACTATTACGACTTCAATTAACAATTTTGAAGTTTTACATGAAAATTCCACGATTGATTTTCAAAATTCTACCTTACTCGACACAAATTTATTAAATACAATTAAAGTTACATTCGATATATATATATATATACTTATAATAAGAATCGTGTGCTTCTAATTGATTGATTGGAATCGAAAACAAACTCATCGGTGATATATATTTTCTTTTCTTTTTTTATGGAACATTAGTTTTAACAAACAATCACAAAAAACGATACTTTCATCAATCATTTCTTTCGATGGTTTTAAATAAACAAAAGTAATCATAATCTTGGAATCATCAGAAAGCAGAACACAAAAAAGAAAAAGACAAAGTCCGATGTAATCAAACATTGATTTATTTGACTAAAGTCAGTGCGTGTGTGTGTGTGTGTACCAATTTGTAGTATACGAATATAGTCACAATGACAATTGTTGAACTTTCACATTGTCATTGAATTTATGACCTGAAATATTGACAACAGTAAATCAAGAGAGCAATAGAAGATTAATGATGTAAAAGAAAAGTTTAATAGAAATCAGCTGTCAGTTAAATATATTTTTATTGGCGAAAGAATGCTTTCGAATGATTAACGAGCGATCAAGAGTTAATTCAAAAAAAGATTGCTTGAAGTTTTCGATAATCCTTTTACATTTGAGGTCCAATAATAATAATTCAAAACCAGTTGAATGTTTTCGCAAATCTTCTTTGTTAACCTTATTTCTGGCCATAAAAACGAAGTTTTTTCGCCAGTAGGATATGTAATTCTAACCGACCGGCACCTGCCCTCATATCCCCTATTGACAAATGACTTGCAGAAGACTACTGACCAGTATACTATTTTCTCATTTCGGTTCTTGCAAATAAGAAGTTTCAAAAAAAATCAAACTATCGCAGCAAACATATTGATGAAAAATAAAAATAATAGTATTCGCTTATTTAAGATCACAACGCAGCACGATTGTATATTTTTTTTTATCGAATGATTGAATTAAAACAAATGCGCCAACAAATATAAAAAGCAAAAATTTGTTTAATAACTAAAAATAAGGCCAAATTAATAAATAAGTCTCAGGATATAGTCAGTGTCCAATCGGATGTTACCAATGGACCAGGTCGTCGAATAACGAGTGTATGTGTTGCAGCTTGATAGCTGTGAAGTGGAGTGGCTTGTTTATCACCTGAATTAATTATCACTTTATTTGGTTTTTTCGGATAGCCAACTATAATAATACGTTCAATCCAAGCTTCTGTTACAAATTTAGATGAAGTATCAAGAGATCTAAAATAAAGTCATAAGAATTTAATGAAATCGCAGGAGAAAGATGTCAAGCGTACTTTGAACGAAGTTCATTATTTTTAAATATAAAACGACGATAGACTAATTGACGTTTTCGTCTATAATCATAAGTGTAACCATCGTCCATATATAATTCACCTTTTGCTTCGAGCTAAATAAAAACATGAAGATTTGATTTCGTCTGAGATGAATTTTGAGGGGATCTCTACAAGAAATCAATTTTTATAATCGAAATAGTATACATACATATCGATCGAGTGTAACTATTAAAGTAATTGGATCATTTAAGGCAACCATTGAAGAACGTCGTTTTCTTAATCTTCGTGGAATGATGATACCACCTAATTGATACGCAGGAATCTGAAGACAGAAAAAGAATCAATTCACTTCTTTTGTTTACAATATTACTACTTACCGATTCCATATTGACATTTATCAATACTGTTTCAGAGCCTTTATACGAATTAAATGTTCGTAAGTCATACCAAATCTTTTTTGGAGAAAAATAGAAATATAATATCTTAACTTTTATTTTCATCTTACTGTATTTTCACCGGGAAAATAAATTGAAATTTGATTAGTATCAGCATCAGTCACAGGATAGACAAGAAGACCATTCCCTGAATCAGATATATCTTTCAAGTGAAGGCTTTTTTCTCGGACTTCAACGATACGTACCAATCATAAATGAGTCTTCTGTTTTAAATGTATTTTTATCTTTCGGAAAATTTGCCCACAATGGTAACATCGGTGGTATTCCTTGCCGTTCTTGCTTATAAAATAAAGTATACCAATAAGGTAAATAGGTATAACGTTCTTCAATAGATTGTCGTATAAGTCGTGTATTATCATTACCAAATAGCCATGGTTCACGACGTGTTGTATCGGTATGTGCATGTTCACGATAGAACGGTTGATATGCTGCAGCCTTAAAAGTACAGAAAATTCAATGCGGCTTCTGTTCGAACTCAACATACTTGATACCAGCGGACAAGTAATTTCGGATCGGGATTTGAAAAGAATCCTCCAACATCAGCTCCAATGAAACCAAAACCAGTTACTGATAAACTTAGTAGCATTGGCACAGTTACTTTTAAATGACTCCATTGTGCTGAATTATCACCTGTCCAAACAGCTGCTGTACGTTGTGAACCAGCAAAGAATGAACGTGTTAATAAAAATGGACGGACATGTCCGTGCGAACGATTCACAAGACCTTGAAATGTTGACATGTGTTGAAGCATGCCATAGAGATTATGTACTTCACGATCTTCCCATCCACCATGATGAACAAGATCTTTTGGAAATGTTATTTCTGGACCATTGAATACTGAGGGCTCATTCATATCATTCCATAGGAAAAGATTTTCTGTTGAACCTTTATAATTTTCCAATAAATATCGTTGAGAATACCATTGAGAAATATTTGGATTGAAAAAGTCAAGCCACATCGAAGAACCTAATAACCAAAAAGGCAAAATCTCTTTTCAACAAATTTCATATCGTTTTCTTTCACCTGGCCAACACGATCCTTCATAATCTTGTCCATCTTTAGTTTTAACAAAATATCCTCGTGCTTTTGCTTCACTATAAATGTGGTATGCATCATCTTTTTTTATATGTGGATCAGATATTGTAACGAGTTTCCTTCGATAGAGAGCAATATCATTTTGTAATTTTTCTGGATTAGGAAATTTCGTTAGGTCCCATGTAAAGTATCGTTTGCCATTTGTATGTTCAATATCAAGCCAAATAACATCGAGTGGAATTTGGTGTTGTTCAAAGCCGTTTAGAACACTAAACGAGATAGATTCTACTATGAATATTATTTGTTTTTAATATATAATACCCTCGAACATCGTCTTCATCAATATAATTCCAACGACATTGATGATAGGCAATCGCCCATAGCTAAGCAATAGAAAATTAGTCTTGAAAAACGATTCCATAGGATTCATACCGGCGGTAGTGGAGCAGCACCTGTAATAGTTGTATACTGTTTAAAAATATCTCTTGATGTCGGACCCATAAAAAAGAATCCATCGAATATCCCTGCTTCAAACATCCAATGCGTAGTTACTTCTGGTATTCCAATATTGTCAGTGATCGGTTTTGTAGCTGTTGAAAATAAATTCTAAAAATAATCGATCAGTCAATTAAGTTATTTGTTTCAGCGTCTCATCGTATTTAAATTCGATACAACTCAACGTATTCTAAAATTCCATAAACGATTCATAACTCTACGTCTGTCATATGTTATGAACTCAACTTGTGCATTAGAATTAAAGTAAAAATATTAGATAAGACAAATTGAATTTTTGATCAATTAATATATCAATACTTACTTTATTATAATTAACATCGATCCATCCTTCGGCTGCATTCATCCAAAAGAAGCCAACAGTAGCATGTTCACTAGAATCAATGGAAAATTTTTCTTCGTATTATTTTAATAAAAATGATTTTACTTATGAGCTAGCATATATGGAACTGAACCATAAAGAGCCATTGGATTTTGAAGATCATATTCAAAAATATCAACATTATAAAGACGATATGGATCACCATCACTAAAAATAGCAACGTCGATTCTGATTTTTTTTAAAATAACATATAAGTTTTTACTGTGTAGATCGAAGTGAAAATGCATCAGCATGTTCAGGAATACCATAAACATTTTCAAAATTAATAAAATTGACATCCACACCGATTGATGATGGGCCTTGAAAAGAATTTCTTTATGATCTATCAATGATAGGCAACAAAAGATGTTTACCATATGGTTTCGAATCCTTATGAGTTTTGAATGTTTCTTCCCACATACCATCTTCGCTCTAGGCAGACAAAAAATGTTGACGCTAAAGGCTTTGCTAATAAAATCGAATTCAACGTAACGTATCATCTGCTTCTTAAGATAACAATTGATTAACATTGAAATCAATTCGTTTTTTTTCTGCAAGTGACATTGCACCTGTAGGCTTCACCTGGCGCAAAACTATCGAACAGTTTATCAACGACAAACAACTGTTGATGATCTCATAGTAATCTTTACGCGACAGAGAAAATTTACTTTGTTCCTCATATCAGGCTCTTCTGTCGCTGTGTATCGTTAATAGACACTCAAAGTTACTGAAGAATGAAATACAACTGCCAATAAAAAGCGAAAAGAACTCAGCTTCTTTTTCATTAATCATAATACTAAGTATTAAATAGAATTCACCTAGACCTGTCATCTACTAACATCGTTATCAGTTGTGGTTTTATTTGATCTATTAATAAAACAAATTCATCATTGTTTATGTTATGAAGTACAAATATACTCTTACTGTGGTTTTTTCCGATAATGTTCAAAGTTAAACAAATGTTTTGAATTCACACTTATCACAAACATATCATTAGTAAATAGATCCAATCGGAATGGTTTCACATAAAGTAGAAATCTAGCTGCTTTACCAAAACTACCTTGAATTTGATTTCCATCCAAGTGTGTTATATTCATACTGAAAAAAATTCATATAGAATTTTCTAGTTTTGATAGAATTAGCCTTACTCAACAAGTTTAGGTTCACCGACGAGACTATGTTTGACTTCATAGCGTTGTCTTATTGGATTTCTTTCATTGATTTTAACACGCAGTGAATTATGTTCAAGTGTAAAAATATCTAGTTTGAATTTGATATGAGATTTTGTATTATCAAGAAGTAGACATCGTAAATGTCCACTTTTCACTATTTTTATTGTATTAAGATCTATTTCATATGATGATCTATCTGGTTTATACTTCCGTTGTCGTCTAATTAAAAATTCATTTATTATCATGATACAAAAATTGAGTCGGAGAATAGTTACCGACAAAATCCACTTTGTTCACATGTTTTAAAATCACTACGATCAACATTTTCAATGGATGGGATATTTAATACAAATAGGATAACAATGTAATGTACTAGATAAAGAATTTTTTTCATTTTTCTGTTTTGAAAAGCTTGTTAAAAAGGATGGACGATTTTTAACGTAGTGCTGACGTTTTGGAAGAATTATATTGGCTATTGAAGATATTCAACAGAATTTTATTTAATTATTATTTGATTTTTTCAATCAAAAAAAAACGAAAAAAATGAATTAAAATCATACATCTCATAGAGCAGAATCTATAGTATATGAAGTATAGATGTCATTGCAGTCTCTGTGATGAGGAGTCACACGTTGTTATGGTTGAGAATTGTAAAATGGAAGCCAGAGTTATTCTTATTTTTCAATTGCGTGGTTGATTGGAATAAAACGTTTTATTATATGAGCGTAATATGGAAATAAAAGATAAAACGAGTAAGTATTTTATCACTTTCTTGCGTTTTATTCAATACAAAAGACAGGTACAATTGAAGAAAATGGCATCTGTTGTTCTATAACACCAGACATGACTTTGATTTTTTTTCAAATTTACAGCCTACTGCTCATGCACAAACTGTAATAAGTAATACCCAGGTCGTTTATTCCTACAATCGGATTCAATTGGATTTGAAAACGGGTTGCATCGGATCTTACGTGAAAACCGACAAGAACCAACAGATTCCGTCGGTTTCGTAGGATCGGAATCCGATACCATCCGATCGTATCCTACTATGGAATCCGATGCGCAAAAAAGCCTGCTATAGTCAACCTCTAAAAAGCTTTTTTCGCGCTAAATAGAATTTTGACATTTTTTAAAATTCTTCCGTCAAAAGCTCTGAAACCCTGAATCCAACTGGATTTCCTCGGTTAGTAGGATGTTTTAGGATCCGATAGAATCCGTCGTCGGATGAGTCGACCTGGGTAGAGAGATAAAAGTAGCATCCAATGCGCATACTTCCTTTTCAAAGATTTTTAATAAAAGAAAGAATAACATTAGAAGATTGTGTCTCTAGCAAAAGTGGTTCCGATGAGTTTAAGACTAATTTTAATTAGACATTCATTAATACGCAATTCGTGCTGCTAGAGATTTTCTTCAAGATTTCGAATATTCAATCGCAAGCGTTTCTATCGAAGTGACCGCTGTGTGCATTGGCTATAGTTTGCATGCTTCATTAATAAAATATTCGTAACTATTCAAATAAGTTAATTTTTAAAAGCTTTTCTTACATTTTCCGGCTTTAAAAATAAATAGATACGTCATCAGTGCAAGAATCTGTCGTTTTTCTGCTTACGACTATATTCCAAATAATATTCTCTACTGATAAAGCTGTTTCAATCAGGTTTTCTACGATGCAGTCGTTGATCAAATATATATCTAATCGATAGTTCTATTTATCTTGACAAAATCAATATTTGCTAGATATATATATATTGGTATTTGAGAAATAATTAAACGGAATTTATCAGCATGGGATTTTTGTGCATATGGATTGCCAAAAAAAACATTTGAGCTTGTTAATTATTGTTTCTACTTATGTGACAGATGATAATATTAATCTACAATGAGAATTTTTATTTTTCTTGATTACATCACTAAATAATGAATTGAGAATAATTCTTTTGCTAATGAAGTAGCTCTCCGATGTCACTGAAAAAAAGGAAACATGACACGTCTATCGATTTGTGAAATATAGAAATACTGGATATATTAAATTTTATATATTTAGCGGAAACGAAACTCTTTCGTCTAAAGCCATTGCATGAAAGCTCTAACAAGGGTCAAACAGCATTTTATCGTAATGTCATCTTGCCCAGTAAAACTTACAAAGAAAAACATAAAGTTTGTGAAAAATCTAATTCGCTTCGTTATTTTATTTATCTATGTTCTAGCTTCCATTAAATCAAATAAAAAATGCTGCAACAGCCTATGAAGAACAGACAACACTTCAAAAAGAAGATACTGAAAGGTCTCTCATTGGAAAAAACAAAACATAGTCTAATCAATTTAGTTGTTTTTAAATTAGATTTCGAAGTTCATTACAACGTCAATTATCGATCGATATGCTTCGCCAAGGTTATCATCATTCATTTCGTGAAGGATGTGCTATATTAGCATGGCAAAAAGAGGATCGAGAGCGATTAGGAGCTGAACATCCACTTCATGAACGACCATTACTTGATGGTGAACCTGATAAATTACGTTTTCTTTGTTTATATCTCAATAAAGCTGAAGAAGCCGAACGACGATGTAATCATTGTTTTATTCTGTAAAAAAAAAACGGAACAGGAAATAAACTGAATCTATTTTAGGTCAATATTCAAATATGTATCATAGTTATCTTGAATTAGCATCGTTCTTTTTAAAGAGTGACGATCGTTGGCTTTCTGATTCATTCTATGAAAAATGTTTATCTGTTGCTCAAACATACCAACAACTTGATCCACAATTAGCAGCCGAGGCTCATCTCAATGTTGGTTTAGCATATGAACGACGAGGTAGAACAAATATTTAAACAAGTAATCGTAACAATAATTCACGAAAAATTCCTCTAGGTGATTTAGCAAAAGCATTGCATAGTTTTATCAGGTATCGTCAATTGAGCGAAGATTTTGAACGATTAAAATCCGATGCAAGTCTTCAATTAACACGTTTATACATGAAATTAGCTGAACGTCGAACTGATAATCAATCACTGCAATTTGTTCTTAAAGCCTATGAAGCTTCAGCGCAAAGTAAAATTTTGATAGAAAATAAAAAGCTAAGGAATTATTTTCTCGCCGCTTATTTTTTTAGGCAGCGATAGAAAAATAGAAAATGAAACAAGTTATAAATTAGGTCAAGCTTATCTCGAACATGGAAATGTTGATTCAGCTTTGAAATATCTTCATAAATATTATGATTATTGCGAACAAGTGAATGACGATGAAGGTTTTGGTCAAGCAAGTGAAGCATTAGCGATTTGTTATCAAAAGTAATTTTGATTCGATGATGAAATATTTAGTTCTAATTTCTTTTTTATAGGAAAGCTAACGTAGAAAAAAGTACAGAATACTTAACAAAATATTTACAAAAAGTCTCCGATAAGGAAGGTGATATACAATACGCAAGAGCATGCAGTGCTCTTGGTTTTATATATAATACTTTGGTAAAAATAAAAATTGAAATTTTAATTCCTAAAATAACATTTCTGTTCTCTTATTCAGAGCCAATATGATTCAGCTATTCAATCATTAAGCAAAGCTTATAGTATATCGTTAGCTAATAGTCATGGAGATATTGATCGTAATCGAGTGTTGTTCGGAATTGCGCATGGATTAAAATTGCGACCGTATTTCAATGATCATATTGATCGAATGAAGACAAAAGAATTGCTTCAATGGAAATGTACAAGGCATGAAAGTTTTTTAACAAAACCAAAACCTTAAATTTTTGACCTGTTTTTGCTTCTCTTTTTTTATCGATCATTTAAAAAAAGAATAGATAATGTTGAATATGAAGAAATTACTTGTAATTTAGCGTGTTCAACAAAAATACATCGAAATCTATTACATAAAATCTCATATTTTTCTGAATAAATATACTAAAATAATATCAAAAAATTTGATTATTTTCTTAACTAATAAGATATGGGTTTAACGAGAAGTTCTTCTTATTCCAAGTGCAAAGAAATAATGAGAGAATTCTTCATGAAGCGTTGAATCTTTGAAATGTTGGAAAATAATTTTCTTTTCTTTTGCATAAAACAAATATTTTCAACAATAGATAATGTTTTTTTTCTTTTCTAATGAAATTTTTAAGTTTGTCCTTCAAAATCGATCCATGTTAAGCTGTAAAATTCAACATAGCTCTTCGTGATTGGATGCCAGCAATGGCAAGCTAATTAAGGCAAAAACTGTCAGCAAATGTTAACTATTTGATGCTTTCTATAGTAGTGAACTTACCACAACCTTTAAACTAAAAGCAAATAAAAAATGTAGCATGAAATTCGACAAAAAAGGATTTCCTCTTGTCAAATCAGCTACTCCTAATCTTGATTTGATAAAAGTTCTATTAGAGCATCGTGAAATATCTATCTGACAGTTTTCACAGGGTCTGTTGCTCTCAGTTTGAACCATCGATTTCTAGTTTAACTTCTAAACGCATGGAAAAAAGATTCTATTTCTATTGTGTGTTGTGTTGTATTCTAGTATAAATTATTAGCAATAAAAACATTGAAAATTATACCGACTGTGTCTAGTTTTTTTTATATAAAAATAACCAATACAAACGTTTTGCGGCTAGCAGAAGAGAAAAAAAAACAAATAAGAAACTAAGATGCGTACACGAGAATAATATTTGTCAAGTATTATTAATAGGGTTATTTATCACCGTGTCATTCTTGATCGATGACTCGACTACAACTTTATGAATTTCTATACTAGATATTATTGTTCTGCACGTTGAAGCTGCGGCTGATGCAGAAAATGCAGTTGTATGTGCCATGTCAGATGATTTAGTATACGCAGGAATTGATATAATATTTGGCGGTTTAGGCTGAGGAGCGTCATTATGAACAGGTGTAACATGACTTCGATAGATCCAATTATTATAGCAGATATCCAATTTACCATAGTAATGTACAATTTTAGAAAGAAAACAAACAGCACCAAAACCGATAAAACAAATACCAATATATTTCGTAGTTTTAACTTCATTTAAAACGCCGACAACAATGAGAATAGTTCCAGTTACTAATAATATAGAACCAAAAGTAAGCCATGGCTGAAAGAATTTATTCGTGTATGATACACCACGCGAATGCATCGGTGCTACCATCATATTACGAGCTCGACTATTTAGGAAGAGCATTTTTGGCTGTAAAAAAAACGTTTTAATTACATCAAATAAATGCCTTTGATTATTCTTAAAAAAACAGCATATTTGATATATTATTTTTAGTTCTGATATCAAATACGATAAAACCTAACAGATCAATGAAAAGATTTATTCATTGATTTTTCCTACTAAGGATAAAAAGAACATGTTAAATAAGACATTCAATTTCTATCGTACTCAGCACTCTTGAAAATAAGTAAAGAGATATGTTTCTGTTCGTTTATCATAGTTAGAAAATAAAGAAAAGAGAAATGAGAAAAGGAAAAACCGTAGAAGTCTGGTAGCAGTTAAAAGATAGCTTGTCTGAATCAAAAAATACTGATGTTAAGCGGCATTAACTGAAGAGAAAAATGACAACGTAGAAAGAGTAGAAAACGGAAAGCAGCAGTATACTTCATATCACAACCGGAAAAAAGAACACAGTAGGTTATTCTTCGTGATATACACATATTAATTATGATAAATTAAATTTATCGCAGGCTTGTTGTTTCTTATAATTTATGAGATTCTAAAGAAATGGCTAATTAACCCTTTCCGGCCCGCTGTTTGAAAATTGCCGTACCCCTCTAGGGGAAAATGTTGCCATATGGCAACACCGGGCCGGAAAGGGTTAATTGAGCAAAAACAAAAAATCATGATAAAACATGTAGATAATGACTAGTTTTAGAAATTGTCTGACAACGTATCGAAGTATTTTAATTAATTTTTAATCAATACGAAAATTTCATTTATATGAATACATTATTTAATAGAAAATAACTAATTTATACTTGGGCAATTGAATTTGAAATAAAGAATTAATTGACAACAATAGTTTCCTTTGAATGTTTTTTACTTGCTAAGACAAGTCGACAACGAAAGTCATGGAGTCGAAATGGATGGCTCGTTATTCTTTGTAGATTCTAAAATATAAGAATAAAGATAGAAAATGTACTGAATTAGACGCTTGTTTGTCCTTTTAAATACGATTGCCGATAATTTTGCATTCAACCAAATAGGCTGACAGTGATTTTTATCTATTGCTTAATTGATTCATAACGAATCAGGTAACAGGATGTTCGCATGTCGTCTCATTCTAAATTATTTATCCTGGGTATACGAGCAACATCGTTAGCAGAAGATCGTTGAGTCAAAGTCGAGAAACGTGATACTCCACCTCGAAGTCACTAGTCTTGCAAAACGCTTGAATGAGCCACATGCGTGCTGCATATCATCTAATGGACTATTGATGAATTGTAAAATATAGAATAGACAGGAAATCAAAAGTCAGGATCTAATTGCGTATAGCGACTTGCAAGATCAATTCAATAATGAGATTGTTTGTTGTTGTAAAAATAGAAAATCAAATCTCGATGCGTCAAACAGAATTAAGATTTCGGGATTAGTATTCTAAAGGTTTAATAGTCAATCGACTCCAAGAAACTATCCAATCATTGAGTTTCTTCATAAAAAACATATTTACTTATTTTCAAAATGATAATAGGCTTTACACGATACAGTGTTGAAGATCATTTTGTTCGCACGAATTTACTGAATAATGCAGAGAGCCAGTTTGAGTTTATCATAATCTCAAATAGAAAATCGTCTGTGTGCTCGTGGTTTTTATTATATTATTCATTTCAAGTGCGAATATTGTTGTCGAGAAGCAGTTAATCTGATTCATAAAAACTCATAAAACGACAGTTAAGTGAGTCGAAGAGAAGTAAAGTATGATTTGGCAAACGCTATGGTTCGTAGATCATAAGAATTGTCGTTGTTGTATGGAAAAAAGCTCTATAGAATCCTTAATTCTCAATTATTTCGAAGTAGAGTGTGAGCGTTGTACTATTGAATATCGACTGAAAGTAAAATATAATTCATGACTTGAATGTTGTTACTTATAGACTGGCTTTGGAAGCTTAATTACGTATGCATTTATCATGAAATGCATTTTGACAACCTGTGAAAACTAATCAAGTCAAGTAATTTCCCATAGAACGCTCGTCACGCTATCTGCTATTGTGTTTTGCTGGACAAAAAGGGCTTTAAGCGTAAATAATTTAAATTTTCTCAGTTTTGAAAATTACTCTGTACGAAGAAGAGACGTTTACGGTTTCACATACGCCCCGGTTTTTATCAGACAGTTCGCTTCCAAGAAAGATGCATCATCATCATGATATATTGATGTCATATGGTCGAAGATTTTATCTGTCAATTTTATTCTAAAGACTCATTTGTGTAGACATTTTGCGTTGGCTCAAACTTGACGTTGTTTTTCATCGTAATCTAAAAATCGATGATCTTTGAGAATGAGATCATTTTGTTGAACAGCTATTTGAGAACTAACGACATTATAAAAATGTGAAAGGAAAATCAGTAGTTTTCTATTGATATATCATTCTTCGATATGAACTCACGGAAACCGCTAGGCCTAATTCAAAATTTGAGTTCAATCACAAAATGACTGGCACGATAGAAATCCAGCTGTGATCTTCTAACCTATTTGAACATACTAAAAATATAAATATTTAATGTCCGAGTATCGAAAAAACTCCATGAAAGACGAGAGAATATTTTATTTTTCCTTGATGTAAACAATTCATACTGTTATGTATCTAATGGATATTGATTTTGCTTTCGGTCATTTGAAATATGATAGTCGACGATTGGTATACGTATAATGCTGATAAAGATTTTAGATTGATTCGGAAAGTGAGATGTTGTTTATTATATGACTAGAAAAATTTAATCTACAGTAAATAAAGTATGTATCGTTCAAGCGAATATTCTTTTTGTAAGAATTCTGATAACATTGCAAGAACTTGGTTGTGTTGCAAAATTTTAAAAATCTACTAAAATCTGCGGAAAACAATTAAACCACAGTGAATTCCTTCTTTTTCCCGTACCAACGCAATTTGTGTGATCGTTATCAAATACATGATACTTCACAAGGACGAATCATGTCCGAATGTGTTTTTCAACAGATACTTCTCGTTTCAATTTTGAGAAGAAAAAGAATGCAATTAGGAAACAGAAATAAAATTACGATGTATATGCACGTGAAAACTCAACAAATCATGACTATTGGTCAAATGCTCGCGTAGAAATCTTTCTCTGGTCAATAACATACGAACAAAATTTTAGTTAGATTTATTTTGAAAGCAAAATAAATACATTATAGTTATGATCGTTGACATGTAACTATTGCATTGTAATCATTTTGATATTTCGAACGTAAATCTTTTTGTTCGATAGGATGAACAGAAAATTTCTTCTCTATTAATTTTTCATGAAATTCATCGACCAATCGACGAATACCAACATTGCGTAGTTCATAGCAACATAATAATGATGTTTGAGAATTTTCCGGGCACAAATTACAAATTGTTTTTATTAATTCATCTAATTCAATTGAATGATAAACACAATTGGCAACAATAACAAAATCAAGATTTTGAAAATAATCCTCTTTTTCATTGATATCATCACCCCAAAATAATGTTTTACCTTGCGCTGTTCCTGTAAGCATATTTTGATTCTTTTTGATATTAAAATCAATCAATTCAAGATATTCTTCACGGTCAGTTAAAGTAACATTTCCACCTAATGCACATAATTGTAATCCAACAATGCCAGTACCGCTACCTATTTCAACGATACGCTTGTTTTTAAATCGATCAAACATATGATCATAACAATATTCAGCTAAACATATTGCTGATTCCCAACACCAACTACCAACTGAACCAATTTTCGTTTGATAGATTTCTAGTGGTTCATCATGTTCATTCAATAGAGTCGTCAAAGGAAACATATGACTTTCAAATACATTTAAATAGCAAATTTTTAATTTGGCCATGAATGAATAGCTCGTCCTTGGAGTTGATAAGGAAATAACAATCTTATAAGAATATGCATCCATTGCCGTTTTTCTCTTATCCAATCGTAGCATACGCAGATAGAACTGCAATATAGAGGATGACATAATCCACAATTCATTTACGCATCGTGGCAAAGAAAAACATAGAAGCCTTATGTTTGATTATCACACAAGAATCATTCATTCCGGTGGGTGAAAAAAGGATGCGATTAATTATTTTGTCAAAGAATGTCTAGATTATGTATCATCTATAGTGATTCATAAAGACCAAAAAAAAATAGGAAAATGAATTCCTGAATAGGATTTCTATGCAATGAAAAATAACATTTGAACGAGTAAACACTCGAACTTCCTTTACTAAATATTTTTATTTCGAACAAATATAGGAAATAATTCCTAAAGAAGAATAACGAAAATAAAATCAACGAAATGATCTTATCTTCAAATTTGCTAACTATTGAAAATAAACTTTCAATTATAAAAATACAGGAAAAAAAAACTTAATAGAGTATCTAATCTGTTATAATAAATTTTTCAAAACGAAAAAACGCCTATTAGCATTGCTTCAATATGGCATTGATTCCTTTGTCACACCATGTTGCGTTAATTGTGTGTGTAAATCTTCTATATTGTCTAATCAATCAAAAATTCAAAGTATTACAAGCGTCCTATGGGAAAAAAACGATAGTTCTCACTTCCTTGGTCAATAGGTTGCTCATTCCATTCATAAGAATGCGTCGATGATAATGTGTCATCGGAAAGATTATCATATGAAGAAGCATTCTTTTTATGATCTATTTCATTATAAACAGCGTTGACCGTGGTATGATTATCAATTGAATTTTGTTCATAGGGAACCGTTGTAAATTTTTTTTGTGTTTCACGATTGATTAACAACGGTGGCGACTAAATAAAGTCTAGTGGTGATGATTACTATGATTCACAAAAAACAAGAGTAACATACAATATCTTCTGTAATGCCGAGTTCTCTCGCTTGTGCAATTAAATCCTTAGGATCAAGTAAAGAATTTCCAAAACGTGTCAAATAGCTTTGAGGATTTTCAGGTGTAACACCCTGTCGTTCGACTTGACGAACAACCTTAACTGGTACTGGGTCATATCTGAAAGGAGCGAAGATTATTTTTAAAAAAAATAAGAGAAGAGAGTTTGTTTATTTTTTGTTTACGTAATGATGACATTTCTCGATGGTGGGTATGGTTTGGATGGTTCTGCTCGTTGAACAATAACTTGACGTTTTTGTGCAATAGATTCGTAAGGTATCCAACGTTCAATAATAATATCTTGTGGTTTCGGTGGTAGTGGAGCCATTCTTTCGATGACCACTGATCGTGGTGGAGGTGGAAGAGGAGGAAGAGTTTTTGTTACAAATTGAGCTAATTAAAAATGAGAGAAGCATATTGATATCAAATAAATTCGTAAAGACAAAAGATCTACTTGTCATCAGCTCAGGCACTCGTGGTGGTTTTTCACGAAGAATAATAGGTGGTGGTGGTGAAGGAGCTGGTTGAGGATGTTGCCGAATAATCTATAGGGCGGCAAAAAAAAGATTATTCCCTATGAATAAAATGTAGATTTCAACTTACCAGCGGTGGTGGTGGCGGTGGTTGAGGTGCGCGCACCTCACGAATAATCAGCGGGCCAAGTGGAACCGGTGGTGGTTTCAAAAATTTAATCGTTATATTTTGCTTGTATACAAGCGGAGCAATCATTTGTGGTTTTTTTATTAGTTCCGGATTCGGATCCTCATAGAGTCGTCGTGCACGAACCAATGTTTCATAATCCATTGTAGAATTGATTTCTTCAGGTTCCATTTCATTGGGTTCCTGTTCGTTTTCTATAGGATCTTGATGGTGAAAGCCGAAACTAACTGTAATTTCATCGGTTGAATCCGATTGTGCTCTAGTTCGATAATCTTGGTCAGCTCCTGGTAATAGTTGACTCCAATTTTGTATGATACTATCATCATGACTAGCATCCGGTACTGCTTGAAGATCTATAGTTGCTGTTTGATATTCTTTATCGAAATGAACCGCTTGTGTATCATCAAAATCAGGTGATTTCGAATATTCATTTGATAAAGACGATAATTTACGTGCTTTAGAAGATAATTCTTTACTTGTTTGTTTAATTACAGAATCACTATTCACTGTCACTTGATCGTCTTCGTCTAGCAGGGATATAACACTTCCTTGCCGATGAGAATATTCATTGTCACCATGAGAAGAAATAGAAGACATTATTATTTCTTCTTATTGTAATTAAGATACAATAGCTTCTATTGACTGAATACTACAATTGATAAATGAAAACTACTGGTTGGGTAGTCTATTCTTTTTCTGTTTTATTTCGCTGACTGTGCTTGTCCTTTCTTTCATTCATCTATTGAAATACAGAGAAGAAGAAAGTGTTAACAATCAATCAAGTGTAACATTTAGGCTTCTTTGGCCTTGATATTGATAGTTCATATCAAGAGCTACTGATCTATCTTGTAGACAAGGCTCTTTTTTTATGCAAGTTCTTTACAATATGAAACAAATGATAGTGAAATATTTTATTTCACTCTTTTGTTGATAATTATTTACATCGTTATGACTTATTTCTAAACATTAATCACACTATTCAATTCGTACCTATAAAAAAGATGTATGAGGGCATGGTGTACTGTTAGAAATAAAATAACACTTGATTTCTTTTTTTTTTGTATACATCAAGAATATGTCATAAGAAATTCATAAATGTGTATGATTTTAATTAGAAAAGTCATAGAAACAACCCTTTATTGCATAAGACACTTCCAATTAAATTCTTCTCCAGTGCGAATCGAAGGTGAAATAAAACAATGTTTTCCTTTTGATGCAATATACTTTCGTATTTAAAACTAAACTTTTGAAAGATCTATTCTTGTGTGTGTGTGGGTGTGTGTGGGTGTCATTTGTATCTAAGCAATATTAATGGATAGCTGTCAAACAAAAAGGCCCATATCGTTTCCTCAGGTATTGAAAAACCTTCTTGAGACTCACTCAAATAAGGAATGATTTGTTTTATAGAACCCTAGAGTTGATTTTTTTAAATATAACTTCCTTGTCGGTGAAAAATGTTAAAAGAACTAGTAGTTACGCAATTATCGAAGTTTGATCTCCTATTGTTCTTTTATAGATGTCCATTGGCTTTATGTAAGCATCTACTCATTAAATTCAATATTAAATGTTAAGTATACAACATCAATTCACACAGGATTTCCTGTTCTGTAGTTTCAAGACATTACCAAGGCTCCTAGTAGTAGTGTCATTTATAGGTGTTAACCTTTGAAACTTATGACTTTGAAATTCGACGCTCCTATACAAACAATTGATTAATGAAAAATTCAACCCTGAGCAAGGTGATGTAACACTTAAAAAATAATGGCAGTAGAGCTGCAAGAAAAGTTTCTTTTAGCTTTAATATTATTAGTTTTTCTTGAACGTTGCTCGTCTATAATACTCATTCAATTATACCTCATCATAAAATACATGGTCTGACATAGCATGTTCCAATACAGACTGTCAAATATCGACAGAATCCTTTTTAGTTATAAATAATTCAAGTAATTTCTTTTCTGTTTTTTATTCTTCGACAGTCACAGTGGGAGGACTGAGTGACTTTCATTTCTTACCGACAGGAACAACTTATTCCAATGACAAACTCGACAATTGTGTCCATGCAAAAGAAAAACTCTTTATCAAATGAATATAAAGCATATTCTTCAGTATACTCGGAAATGGCACAGTGAGACCGACATATTACAGGGCCGCTCATTGTATCCATTAAGTGTTAATTTTAGCTTGTTCTGCCCATTTGATTTACTTTTTTTTTCAAGCATAGAAAATTATTTCTTTGAATAAGATTTTCTTGTTCTTATGGATTATATTGTTCATATGTTTAATGATATATAATTAAGTAGTCGAACCTATTTCCTTGCTCTTTTTCCTTTCCATATAATTATTATTAAAAAAAAGAAGAAAAAAATCCATAGTCTATTGTGTTCGTTACTATGAATAATTGATTATAGTTTAGAAAGTTAGCCTACAACTGAGAAGTACTTAAAAAAAACAATCAGTGGTATTTTTATAGCTTCTTCCTTTTTGTCTAACTATAGATTTATAATACTCAAAATGAATAGCTTAAAATCATAATTAATAATGTCATCTTCTATCAAGCTTCTAGCCTTTTCTCTTTTTTTTTATTAGAAAACTATATAGACACAATAATTTGGAGAGAAAAAACCGGAAAAAAAGATTAAATTCACTATTAATAAAAAATAGCTTAGGAATACGTAGAAAATGAAGTGTCTTCTTTTCAACAAAAAAATGAAGCAGAATGATGTATCTAAATCTATATGTAATTAAAAATTTAAATAGAAAAAATTAATTTACTGTCTGATCGAAGATTCTATTATTCAATTAAGCAAATGTAGCGGTCAGTAGGAATAATGATAGATTGCAATGTGTACGCGACAACCCGTCATTTCATCGTTCTTTACTTTATTTTTCTATATATCGATTGAACGATGCTCTCATTTTTATCTCTCACGGGAAATCATTTTGATGATCAGAAATACTATAGAAGATATAATGTCTTCTCGGACAAGAACATATAAGAATGAATATTCACTCGTCCTTTCTTCAATTGAGTTCAAGCAAAACTTCAAAAGAAAATAATTTGATAAAAGAACAGATGCTATTCAATTAGATGAGCTTAACTTCGACAAAGATTTAATATCCCTACCAACAAAAAAAAGAGAACGAGAAAAGATCTTATTCAGCATATTATCAGCTTCTTTATCCTTTATAGGAAGGCATTTATAAACATTCGTATAACCTTACAATAACGCATCTGCTTGATAATCTCTTTCGTTAAGATGAACGAACGATGAAAATAATTATTCACAATAACATTCAATATCACTTATATGCATGTATTTACATAAAGATATAATCTTTTCATTCGCTTCGTTTAAAAAGCGTTTACATTAATGGATGATGAATTGTTTGTCTATCAATTGTAAATAAAATTTTTATTAGCTTCTCTAATAGAATAACTGATTCTTTTTATTTCTTCATTTCTTTCGATTGTCTTAACAGTAATTCCCCAAAGTTCGATCGGTTGTGCTTACGATAAGCATCAATGAATACTGTCGCACTGGGATTCGATCATAATCATCTACATATTTATCAAAAAAAAAAATAGAAAAAAAAACAACAACAGAATTTTTTTTTTTATATATTTCATTCAAATAAAACGAGTGTCCAGATGTGACAGATGCCAATAACTCATTTAGATTCGCAACATGATCTTTCTATCCATCTGTGATGACATTTTTTTTTTGTTTCTATGATAAAAAAAAAAAAAACTTCTTCATTTCACCGTGGGTGATTGCGGAGTTAGAGAAGGCGAAAAAAGAAATCAATTAAGACGTGTTACTCCAGCAATCCGGATGTGAACTCATTTCTTATCGTAGTCATCAAAGACGATAAGTGCTTTACTAGACCACTGTCCAATTTAGATTCGACACGAGCAGCAATAGAAAGAAAAAGTAATTCTGCACGCACACAGACAACTATCCAAGTATGAAATGCGAACTAGTTCACATCCGACGGCATGTCTCTCTCTCTATTAAGAATTATTCATGTTCGACGAACGATTGTCTTGACAATAGAAAGAAGAAAGAAAATCGTGTAAGTTAGAACGAGAAACGTACAAAAAGAAGAAAAAAAACAAATAGCCAAAGAAATAGTAGACATTTACATATACAAGACAACAATAAACAAATGTGAAGTTAATTCTTTTTTTTCTATGTTGCACAACGAACACTGTTCGAGACGATTTGCACAAATGATAATGTATATATATATTTGTTCGTGTCCAGATACTCTCTTGTTTCGTACCAAATCGATGTAATAAAACCTGAGTAAATAGACTACGAAAGTGAAGAGAGAAATTAGTAGAAAAATACGATAGACTAGAAAGATGAAGTAGAACGGATATTTATGCATGGATATATATATATATATAGAATTGTAAAACGAACAAAAGGAAAAAAGTTATATTTATTGATTTTTGTGGATTTTTAATGACGTTGTATCATGAAGAGAGTAGTTAATAATGATAGTAGGATAATAGCTGTTGATAGGCATTGTATCGTTTTTGTTGATGAATTATCAAGTGAATTTGATCGTGCGTCATTAACATCACTGACAATACTAATTTTTCTTGTACCTTTTTCTTCATTATTATATGTTAATTTAACACTAAAACCATCGCTTAATAATTGCTGATAATAATTATCTCCTATGCCTTTTGGTTTTGTTGTTGTCTCGGGTTTTCCATTGATTAGTTTTGTTGTTGTTGATAAAGTTGTTGATAATGGAATAGTAATTAATTTTTCACGATCGAATGTAACAATACTTTTATATTTACCATGATGTTCATCTTTGGTTTCAATTGTAATACCTGTTTCAGATTTAAGAGGTTTGTCATCGGATTGACGAAACCATGTTAATATCGGAGCGGGATTTCCTGAATATTCACATTCAATTGTAGCATTTTCTTTCGTTGAATTAACATATTGTTTTTCATCACATTGAACAAAACGTGGAGTAAATAATACTTCGAAATTTTTTATTATATGTTGATCAGTACTACCTGTTTAGTTAAGAAAATAGAAAATGTTTTTTTTTCGAATTTGAGAAAAAAAAGAAGCTAAACAAGCTAACCTTGAGTAACTATACATTGTAATGATGTATTATGCCAATTATCCTCGGGTTCAACGTCCGCTTCCCAGGAAAATTTTTGTGGAAAGACATTGCCAACGATTGGAATTGCTGTTCCTAGGCTGGTTATTTCATGATGCTTACGAATGATTTTAAAGCTAACAAATGGATAAAAATCGTCAACTGTACATCGTATTTTTGCTTTCGCTTTTTCTTGTATGGGCCAACCAGGTTCAACATGCCATTTTGGTAGAGCTATTTTCATAACCTGTAAAAGTCGTTTTTGTTCACCTAACGGTTGATCACAGTCCGGACAATTACATTCAAAGCTAGCTGAATCTTCCATTTGTAAATGTGAAATACGTATATGATTCTTTTGAATATATTCAATACGTCGATTTGTATTCTTTTTAAACGTATCTGGTATATCAGAACCTGCTGGCGATTTAATTAATGAACGAGATATCTGTGTATGTTTACCAGTTTTAAGATCTACATGCCACAATTGTGCTGGTTCCATGTTGGGAAGTGGATTGAGTATTTCACAATGAATTTCAACTGCATCATTTTGTGCATAGAATTTTACATCGGGAGTAAATGTCAATTTTAATGATGGTGTCACGGTTTGTATCGATGGGGTAACAATAGTTAAAAAGATAATTGATACGAAAAACATAGTTAGTTTTTTGATCTAAGATAATAGAAAAAGAGAAATATTCATTTTATGTTCATTGATCTTACCATTTTGCTTATTTAGACAAAATAAAATCACAACAACAACAACAACAACAACAACAATGGGGAGTCTTTTTTTAGTTCAGCAAGAAATATATGGATACGTATATAGAGATAGGGCGCAAAGCGATGTGAACCATTTATGGATTAATTTACGGTCCAATAACTCATCTGTATAGCAACAACAAAAAAAAGAAGAAGAAGAAGCATCTATCTATCTATAGAATTTCGCCCTATTGTGTAGATCTAATCTATGGATCTGTTTAAAGAAGGAAAAAAATGCCTCTGAGATTTTGGCATTTTCCCAAAAACATAAAAGAACATGGCATACCAATCGTTATTCTTATTATTTGCTTGCGTTCGTTTTGTCTTGATTGTTTTAACTAATGTCTGCTTATCGCTTTCGTAATTCCACGATTCCGCATTGTTTTTTTGCGCACTGCAGTTCTTGTTGTTGTTGTTTCAGACGGCTATAATTCGGATCCTACGAAGATTTTTTTCTCTCAATATTTCTCTCTTTCTCTCTCTCTCTCTCTCTCTCTTGCTCTTCTTCCGACTTCCGTGTAAGAATTGAATGGCCGAATGATGGTGATGTCGAGAGAGAGAGAGAGAGAGAGAGAGAGAGAAGGGCAGAGCACACTCGTATCTTTTTCTTCTTCTCTTTCCATTTTTTTGTGCCCCCCTCTTCCCTCCCTGCTTCTCTTTCTTTATGCAATAAGCGCGCACGCACGTCCTCGGTCAAGTGCTTATAGAAAAGGAACTATCTCAACTCAAAGAAACAGAATAAGAAGAAGAAAAAAGCGGAATATTTCACCACTAGTCAATTCACCGGAAGCATGAAGAAAATGGACACCTGCTTACATTTATAAAATAAAATTGGATTGATGAGAAAAATACTTCTTTCCTTCTTTCTTTTTTTCCCCTGTTATATATATATATGCGACACTATTCCAGTTCAATGATTCTAGGAAAACTACTGTTCCTTATTACTCGAGATATATAATAACCGTAAGAAGAAAACCCAAGGCAAAAGCAGATAGTTCAAACTAACACGAAAAGAAAGAAAAGGAAAAAATGCTTTCTAGTCTAACACAACGGTCGTCTCAATTTTTTTAATTTTCCTTTTTTTCTTGTTCTTTGCATCGTACAGCATGGGCATGTGTTTATATGTGCATTCGGTATTTGTTTGAACAAAGAAGATCCCGTTGAGAGATCACTTTATGAATGTTCAAACTAACAGTATTAATCTGAACTAAAAAGAAAGAAAAGAAAGCAATGAATACAAATGAGTATGCCAATGAATGGCATATGTATCTCTATGTATATAATCAAGACAGATGGGTTTAAATATTAGTCCATATAAAATCCCTTTGGTCATCATTGGAATAGATATTTTTTTTCAGTTTTACCCAGTCAGACAAGCAACGAAAAATAACGCGTAAAAACGAATAAAAACCGCACATTTTTGCGATTTATTTTCGTTAAAAATTCTACGCATTTTTACGCGTTATTTTGTTGAAGTAAGTGACTTGGTATAGGAAAAATAGCTAAAATTCGTACACTCATTTTGTTTAAAACTATATAGATAATTAATAAGCAATGCAAGTGTACAGATTATAGCTGTTTTTCCTATATCAAGTCACTTATTTCAACAAAATAACGCGTAAAAATGCGTAGAATTTTTAACGAAAATAAAATCGCAAAAATGTGCGATTTTTATTCGTTTTTACGCGTTATTTTTTTTCGTTGCTTGCCTGACTGGGTATTCAAGAAGAAGCTCGACACCTGCTTACTAATATTTCTTTTCTTAGTTTTTTTTTATGGTTTCTGTCTCTTTCGTTTGTTTTCGTTGTCGATGAGCAGATAAATTATTATTGCAAGTAATTTCCTTCATCGCACATTCATTCAATGATTCATTTAATCAAATACATACAAGACAAGGATGCTCTATATGGAATGTGGGCGCCATATTGACATCCACGTCGAACTAAATTCTAAACAAAATATGAAGCGGCAAACTGATGAAAAGCCTTAATCAAACTCATAATTATTTTCCAATGTAACCAAGGCCACTTGCGTGATACACAAGAAAGAAGCAAAGTAGTCAGGACGCATAAAAAACGATTAATCATAGATATATGCGCGTCTACGTACATATATACAAAATGCGTAATACAACAAATTGTCAATACTCCTTCTAGGCACAATAATGTTCGTTAATCGTCAGATGTTGTTCAATATTTTGATGAGCTTTTTTTTTTCTTTTTTTTATGGATATGGATATTCTGTTTTCTGTACATCTGATTATTACATGATACAAATGATAATAGATGCCAAATGGAATGCTAAAATTTTAACGGAGTGTATCAGAAATGTGATTAAATTTCTATCTTTTTTTTTCTTGTTGCAGTAGGCATAATATATTTATTCTTATGTGTAAATGTAACACATGACGCAATCATAGTTGAGTTCATCTATGTAGAAACGATAGTGAAGACAAGACTGCCCTCATCTTCTTTCCTACTCGCTTTTTTTTCTAATGAATAATTTAATCCGGCGATGCGCAAGCTCTTTTCTCCCTGTCCTCTGTGCGCTCCACATTTACTATGTAAATAATGAAAACAAAGAAGCGGAATATCCGCGAGGAACAAAGCCGAGATCTTTCTCTTGTTCCCTCGTTCTCTCTCTAAATGTTAAGAGTGTGAAAACGACAACGACGGAACTCGATGCCGTCGCGTTTATGATTCTTTGCGTAGAAGCATAGAAGAAAAAGTGCTATCGTGCGTTTGCAAGCAATGAGAAAAAGTATCTATAGAAAATTAAGTCAATGTTTGCCAACAATTAGAATGGAGACACATTACAATCATCTGAGTGAAGTTTGTGAACAAATATAATAAAGAATGAACAAGATGAATTCTAAAATCAAAAGTAAATTTCAGCGATCGATCTTACACAACGAAATAAAAAAGAAACGATTACATAGATATATCATTGATTCAAATTAACCTATTGTCATAAATAATTATAGTAGAGAAGGAAAAAAAGGACTGTACATCAAAATTACATAATACTAAAATGATGAATAAGTGTGCGCTTATTCATTTTCTAATAAAAATTGTCACCGTTTCTTTTTGTTCGATATTTACTGCGGTCGCATGGTCCCATTCTAGGTACTACCGATAATGATTATGACTGTTCATTTTTCTTTTGCCCTTAAATAATGGTAAGTAGACTCTTTCCTCTGTTGAACATCATTCATAACATGTCACCGGACTCTTTCTCTCTCTCTCTCTCTCTCTGTCTCCTTCGTCCTATGGCATAGTGGTGCACGGATGTATGTGCTCATGCTCGAGAGGAAAGCGTCTCGTGAGAATTATATATGTATGTGTATGTGTGTGTGTAACGGACAGACTCTGTACTAAATCAATCGCAGAAGCCAAAGTAATGTTGTTTATTGAAGTGATGGCGATGTCCATATGTAGCACGTAGAAAATTGAATCATTAATGTAACAACATACAAGTGGACATCATATAGTCGATACAAGAAATCGAAATAATGACACGCTCGTTTCCTATCCATTGCTACTACGGATGGTGGTAGTAGTATTTATTCACTTGCTTTAATCTTTAAGTTGTCATCAAGAACCCTTTAGGGGTAAAATGTCGTCGTCTTATCGTATCGGTCACTATTCTACTTTGCGCTTCGTCTGCCTTGAAACCAATCTCGGACGTAAATATGTGTGCATACTGCGTTAAACTTAATTGACGACGACAATGATGCAGCAGTAGCAGCTCTTTCAGTATAGCACGTTCTGTTCATGGCGTGCACGCTAGATGTCAAAATTAGACATTGAAAGAAGAGTATAACTTCCGTATTTTTTTCTTTCTCGTCATGTTCACATACATTTTGCTTTAATATGAACTATGAAAGCCCATCACTAGTTGGTCGGCTTTGACAAGAGGAATTTGATTAGAGACTATGAATAGAACATTCTATGGCAATGTGCGTCTTTTTTTACCATTACTAAAATAAACTATCAAAAAGACTAGATTATGGACCGTATATAACTAGCAGGCAATGGTATGTTTAGTTAGACGAACAAGATTCTTTTTTCACGATTTTAACTAAATTCAAGGATATTCATCAAACACACACACACACACACACACATATATATATATATATATATATATATATATATATATATATACTAAATAAAACGGATAATTGCATCCGGCTTTGCTTTTGCGTCTGCCGGAGAAAAAAATTCAAGAAACGAAGAAAAATATAATGCAATCTCGGTCGGATTTCTCAAGTATTTTACACGACCGTCTATCTTACCATGAACGAATTGATGACGACAATAACAACAAGAAAATCAACTATATTCAAGTTCTCGTTTGACATTTACTCAATTGGCCGTTAGCCAACAAAGGGCTTAACATATTTTATTTTCTCTTCTCAAATATAGAACATTCATTTTGAATAATTGTATAAATGGAATTACCATAAATATAGAGACCAGCCTGCCACTAATTAACGCTGCCACTACATTTAGAATAGAGATTCATTATTTTTTTTTCTGTATGCATAAAATGATTTTAAAATGTATGAGCAAATATATGTATATTTATGTAGCTAGATGCAACAGTTCTAGCATCGATAATAAATCACAATAGGAAAAAACAATTGATGTCTGTATACATATATATTGATTAGACGGTCTTGTGCGTGTGTCGAATGATCATTATTAAGAATGTATAACATAGTAGTTTTTCATAAATACCTAAAATAATTAATGTAATATGGAAGCCATAGTTAAGTTGATGGTCATTAATATTTATTGTCAAATTGGAATTCTTATTAGTCATTTGTAATGCAATAGCGAGTACTGAAATAAAAATTAATATTGTTGATGCTAATCCCGTTAGAATATGAATAGTGGCAACGACAAGAAAAAATCGGTGTCGACGATAGATAATAGTAAAAAAAGCGAATAACCCTGCTATAAATGCTAAAGCACCTGTCCAAATACCATGAGCAGTTGATGATAATGTTAATTGAAAGAAAACAAGAAGTATCCCAAGAATAAGTATCAGTAAACCAATAATTAATTCATTTACAGCAACAACTTTTGTCCAACATGTATTCCAGTGTAGTTTTAAGTGCCCATCAATTAATACTTCAGTCTTGTATAACGAAGTATGCGGATAATGTAAAGACGATGAACGATTATCAATGGTTGTTAATCTACTATTAGTAGTATTAGTATGATTTTCGTCTAATGGTTCTACAACCCACAATGATGAAAGAGTTTGTTCGGTTGCCATTATTTGTTAGACATCTGGCAAAATGTCGATGGCAATGAAGATTCATTTTTTCAATTATTTTTTTGTTCTTCATTATATCACTTTTCTTTACTAACAAAGAACACACAATATGTTATCTTTGTAATTTAGTAAAAAGAAATTTTTTCGTTTACTCTCTCTTGTACTATTCCATAACATCGTGGCATCATTTAGAAAGATAAGAAGATGATAGAAGGGCATAAACTAATAAAAAATAAATAAGAAAAAAACTCAACGAAGTTAGACTTGCCGATTGTCTTATTAATGTGAGAAATTGGCGCGAAATTGTCTGATGTAACGATCATTTTAGTTGTTGCTTCATCATCTCTATCTTTTAGAAGAAGCCAAATAGAATCTTTAATGGCGACATCAAGTATTATTAATTTCAACATGAATAATAATAATCATTCTAAGATTCAATCAGAAAATACTATGAATTCAACAGTGATTGCTCGTATCGAATTTCCAAATCAACAACCACAGCAATCGAACGATGATAAATTACAATTAAAAAATGCATGGGGTACTTATTTCTACAAGGCCGATAAACAGCGAGATTGGAAACAAAATGTGATCTATATAACATCTATCAGTTATATTGAAGATTTTTGGTCATTTTATACTCATACATACGGTCTACGAGATCTATCGAATGGATCTGATTATATGCTTTTCAAAGTAGTTCGCTTAAAGTAGAGAAATCCTTTTTTATATTTTTTCTGTAGTCCGGCTGTCTTCCAATGTAAGTAATTTAAATAATTACTGTTAAATTATTTTTATCTAAAAGAAGAAAAGGTGGGAAGATGTATCATCACGTGGTGGTGGCAAATGGATTGTTACAATCGATCCTAAACGACGTAAACATGATCTCGATGGTTATTGGCTTCATTTGGTAAAAATGAATTGATAAATAAAATGCAAATAGGATTTGATATCTTTCAGATGTTACTTTTGATTGGTGACATGTTTGATGCTCATTTGAGTACCTATATCAATGGTGCGATTGTTTCCTTACGAGTCAAAGGTGATCGACTTGCTCTATGGTTAAAAAAGATTGATGATTTAAATATAATTAAATCGATTGGAAATAAATTCAAAGATCTACTTAATATTCCAGCTGATATTCAAATAATTTACGAAGTAAGGAAATTAAAATAGAACATTTTTCATTTTGAATCTTTTTTTTGCTTTGTTTTAAAGTATCATGAAACGAAATTCGATGACTTTAATAATGAGATACGTCTGATTATTTAATATAAATAAAAGAAATGTTTATGATTAACGTGTGGTTCTATATTTTGTTTTTGTTTTTGTTTTCTTCTATCCAATCAACGTAAATATCATTATCATCATAACAACTGTTCGTAAATAATAAGAAAAAGAAAAAAGAAACTGTATTTTGTTTTTTGTTGTTTTTTCTTTAACCACCTCGTTTTCCTTCTTGACTCAAAAGAACAAGAAGTGTTAAATAAAGAGAAAAAAATAAGAAATATAATTAACACAAAATGCTAGCGAGACAAAAGAAAAATGAGATAGATAAACCTAATAGTTATTCTTCATACATCGGTCGTTGTGAACTACTACTACTTTCATTATGCATATCAAATTGTATGCGAACATTTGGTGATAAATTTATAATCGATCTCCAACGACGACCTATTTCGCGTACAATTGTTTCATTGCGTGCTTCAGACAACCATAGTGCTATCTTGTGACCACGTGTACGAATAGCTACTACACAACCGGTTATATAATGACTAAGTGGCTCAGGATCACTGAAATCGAAATACATGGAGTTTTTTTTAATATACTTTCTTTTTTTAAAATTACATACGTATCATGTGAGAAGCAATCACCGATCATACCAAGTAAAGTTTCTAACCATAATTCATCAAGTTTACTATCTTGATTTCCACATGTTAACAACCAACGACCACCATTTGCATTGGCTTTATCCTCTATACGTGACACGAACAATGATAAATAGAATAACAAGAGAAAAATATGAATATTTACCCCACATTGGACGAACTAAAATAAAAGAATAAACATAGTTTTAGTTTACTTATAGTCTTGCGAAAATATTCGCTAACCTCCATTTTTAAAGAAATAATAATCTGAATTCGATTTATTTTGTGCGAGACGTGATGGTGGTGCTAAATGATTAAATGTGGCCCAAAAATCTTCCACAAAACCTATATCAATTAAATTAATCAATGACTGCTCCCATGTAAGACGTTTATCTGGCTTGATATACCAAAATGTCCATGTAAATTCTAATGGACTTTTCGGACTAACTGTATCGGCTACTCCATTATTGCTTTTTTCACGTTGATTCGTTATTATTGCCAATGGTTTTTGTTGTGAAGAAGAACGAATTGACGAATCAGTCATATCTGCTGTTCTAAAACTAATACAATAAAAAATAACAACAATTGCTTTACAAATACATATATATTTATATATAAGAAACAAAAGACAATTAATAGTCCCGGCGCAGACAGACAGTTAACGATGAGTCATTCTTTGTTTTCCCTATTGGTAAAATTATATTTCTATTGAACGTTTTGTAATAGATACTTTTTTCATTATGATTTTATCATTTTGTTGCAATTTGAATAATGAACATATTAAAAATAAGATTTATTCAATGAGATCGTTGCTTAGTAACGTGTTAAATTTCAAGATGGTGGACAACTTGAATGATTAAATTCATTCATCAAATGGCTCATCTTTTAGGTAGTAAAGCATGTATTGACAGTTTACGTGTTGATATTGGCGATTTAGAAAGTGTTATTCATGATATTGTTGGTAAAACAGGATCGATCAAGTATGATTTCATAAGAGAAAAGTTTTGAGCGTAGACATAAAATATTTATATAGATGTCATTCATGGAAGTTTCCCGATAAAATTGCCACTGATGTAGATATTAATGAACTTCTTCAACGTTACCAACATGGAAAACATGAAGTTGATAATCAAGTTTCACATATTGTTTTATTCGAGCTTATTATTGATAGGTAAACGAATTATTTATTTATTTATTTACGTTTCAATCAAAACAATGTTCTCTTAGGCTTTTACTTATTTTACATGGATCATGGCGGTATTTACATGAAATGCAAACCAATATAATACCCAATACAATCGATTCAGCATCTACAGTGAATCAACAATCGAGTCTCAGTGTTGGTTTAGTAGTTAAAAAATATTGGAATAAACTATTACATTTATCCAGTGTACTTCAACAGCACGAGGTTCGCGAGGGTATATTGAATCTTTCTTATAATACTCAATCATTCTTTTCTTTAGAATGATCGTAAACAAACTCGTCCAGTAACAGCATTACCACGTTCAAAATCTAGTTTAAATACTGAAAAACGTTGTCAAACAACGGAAACATCCATAGGTCCATGTCAATCGTGTTTAAAATTTCAACAGTGCCTTCGTGATCACAGTGATAGTTTAATCAATCTATGCCATACCTATAATTTACCATCGTCACTTGCACAGTATCGATCGTCAACAACAGATCTGTTTTCATTAGATAATATTAATCATTGGTCGGATTGTCAAACGAAAGATATCGATCGTGTATCGAAACATGTTGAATATTTAAATAATACATTAAATAAAACTAAAAGTGATTTACAATTAAATGAAAATCGGTGTAAAAAACAAGATGAAACAAACAGTCGTTTGCAACAATTGATTAATGATGATAAACAATCGAAAAAAGTTCTGCAAGAATTACATGATAGAAAAGTCAATGATTTAAAAAAACAATGTGATCAACAGGAAACGAATCTCAATGAACAAATTAAATTACTAACAAATCAAAAAATTAAACTCGAACAACAATTAAAAGAAGTCAATGACTTATGTACATCAAGAGGAGAACAAATCGAAAAACTAGGTAATATCTTATAGGATCTGAAAATAACTATTCTTGTATTTTTAGAATCATCAAAAAATGAATTGAAAAACTTAATTCAAGATCGATTCAAATCCGATGATATCATAAAAACACTAGAACAAGATCGTATTCGTTTGCAAACTGAACTTGATTTAGTGAAACATGATCTCGAAGAGCGTAATCGAGAATTACAAAAAGAACGAACACGTATTGAAAATATGATTCGACAAGAACAAGTGAAAAAACATTCATCTTCTTCTATTCTATATCAATATTTAGAAAATTCTTTTAGAATTATCAATCAAAACAAAAAGCACTTTCGTCATCCTACGAAGAATTAACACAAGAATGTGAATTACTCCAGTAAAGTATCTAATGAAACAAAAAAACTTCTATTCATTTCTATTTCTATTAGAAAACAAGTTGCAGAATTAGAAATATCGCGTGATGAAGTGGAACAAAAACTTGAAACAGTTCAAAAACAAAATCGATCTTCTACAGACACCAATAAAGTTCAATCGTTAATGGAAACGAATCATCATTTACTACAAGAAATGACTATATTAAAATCAAATATTGAACAGCTACAACAAGAAATTCAACAAGTGGATGAACGTGAACAAATGTTATTACAATATCCTGATCTGCATGGTCCTATTGAACATCAGCCAAGTAAATTTTCTTTTTATTATTTCTTTTTAATTCATTTTCTTTTCTTAAATTTAGCATCAAATAATATTATAATTGATATGCAAAATCAAATGCGTACCAATGAAATTCGTATTGATTTGCTACGAAAACAAAATGATTCATTAAAATCTTCATTAGAAAAACTTTTAGCTGTAAATAATACGAGTCCATCATTGGTAACAGGAGAACGTTATGAAGAGCTGAGAAATCAATCGAGACAAGAACAACCCTATCGTAGATATTCCTACAGCAATGAAACTATCATACCGGTATGATTCGATTTCAGAAATAAACAAGTAGAAGTATTCTAATTTGTAGAAATCAAAACAAACACCATTGTGGTTATTAAATAATGAAATTGTAGAACAACAACAAGCTTTTACAGAGACAAGGTATAAGTCTATTTTGTTTTCTGGAATGCATGAATTCAACTAGATTTGTTTATTTAAGATCGACTACAGTGAACAATTACATACCACGTTTTAGTGAAAATGATTATGTTGCAAATGGATGGATTAAATCTGATCCTGATGTTATCGAAATTGAAACTTCACCAAAACCACATGATCGATCATGGTCATCAAGTTCAACTCGTATACAAACAAAGTATGACTAGAGGGAGCAAAACAGCAAACTAACGATTTCATGATGATATTTTCTTCTTCTTCTTCTTCTTCTTCTTCTTCAGTGATTTAGTCATAACAACTGAATCACGCCCACCCACAGTTACACATTCTTCTCGAACTATCAATAATGGTCGAACATCAACAATTCCTCCAGCATCTGATTATGAAATGATTATTGGTTTGTTTTTTCAATTGTAAAAAAAACAATCTTTTTTCCATCTAATTTCATAGGCAAAGGTCGAGCATCAAGTCGTCCAACATCAGCAGCATCGAAAAATCGGCATTTACCAAAAAGTTCACGAACTATAACATCGGCTAAACCACAAAGATCAACCACAAGTACTGCTATACATCAATGTACAACTTGTAATAAATCATATGATGATAAACGCAATTATGATATACATAAATTATATTGCAGGACTTAAAGTCTATACTATTCATATAATTTTTCTTTTATTTGTTATGATTTGATTTGTGATTTTTATGTGTTTTAAGAATATAAAAATCAGATTATATAAAGTGCATCAGCGAGAGCGTCTCTTCGATTTTTAAAATATGTTTTTTTTAATAGTATTCAAATGGAATTATTTTGCTTACAAGGGTGTAGCGGAGGGGGGAGGGGGAGATTCGTAAAGTTATGTTTCAAGTTAGCGTGTTTGAAAAGAAAATTTTCATACGTTCATACTTTGTATTTATTTTTCGTCTTTCTCAAGTAAGCAGACTATTTTCAAGTTTCGGAATATGGGGGAGAGGTTACACCAACACCCTGCAATCACTTAATAAGTTGTATTAAAAAAAACAAAATACATCAAAACATGCAGCATGAAAAGCTCTACAGATTTGCATAAGACAGCTTTTCTTACAGTTATACTTTTTTTTTCAAAACGTGCAAAAATTTGAGCGATCAGATTTCGATGCTGCCTAGGGTGTGGGTGTGGGTGTGGGATGTTAATTTGGGTATTTGCTGTGGTTATTGTATCAATATAAAATCTGCCAAAGCCCCACCCACACACCCACACACCCTCAAGTAAATAGGAATGGCTTAAATAATGTTGCTATGAAAGAAAATGTAAGAAAAAAAGCCATGTGCAAAAAAGTCAATCAAACATCGCCAGTTTTAAAAAAATTCTTTCCAACAACAACTGCACATCATTGGTTTCAAATTCTTGATCGTGGTAAGCTACGTGCAAGACACTATTCCATATGTTATATACTTAGCGCCACAACGCTAAAAGTAGCCCAATCGTCCACGTCTATTTCTCTTTATTTTATAAGTTTGAGTTATTAATTCAATAGCAAAACCAAAATCAGTATAATTTTACTTGAAATTTATGGAGCGTATAGAGTACACAGAATAGAGCCCCATTTGTAAACAATAGATGTAGATAAATGTAATAAAGAGAAAACTTCTACTCGGATGAAAATTCATAACAATGAAGTTGGAACACGTGCCTTTACTTATACAGGTAAATGTAACACCCTATTTGAGTTTTACACATTCCCAGTAATTAACTGATTTGTATGAGATCATTCGTTAGTTGTTTAATGAGTACAGGTTTATTCTCTGACCAATGCTGGTATTTTAGACGAGGATCATTGAGCACAACATCGGCAAGAAGTTTCATTGGCTGATGATGTTGTACAAACATAAAAGTCCACACTCACACCCCTCAAATCAAACCTGTTTTGCAAGGGAATAAACAAAGCTTTAGGCTGCCATCCAACACCTGTGAGTTGCAACAAAATATTTTCGAGACCAGACAAATAAGGTTACTCATGACTAGTAGAGTTGTGAAAAGTGA